GCCCAGTAAATATATCTTCTTTCTGTACCAGAAATATGTTATATGGAGTAGGTGTTGGCACTAATAGAAAGGAAATATTCTAAAAACGCTGCTGAAAATGAAATTTCTTGTATTTGTACGAAGTTCTGTGTAACATAAGTGTTAACATAGGCTGCTTTGTGTGTGACGTGCGCCGATTAGGACTGACAGCATCTCTAGCGCGGTGTTGTTAAGAGTTCAGGGGTATCTGAGATCACACTGCTTACCAATGATTCGTTATATCCTGCGCAGAGTACAATTTACGATAAATGTAAATATTGGTTGACAAATATGAGGTTATGTGGTTTGGCAGTCAGAAATCTGTCAGATGGTTTTGTTTAGATCTAGTTTTCTTAAAAAGAAAAAACCCTGTGTTCAGATTCTTGAGATTGCCTAACGCTTTCCAGTCCTCTGCTCCCTTCCTCCATAGCCCCGCCCACACCCCTCCGTTTTGTAGGGAACTAACGTGGCTCGAGTTATTACGCCTTTCCCCAGTCTCCCTATTTTCGCCTTCCACTGTCCTGCGCTATCTTTTCTTCCTCTGACTTTCCTTTGATGTTGATGGACCTCATGGCTCCCCCTTTAAATTTAACTTTCTCTTTATTTATCTTCTTTGGAAATCTAATTCATTGCTACAGTGTCAGATGCAAGCGGTGTACTTGGTGATAAATCACATAGATACAGCTTTGCAACTTAGGTCTTTGCTTAGTTTCATACCCAACTTTGTAGCTGTGTAGATTAGAATACCTGCTTATTTCTCTCAAACGTCTCTTTTCAGAATGTGTAAAATTCAGTTTAACCCCAGAATGGGTTCTTCCCTCTGTGCATCATTCTATGTTTGTAGCACTGCATCACCTACCTGGACGGTCAAGCTAGACGTCTGCGATATTTCCAGTAATAAAGTCCTGTTGATTTTTCCTTCCTTTTCCTTTTGTCCTCTTCCTCATAAAGCCTGATTTAAGACTCTAAATATTTGTTATCAGACTACCATATCAGTCCACATTAAACACAGGGACTGTCTTCCTAAAATATTGATTTACTTACGCTTACTTAACTTAAATTTCTTCCTAGATAGCACCTGTCTCCTTCAGAATAGAAGCCAAAGTCCTTGGATTGACTCTCCAAGATTTGGTATATGCTGAACTAGCTTATTGCCCATTGGTTTCCTGGCCATTCTAATACATTTTGCATTCTTCTGCCATGCCATATTTTTAGCCTCCTCCACCCCAAGCTGTGTTTGGTCGATATTTATTAGTGTCAAGCTGATTGCATTCTGCTTGCTACAGTAATTAGGTCAGAACTCTAGGCCTGTGCCACTCAGCACATTTTCCTGGCTGAGGAATCACTCCAAAATTTACATATTAAGACATTAAGAAAAAATTTGTTGGGGCTTCTGGGGAAGAGTTTGCTTTCTTGAGAGTGAGCCACTGGAGAGATAGCCTCTCTTCCGCTAGATGTCCCTGTCAACGAACTAACACACACCTACGCTAGTGATTTTGTCTCATCAGAGAAGGCAGCCTGAGAATAAAGTCAGAACATAGAGGCGCGAGAGATGTGGCTCAGTGGCACATCACCCACCTGGCAACCGCAAAGTCCTGAGTTCAATTCCCAGTACAAAAACAAAACAAGACAAAAAAAAGAACATACGAGGAGAGCATAGCTAAGTGTATCTTAGAGAAACTGTGTGTGGGACTTTGGTTGAAACCAGTTCTTAAGTCTGTGCTACCTGTGGGCTTCCAGGTGTGAGAGCAGGTACATTTCTGGCTTATGTCAGTTTGGATCAGTTTTTCTGATATTTACAGACCAAAGCTGCAAACTGATGTAGATTTTAAAAACAGTTCAAAAGGAGGTGGGTGGAAGGATATTAAGTGTGCAGACTGAGTGAAACTAATTACCATGGTTAAGACTTCACCTTTTCCCATGAATAGACTTGTCACCATTGGGAACATCTGTTTATACCCAGGTAATATATACTTAAAATTTGTGAAGATACAGCTTTCAAGTCTGATTATAAAATACAGTTTTGAAAAACTAATGCACAAAAGAGCTAAATGTGTGCAACCTATTTTTCTAAGGTTGTAATAAAATGCCTTGTATTAACTTTGAAAGACAAACTTGTGAGGAAAGAGTGAACTCACACTCTTTTATGTCTTTCACATTCTGGTGTGGTATTATGGTAAACCTGGCAAACTGTATACCCATGTTTCTAGTGAGAGCAGTTTTCCTGTTTGCCCAAAATTGATAAGGAAGCTGTCTCCGAAAGGGTAAATGTGCTTCCCAAGGCCACAGTGCTATTGTTTTATTTTGTTGTGAATGTAAGTCGTGTTTATATAAAAATAGAGGCAATAAAAAATAGAAATGTGTAAATGTTAATAGATAATCACTGGGCTGGGGAGATAGCTCAGTGACACAGGGCCTGCCTGGCAAGCCTGAGGTCTTGAGTTTGGTTCCCGGTACCAAAAAATAAAAATAAAAATAAAAAATAAATAAAAACTACAATAGACCACCACCTGGGGTGTTTCCAACTCTTACATATAAATACATATATATTTTTTCCATCCTCAATTGTATTACTTGTAAGTTTGTTTGACTGTGAATATAGTTTCAAATAAACTTGTAGAATTAAAAAAATAAAAATGTGTGTAGCTTTTGAACATAAATGTTAATGTTGAATTTCATCTGATGAATAAATATTGGCCACAACTACACAGAAATGTAGCATTTTTTGATTAGTCTTTTAAAAGTATCTATATTTTTCATTATTAATACTGGGGGAGAGAGCATATGTTGCCTCCAAATAATTGAAAAGCTTGGTTTGGTTTGGTTTGGTTTTTTGAGACAGGATTTTACTATGTAGTTGAGGATGGCCTTGAACTCACTATGTAGCCCAGGCTGGCCTTCAACTTATAGCAGTCTTCCTGCCTCAGCCTCTGGAGTGCTGGAGTTACAGGTGTGCACCTTCATGCCTGGTCCATCCTTACTTTTTAGCCAGAATATTTAAATACCTCCTAAGCCATTTTACATCGTTATTTTGAAGCTAACTTTTTAGATTCTTACTTAATTTTGAGGAGAATTCTGAATTATTATGTATAGAGACTTAATATAATAAAATATTGAACAGAAGAACCAAATTTAATATCACTACATGTGTTACTGTGTGCCCCAGATATTTTCCCCAGAAAATAAAAACGTTCTGCATCTTTCAATTTTATACTCTTTGTGTTGTCAGGGAGGACATTTAGGGCTAAGGAACAGAGATGTTCCTTATTATGAAAGGAAATATCTAAAAATATAAGTTAACATTTAAATGAAGGACTTGAATTCTCCTAATTTTTAAGAAATTGTGTCGGTCCCAGGCTTCACAGTGTCCTGAAGAAGGTACATTTTGGTTCTGAGCTTTTGCGCTGCTTGCTCTACTTTGTGTTTCTCTCAGTCTTTCTCATTTTCCCGTCCAGAGGTGACGGATGAGTTCTTCTGGTGAACACACTGTACTTGCTGGTGTTTCATCAGCTGAATCCACGCGGAGCTGGGTTCACATGCACTGTGCTGGGACAGCGACACAGGGTGCGACAGGTCCTCACTGTGCCCACAAGTTTCATTTTGTTGAATTAAGTCCCGTGGTGACTCTTTCACCACACTCCCTGTCTAACCCTCATGGAGTCACTTCCTCTGAGAATTCCCATCTCTCTTTGCACATTGGTAGATTTATGTGCACCTCTGCCTTCGGCAGCTATCACGCTTCAAATGAAGATATTACGTAGAATGTCTGAATCTGGTAACATTTTTTTTAAAAAGAACATGCCCAGAAGACATACAGTCATATAGCTAATTCGTGATACAGCTTGTGGGCAGGAGTGACTTGGAGAATAATGGGAAGAAAATGAATAAACCAGAGAGGACTGCATGAAAGGCATTGCAGGCATTTTTTAAAAATTGTGATGTTCTTACAGTTTCCTTACCTTTACTGTAAGATGTTATTTTTTCCTGCCCTTTTGAGGGAAAAAAAAAGCTAAGCACATTTATTTTGACTTCTAAGTAATTATTCATATTTATGGCTTTTGTAATTGTTCCTTCTCTTCATTGGTCTTGGCTATTTATATCTGCTCCCTTAAAAAGACTACCAATAATCAGGCATCCCAGACTGGGTTTTCCTCACAGTGGTTCATTTCCTTTCAAGTGCATTAGCAATTAGCTCGCAGTATACTTAATTGTAGCTTTGTTTGACTTTCCACCTCTCTCTGCTCACTGGGTTAGTGAAGTGCATTAAAGCTTATATAAGTGGCCAGGTTTTCTGCTTTATGGAAAACTTAAAAGAAAGCAGACCTTTCATTAATGTAAAAGGAAATAGACTGTTCCTAGCATTGAGTGAGCTAAATGGCTCAGTGTAGGGAGGTACAATAGGAAACCTGGACCCTTCCCAGTGCCTCCTGAGTTTTCCCTTTGCCATGTTTCTGTGTTACTTTAGATTGAAGTTATTCCCAGAATGTCAGGTATACTCATATTCAAATATAAGTACCAAACATATCCTAAAGCTAAATAGAAAAAAAATTATTAGCCACCCTATTGGTTCAAATAAAGTGAAAGTTAGCTATAAATTTTCAAATGTAATTTTCTGTATTTTAAGATGTAACTGGGTATGTGTTTTTTTGAAGGGCTCCAATAGGATAATTCCCTAGTTGATGCAGAATGGAAACTAAAACATTGACATCTTTACTTATTTCCAATTTAAATTACTTTGGGGGGGGGATATAGAGTTTTGCTTTCATTGGCCTTGTTTTACTACCATGGGAGTTTACTTTCATCTCAGTTCCCATAGATAATCTGTGAGAAATTCTTCAGGGCCTGAAACAAGAGTATCCCTAGGGTTACATGATCTGACCTAATCAACCATGAGTGCTCTCATACTCTTGTTTTGTTTTGTTTAAATCCCTTTATTTCACTAAGGCCTTTCTCAATTATCTTTCTCCTCTCTCCTTGATTAGACATCGATGAGTGCAGCATCATTCCTGGGATATGTGAAACGGGCGAGTGTTCCAACACCGTGGGAAGCTATTTTTGTGTTTGTCCACGTGGATATGTAACCTCAACAGATGGCTCTCGGTGCATCGGTAAGCTGCTGACTTAAAAGCACAATATACTGTTCCTTTATAGGGACAGAACAGCCCAAGCAGGTATGAAGATGGCAACAATTATAAAACCATTGAGGAAATAGCTGAAAGTGGTTTAAAGTAAACGGTACCACTCTTGAGGGACCAACAGACCAGGTACTGTTCGCAAAGACTTCAGCTTCGGAAGCCATCTGGGTTTGTTTTATGTTGTCAAAATCATTTGGAGGGTCAAGAAAGACTTCCTCAAAACATTGTTCATGCCCAGTGTTACAGACACAAAAGCATCAGACTTTTAAAATCCTCTTTGGGAGACAGAATGCAGTAATTAAAAGTTCTTTTTTTGGTATGAATCATAAATGTGGTACACATCGTATTCACTTAGAGCATGTTTATTCCAGTAAAAATAGGTATTACAAAAAAGAAATTGGCACCATTAATTTTGTGTGTTAAGGTATATTCCAAAGCCAGATAAATTTGTATGCTCTCCTTTGTTTAGAAAGATGAAACTGTGCTTCTCAGTCCTAGGGTAGATCATCCATCACTGAGTAGGCCCCAGAATCCTCTCTTGCCGTGAGCACAGATTGTGAAATATCCTTTGACACATGATCATGGCATAGTGAGCCACCCTTGCTTTTGTCTCCTTGAGTGTTCAGCTTAGTTAGTTTCAACTGTAAGCTGCCAGCAGCTAAAAGCGAGGAAGAAATACATGCAGTTCTCTGTGGCGGCACTGAGGAGTCACGTAGTATGGGGATTAGAGGAGTGTATTCAGTACCCAGAGAAGGGGCCTGCTTGGTCCACTAGAAGGCCTACTCCACCAGTACATGGACTAAGGCCCGAATTCGGGTGATAACATGTAATGATGAAAACATGACAGATACAGGTTGTGCCTTCAGGGACCCATACTGCCATCGTACGTACTGGTGGAAGAGTAGGAATGGTCATCATAGGAGAAGAAACAGTGGTAGCAGTAGTAAACATCACAGCATTTTTACATTTATGAAACATTTGTAAGACTGTGGACAGCTCCATTATCTCATTATTTCAAAACTGTAAGGCCTCAGGCAAGAAGCTGCTCTCCACTTGTTTCTTCTAGTAACTTTGCTTCAGTAAAATCTTCCATATCGTCATCATTATTAAATTATTAGGAGAAGGAGAAAATGCAGACTCCTTTAGGATCAGGTCACGCCTGTGTTCAGGATTCACCTCAAACCACCCGTGACTTCACACTCATGTCTCACGCTTACACATCCACCACACTGCCTTACTTTGTCCACAGTGTCCCCTCTGCCCGGAACATCCTCATTCCCTTCTTCTGTGCTCGTTAAAACCCCGTTAATTCTTTGGATCTCAAATCAAGTATCACGTTTTGTAGCCATTCTAACCTAATGCACATTTCCTTCTTAGGCAGAAATAATCCACCTTTTCATTATAATTTTCACTTCCTTCATTTCAGGGTTTCTCGCACTGTCACAAGTACTTGTGCTCTCCTATCACAAGTACAGAGCTCCTGGCCAGACTGGAGCTCCAGGGTGCCTGCCTCGTGCAGCTCATGTAATGTCTTGCATAAGTTGTGTGCTCACTCAGTCTTTTTTGAATGAATAGGAAAACCAACAAATGAATAAATTAGATCATGTTGGGTTCAAGAACTTCGTGTTCTTGAACTTCATGTTGGCTGACAGCTGCTTTGTGTCTTTGGCATCCTGTCGGATGCGATGTTATGGCACTGAGCTGTGGTCCTGGATGCCCAGAAGGCAGGAGCTGGCGTGAGCTGCAGAAACTGAGTCCTTAGCTATCCAGAAGTGCCTCTCATTTCATCACCAGCATTCTATCCCAGGAACAGAGGAACACTCCCAAAGCAGGGAGAATGACTCTTAGAAATTAGAAAGCCAATGTTTAAATTAAGGGCAGAAAGGAAAAAAAGGAAAAAAAATACATATGTATACACAAGATAGTTAAGTTTTACAGCTAGCTTCTTAGTTCCTTGAAAAGAATGTTTTGTGCTAATGTTGTTTAGACAGGATATCATGCCTGTATCTTGTACTCTGATTAACTAATACACAGAAAGCAATATGTAATGTATCAACTATTATAACTGTCCTACTAACCTTTTTCAAAACTTGAACTAATTGTTTATCTCTTTTTAAAATTAAAAAATTAAGCAACTTGAAAATTTTTTGAGTAACTGTGTTGCATTTGGAATAAGTATGTGTTTTCCATATGAAAGAAAAATCTCACATTTAAATGTGAGAGCTCTTTGACTTTGATTTTTGAAAATGAATCTTGGATGAATTTAGTTAGGATTGAATTGTGTGTCACAGATACTGCCATATGGCTTTTGGTAACTATGGACAGTATATTAATGGTAATGAGCTGGTTAAACTCACAGCATTTTTTAGAATGTTTTCTGTTCCTAAGACCCTAAGTCTGAAGGCTGGGGATATAGCTCAGAGGCACAAGCGCAAGGTCCTGAGTTCGATTCCTGGTGCCAAAAAGAAAAATCCTAAGTCTGTATCTTGTTTTTTAGTTTTGTTTCGTTTTATGTGTAGAAAAAGTTTCACATGGCAGGAGAATTTAACAGGGCATTTTAACTTTAAGATAGGGTAGTGTTCTCATTTCATTGTATGCTAAACACAAAAGACAAATTCCTGATGTAATTTTATCTGGTGTGTTATCTAGTGTTTAAACGTCCAGGAAAGAGCTGTTTTTTAAAGGGCACAATACTAACATGTTCCATTTCTAAAAGGAGATGAAGCATAACTAATAATCTTTTCCTTAAAAGCATATTAATAGCATTACTTAATGAGCATTAGGTCATTTTGGAATTCACTGCCGTTGGCATTATTAATACCTACTTTCCACATTGAAGCACGGACACTGAGGAATGATGGAAGCAGGCATTAAGCAAAGAATGGATGGAGAGGCAGCAGTGAGCAGCTCTGCAGGCAGGGTAGTGTGTCCCTGTGACAGCAGGGACCCTAAGCAGGAGGACTCACAAATGCCAGTCAGCAGCAAGTTTAGAAAGTGAGATCAAGCCTTTAGAAATTCTCACAGTAATGTGATATTGTCACAATAACCCCGTGCTTCTCTTTGAGCTTTACAAAAGTTCTCTGTGCTCAGCAAGGATGTGAGCAGGACCATAGGTGCTAAACATGCCTGAGTGGGCTCAGGAGATGCGAGGAGAGTTTGTCTGGGACAGACACCTAAATAAGAGAGGGTGGAAGTGAAGGAGATGGGCTGAGATGAAGGTTCTGGTGCTGAGGTTATCGGGTGCCATGCTGAAGAGCTCCAGGGTGATCCTGAGGGTGGTGAGAATCCATCAAGACTTTTGAGCAGGACGGGGATGAAAATCAGTAGGGCGGGGTATGTTTTTGGAGGTGAGATGAGATGACAGATTTTTAAATGTGGAAAGAGATCATACAGTGACACAATGTGATGGCCATGATAGGCTTTTAAAACATGAAGCAAGTGAGGAAGTGCTCCTTAACACTGGGTGATGACCACATGTGAGAGTGTGCATTTGCAGCAAGCACTTCAGAAAGGCCCAGATTCCTAAATATGTTTAACTAAACAACGCTGAGGAAGGATACAAGGGTGAAGCAGTGTACTGAACAGAGTTTTAGCTTTCATTGGAGCTGGGTAAAGGGCGAGTGGTGAAACAGAGATACTTTAATTAAGAAAATGTTTTGTGTTCAGTTACTGTTGAATAATGGAGACAAAATTTACAGGAAGTATCTTAGAAATAGGAAGAATCTGCAGAATTAATCAAGGGGAACCCGAACCGGGGCCAGAGCATCAGAGAGGCAGGTGCAGGCAGCCAGTGTCTTCGAGACAATGGCTGCTATTTACCAAGTGCTCCCCTCTCCAGCGCCCTGTCCCGGGCTAACCTCTGTGCTTTCTGGCTGAACCCTCCACTTTTTAATGAGCAAAGGAAGCATATTATTTCGGCATATAATCCCCAACTGTTACCAGGGTTTCATCACATTGTATAATTAACCATTAGTTCTCTTAAATTCAGTTCAGACTAAATGTCAGGCCATGAAACACACCTATAAGTGTACCATTATTTTGTTTCCAGGTGGTTTAATATTTTAATCAGAGGAGAGATGAATTGCTTCCTCTTTTTCCTGGTGGCTGTAAATAAAATTCTTGCAAACCTTGTTCAGGAAGTGGAGCGAGGGTGATGGAAGATAATTAGAGGAATAGATCTGTTTTCTTTACATATAATGTATCTACCCTACAATTAAACATACACCAAGTGTTAGAATGATTTTTATGGTGTTTCATTTCCATTTGGCCCTCTCGATTGCTTGTTTTAAGGGTTGATACTCTGGAACCACATTTTTTTCCTTCAGGTGCCCTTTTTTAATTCAAAATATTCTCCCCCATGGTAACATTTTTGATACAGCTCTTTCTAAGGACCATGACATTTCAGACACACAGAGGAAAGAATGATAACTGTACTGTACTGGGTTACTATGAAATACATTTGGCTTTTTGGAAATCTACTCTATGAGACACTACATTCTTCTGCATCTCATCCCTTGAGTCAAAACATATGCTAGGGATATTTGGGCTTGTACTTTATGAGGGAGTTTCCTATTATGTAATGGTGTGTGGAAACTAGGCTTTTCATCTTGTGTGTTCAGTGTCTAGTGAAACTATCAGAGTTGGAATAAGTGTCTCTAGAGTTTAACAGAAGCTTAAAGATGAAACCTGACTGCGTGCTCACTTACCTCCTGAGAGTCTCATTTTCACCCCTTTTTGGGGCTCCGTTTTAGTCATTCATTTATTTATTTATTTAGGCAGCTGGGTGATACTTCCCTAAATATTTTTTATTTTACCTAGTATATGTTGATTGAGAGGGACAAATCAGCATAGCTAATCCACTATTCAGACAGCTAACCCACTATTCTGCTAGAAACATAAAATATATTGTTTTATTGTATTCCTCCATCAACACTGTTTTATAAAGAATAAGAATTAAATATTGTTACAAAGTCAAACAGTTAAATAATATTTGGTTGTAAAAGTAGTTTTCTTGACTCGGGGCTGTAGTTGTTTTATTTTCTCCAAATCTTAGGTTACAACCTCCTCCTGTCAGAATCCTTGAAGAAGTAAATATTTCCACCCTACTTTGTGTAATGATTGTGCTCTATAACATTAGTGATTACTAATAAGAGTGTGGCACTTTCTTATCTGAATTGACAGCCTGTTCTTGAGAGGTATAACAATCAAGTAAATCTAGGAATATAATACTTTGGGCTCCTCAAATGAATATTTTAAAGCTTATCTCCTTGGATCATTGTGCAGAATAGAAATGAATCTGTGCAATTCTTCCCACCAAAAAACAGTACAAGCCCAGATCTGCAGTTTTTTAAAAGTCTTCAGTGAATTTGTACACGCATGCGTCAAAGTCAGCACTTCGCCCTTTGAGCATACTGGGTTTCTTTTGAGAAATGGAAGGTTACATCGTACTTCTTAGGTGGAATATCCTGATGCCAATTCATTTATTTCATGGCAACTTAGAGGTGACATGGGGCATACTATGGGCCATTAAAGGAAATAGTGTATTTATGTTAAAATCTGGATTTAGTGCTAAAATTTTTTATTCTGTTAATGGAATTATTTGTAATTAATGATCTTCATCTGCATCATTGTTTTGCAGCTCCTGAATGTTGTAGTATATTTTCTTGTGACCATCCAGCAAAATGTCTCTGGAGCCCTCTTAATAAAGTTTGAATAACATAGTTAACTAGGCTCATAATTTTTTATTGGTTAAAATAAAGGCAATTTCAGTTATAAACCCACAAAGTTTATAGATAATATTGATCTTCTGTCCCCATGCAATTGTGCATTTTATGTGGTCTTTTGCAGTCATTGTGACTTGTCTTCTAACCTTTATCTGCCTTTCCAATGCATTCTCAACCCATATTTGATCAGCTTGCTTCCTGACCCCAGGTTCTGCAGCATGGTGCAAACTCCTCATTGTAGCATTACTAACAAATTGTTTGTCCTAGTTACTTTTTTTAATTGCTAACACAAAATACCTGACATCCAAAGTTAAAGGAGGAAAGGCTTATTTCGGCTCACAGTTTGTAGAGGTTTCAGTATGGAGTTGGCTGGCTCCCAGGCAGGGTAGGTGGTGTGGCAGAGGGGCCCCACAGAAGAGAAACAGTTCATGGTGGGCAGAAGGCAGCAAAACAGTGAAGAAGCAACCAGCAAGTGAACTGCAGTGACATTCTTTCTGCCTCTTATATTTTATCCAGGCTACTCTCACACCCTCAGTACTAGCAGTGCACCATCATTCAATCCCAGCATCACATACCCTAGATCCAGCCACTTTCAAAAAGCTCCACTGATGCCACATCAGGCTTTGAGGGGACATCTAGATGCAAGCCATAGAAGTGCTACTCCTGAATTCTCACCCTGCTTTACCCTCTCATCAGCGCTGGACCTACTTTGCTACCCCCAGTTCTTGAAAACATCTCATCCAGCCTCATGGCTTAGCCTAACTGATAGCTCACAGATATGTATCTTCAGCCTGACTGTTCCTCTGAGTTCTAGGCTAGTTGATTCTACATCCCACATGTAACATGTATTAAAGAGGAACGTTGCTTTGTGTCTGCAATTTCTCACCTGCTCATCACCATCTGAGATTTGCAAGTCAAAAATTCAGGAAGTGTTTAAGACTTTCTTTCATACCCCACATCTAAGCAAGTGCCCAGTGGCCCTACACTCAGTGGCCCTGCCATCTGCTCCCTTCAGCACCGCCCTGCTGCTACCCTCATGAAAGCTGTAATCGTCTCTCAAACAAAGGTCTGCCTTGTCCTCTTCATTGGCTCCCTGCTCTCACTAAAGTGAGTTTCTCATAGCAACCAAGAGATCTTAAAAATGTCAACCACTGTAATCAAAACCCTTCAAAAGATCTCATATCATTCCACTAAAATTCTCACTGCCTTCTCTAACAGCCTACAGGGCTACAGCCCACGCCTCATTATCTCTCTGAGCTCATGCGCTTCCACTTGGCTCTGTATGCGCCTCTCTAGTTACGATGGACCCTCACTCTTCACGCACGTCAAGGACATTGTCTTCTTCCTCCTCGAGCTTCTCCTTTGGATGCCCCCATGACTCATGTCCTCGCTTTAGTCCAGCATCTGCTCAGCTGTTACTGTTTCAAGCTACTGCTAATTAACCTTTCTGATTTAGCGCCTGTATCAGTCAGATGTTACTGCAAAGTGAACAACCCCAACCTGTCAATGGCGTAAAGCAGGACACGTGCTGGGGACTGGAGTTGGGCGTTGCTTTCCTGCAGGGGCAGATCTGCCTGAGCTTAGCATCTCTCTGCGATTTGTCCTCACATCTGCTTCACATCTTTCATGTTTGTACTCCTGGAATATGACTTGAATAAATGTATAGAAATTGAGGCAAATGAACGGATATAATAGAGACTAAGCAAAATAATTCACTTCACTTGCACTCTTCTATTGAATGAAATGATTGTTTCAAGAACCTGAGGTAATTTGGCAATGCATCTTATGCTCACTGTATGTTCAGATCAGAGAACAGGCACGTGTTTCTCGGGCCTGGTGAACGGTCGCTGTGCACAAGAGCTCCCAGGGAGAATGACGAAAACGCAGTGCTGCTGTGAGCCTGGTCGCTGCTGGGGAGTTGGAACCCTTCCTGAAGCCTGTCCTGTCAGGGGCTCTGGTGAGTGCCTGCCTGCAGGTCTCCTCAGAATAGGCATTGTTGGGTAATCCAGTGACAGAGATGTGCTTTGCTCTTCCCCTTGAAGTCAGACCATACCTGTATTTTCATTGGTGTCCTCAATAATTTAAGTGTTTTTATGGGGATAGCATTGTTTATTTGAGATCAGTCTTTATAACCCCCAATTAGTACCATCAGACAAACTCTGAAAACTGATTGACTTTGTTTTGGTGCAAGCATTTAAAGAATCATATTGTAAAAAAAAAAAAAAAAAAAAAATGTTGTATTTAAATTTAAATTTTAATCTTCCTGGTCCTTCATTCCAGACCTCTAATATCTTCAAATGATAAAGCTCTGCATTTGTAGTGCAGGAATACTGTCAGCTTATAGTGTCCCAATCCTTGAAAATATTTTTTCTTTCTCCTGACATTGAAAATTTAAACTTGTCCTGTCTGCTCTATTAACTGAATCAACATTGGAAAATAACTTTAGAATGAATGGGAAGTAGCTCCTTTTGTGAAATGTAACATGAATAGTAAAGTGTAATTAATGTTTATCACATAAAGATGTAATGATAAGTTCTCTTTTTCATATTGAATGATCAAATCATTAAAAGGAATTAGATTTTTAAGATACTTATGGTATATACCTGTGTATATAGTTACAAAGAAAAAATCAAGACATATTCTTCATTCTTTCAATATCACTGAGCTAATAAACAAAATTAATTAGAATTGTGGAGCAAAGTTAATGTGTAGTAAATAATTCTAGAATCCTCTAGTTCCACCAATAATATATGATTAAAAAAATTTATTTCTTCTGCTGGAGTGCTCTAATTCTTTGAATAGTTAAGGAAATAGGTCAATAGCTAGATTCTTGCTTTTGTTCACTCAGGTTTGATACTTGTAAAGCCAAAGAGAGGGAATAAAACTTACTGGATATTGTCTGCTATTAAAATCCACATTAGTAAGAAAAATATTATTTTGGAGCCATATTAAAATATATCCCTTAAAGAAAAGACACAGGAAAGTGTGCAGGTGTAATACTGATGAAGATTCAACTAAAAGGAAACATAGAATACATCACCAAAGCTCTAATTTTCACCTGCTCAAGTAAATTCTTTGCATTCATGCTTATGTCTGAGATTTTATGTTTTACTTAGTAGCATAAAATTAAAATTTAAATGTAAATTATTATTTATGCTACTCAGTCAAAACGATGTGGCATACAGATTTTAAATATTTTATGAAACACCGGTACCTTTCCCCTGCTCCTGACAGAACTGAAGACATTTGTCAGGATAGCCTGTGTGAGGAAAGGACTTAGCTCAGTAGAAACGCACTTGCCTACCATGTGTGAGGCCCAGGGTTTGATCCTCAATGCAGCAAAAGAAGATAATAACCTGCTTGTGTGTGTAGAATTGGTAAACTAAAATGATCTATATCAACATGCCAATCGCTTTTATTATGCCAAGGGACATTCATTTGTGTTTAATGAAACTTTCTTTCCTTCTAGAGGAGTACCGCAGACTTTGCATGGAGGGACTTCCCATGGGAGGGATTCCAGGGAATGCTGGTTCCAGACCTGGAGGCCCTGGGGGGAATGGCTTTATCCCCAATGGCAATGGCAATGGCAATGGCTATGGCCCAGGAGGGGCAGGCTTCCTCCCCATCCCTGGAGGCAATGGCTTTTCTCCTGGTGTCGGGGGAGCTGGTGTGGGAGCTGGGGGACAAGGACCCATCATCACTGGATTAAGTGAGTGGTTATAGTTCCTGTAAATTCTTTAGATTTTTGCCTCAAGTGATACTATTATACGATCTACTGTATATTTTTAGTTTGCAAAAAGTGGGTATGTGTACCAGCACATGTGTGTGTGTGTGTGTGTGTGTGTGTGTGTGTGTGTGTGTGAGAGAGAGAGAGAGAGAGAGAGAGGGAGGGAGGGAGGAAGGGAGGGAGGGAGAGGGAGAGGGCACACCTAATTCAAAGTCTAGGTTCTTGGAAAATATAAATGAGAGCCTGGTAATACCTTGATCCAGATGCCATCACCAAAAAGCATGCTTTGGGTTTCACTGTATTTGACTTGGCCTGTTGCAGATGCCCTATTTATGTACTCCTTCAAATATTTTCCAAAACCATTTCTCAACTAAGATAAACTAAGTGCTGTTCTGTGCCTATGCAAATATTGTAATGCACATACCTTTTCCTTACCTTTTTGTTAAATTGCTTAAGAAACTGAGAACCGTAAGTTTCATACCAGAATTGGCATTCATGTTCTTGCAATTTAAATTCATTCTTTTTAAAGCACTGCTCTTGTTAATACTATTTAATGATGTCCTGCAGTGTTATGTTTATCTTTTTTGGCATATTGCCTATTTACTATTTCAAAATATACAGCAGAGTTACAAAAAACAAATGGAAAACACTCAGATGCATAGGAGAACATTCCTGAAATTTTAAGAAAGACATCATTATGGGCAAAGTTTCCAGATGTGTAACTTAAATGCAAATGCAAATTATAGCCATGTGCCTCAAGAATTTGCTTTTAGATCCCCCAAATTACAATTTAATAAAATATAGAGTACTGTGGGCTTCTGATACACACTTGATTAATTCACAATCAAATAGCCTTTTAAAAGTGAACTTGAAGAAAAGCACTACATGTTGTAGTGATTAAATATTACCTATGTTTTCATTTCTCATAGCAATTCTGAACCAGACAATAGATATCTGTAAGCACCATGCTAATCTTTGCTTAAATGGGCGCTGCATACCTACTGTTTCTAGCTACCGATGTGAATGCAACATGGGTTATAAGCAGGATGCCAACGGAGATTGTATAGGTAAGTTCATGATTCTTTAATCCTTATTTTTTTAATGGCTGTCAGATGATAAGAACCTTTTGGCCTGAATATGATTGTTTAAAGATTTTTTTTAAAGTAAAGCCCCCAGGTTGTCTCCTGTGTGTGCATACTATTCCATGTACTCCCTCCTGCCTTTAAACTACATGCTGACCTCAAGAATTTCCCATTCTTCCATTTTTCAAAAACAGTAGTGGATTACACCAATCTGATGCTTAGATATTTTGATCTTCAACTTATTCACATTCTTAAAATTCATTGGTTATATCTATCAGTAACTAACTTATTAGAAATCAAAGTTGAAAAATTTAAAACATCCATTTTAAAATGATGCACTCATTGTGTGTGAACATGCATAACATTTTTATGAAAAACTATATTTTCTAAAACAAAAGAAGTGAATGGCATTGTTTTCAGTTTTTGCAAATCTACTTAATGTCTGCCTTCATAGAAGCCAACTGGATTCTCATCTCATATCTGCATCTGCGTTTGATCTGTTCCAGTGTGTTGTTTTGGTTGAAGACTGTAACCATCTTCAAACAGATATATACTTGGGAAGGAAGAAGAATATTTCATAGATTTTTCAGATGATTTTGTATATTCTTTCAAATATGAGTATCTTTTATTTATTTTCTTCATTATTGCTCTGGTTAGAACTTGCAATAAAATAGTGAATAGACACAGTGGGATTGGATATCCTTGTCTTATTTCTGATCTAAGGAAGAAAGCATTCATTGCCATTAGGAATAATGTTAGATACAGTTCTTGAACATAATCTTTTTTCCTAGTCTGTTGAAATTTTTTTTTCTGGCATAGATGTTGGATTTTGTCAAAACCTTTATCTGCTTCTACTGAGATATGCACTTTAAATTCTTTTTCTAGTTTGTGAATATGGTTAATTGCTTACGTTGCTGTGATAATGCCCTCTTGATTATGGTGTTTTATTCTTTTTATATGTTATTGGGTTTGATTAGCTAAAAAATATTTTAGAAGTTTTACATCTGTGTTCATAAAGGATAACAGTGCTTCCACTTTTGTGTTTACCTGAGTATGCTGTCATAGTAACACTGACCTCATAATACAATTTGGGAATTGCTCCCACCTTTTCAAATTTCTTGAGTTTGTATAGAATTGGTATTATTCCTTCCTTAAATGCTTGGTAGAATTTATCATTGAAGCTATCTACGAGAAGATTTTTAGCTACAAATTCAATTTTATAATAGATACAGAACTATTTGGGTCATTTCTCCTCAATTGAGCTTCACAGTTTTGTCTTTAAAAGAATTTGTCCATTTAATCTTAGTGTTGAATTTATGATCAAAAGTTGTTCCTAATATTTCCTTACTTTTCTTATGGAATTTGTATTGATATTGTCTTTGATATTGGTTAATTTGTGTATTTTCCTTTTTAATTTTTCTGGATCAGTCTAATTAAAGATTTATCCATTAAAGTTTTATCCATTTATCCATATTTGTTCTCAAATAACTAGCATGATTTTCTATTCTTTTTCTGTTTTCTATTTCATTGGTTTGCACTCTGATTCTTACCATTTTCTGTCTTACATTGACTTGATGTAATTTGTTCTTTTTGTTTGTTTGTTTTGTTTCTTTAAATGAAAGCCAAAGTAATTACTTTGAGACTTTCTGTTCAATATTGGCTTTTAGTTCTATACACTTTCACATAAGTCCTTTAATTTCATCCTACAATTTTTGATAAGTTGTCTTCTTTTTCATTCATTTTAAATACTTTGCAAGTTCTGTTATTATTTTGATCTAGCATCATTAGAGTGTTTGTTACTTGGTTTCCAAATATTTGAGATTTTTCCAGAGGTCTTTTTGTGTGTGTGTGTGCCAAGAATTGAACTCAATACCTTGCGCTTGCTAGGCAAGCTCTGTGCCACTGAGCTGTATCCCTGCCCCCTAAGATCTTTCTGTAACCAGTTTTTTATTTAATTTTATGTTATTAAAGAACATAATTTGTATCAGTTGAATCATTTCTCATGTAGTAAGACTTGCTCTATGCCCAGATATGCCCTATATTGTTTCATGTTTCATTTTAGATTATTGTATTATTGATTTCAAGTCCACACATCTTTTCTTATTCATGACTAGCTTGACATCAATGCCATCTAATGCATTTTTTCATCTCTAGAAGTTCAGTTAGGGTCTTCCTTGGATATCCATCTCTAGCACTGCATTTTTAATCATTATCTAGCACTTCGATGTATAAACTTCAATTATAATACTAGTATCCTTTCCCTGCTAATTAAAACATCTGTGTCAGATGTGGGATGTAGTTGACTTATCTTCATGATGTAGGTCTTTATTCCTGCATCTTTGTGTGATTATTAATCTTTAACTGAACACTATCATGTGTTTTCCTTTGCTGAACACTTGGTGTCTTTGTAGTCCTGTCAATATTCTTGAGTTTTATTCTGGGATATATTACATTACTTGGAAATGGTTTGATCCTTTCTAGAATTGCATTTAAGATTTTTGGGCGGAACTAGAGCAAGGTATAGTCCAGTGCCCTCTGTTCCCTGCTTAGAGACATGATCCTTCTGTGTGCTTACTCTCCTGAGCACTCCATGAACTCTGACAGCTGTCTGTTTGCAAGAGATGCTGCTTCTTGCCCTGTGTGGGGCCACTCACTCTTACCTCTTATGTTTTTGCATAATTCTCCCTTTGGTTTCAGTTGCTTCCTGACACGCAAGTGCTTATTCATGTTCTGCTGAACACTAGAGGAGGACTCCATGGCATTCTCAGGTGTTTTTGTTTTCATTTTTGTTTTTATGCACCTCTCCCTGTATAGTAGTGTTTTGTAAACAACAATCACTTGTGTTTGGACTCAGCCCTTCTTCCTGCTGCCGTAGGAAATCAGTGCATTCTGCCTGGGTTTCTTCTTCCTGTACTATGTCTGAAAACTCTGTTGAAGCCACAGCCGAAATACTCATGGTACCTGGCATATTCCTTCCCATCTCTTAGACATCTGTGTTCTTGATTACCTGATACTAAGTTTCTTTAAAACCATAACTTCATATATATTACCATTTGTTTGTATCCTAAGAAGGAAGAGTAAATCCATCTTGGTCAGGAACATAAATTCTTCCTATTTTTTTAGTGAAAAATTTTTGCAATAAAGAACATGGACACAAAAAGGCTAGTTAGGCAATATTTATAAGTTCAGGCAGGAAGTTATGACAATAATGATATAGGGCTGTAGAACAACAGAATGATTCTACAGATATTCCAGGGGCTATTCAGTGGGAACTGATGAAATTAATTGTGGAGAGTTAGAGAGTAAGAAACTACAGTGATTTCTCACATTTCTAGCAAAGAAAAGTTGTGTATATGATGGTATAGTTGCCATGTGGAAGTGTGTGCAAATTGGGAGAAAATGGTTCATGAGTTATTTTGTACATATTGAGCTTTAGTGTCTAGACATTTGCTCATAGAGGTTTGATACTAATAGCAGTATTCCCACTTCAGGACTTTGGACTCAGCATTTAGAACAATGAGGGTGAATATGGTCACAGGCTGAACAGTAGGAAAAGTGAAAAGGTGTAGTACTGCAGCTGGAATGCTGTGGAAGAGCAACATTTAAGGCCGACAAAGAACACTTAGCAATATTTTGGGAACGATAGCAAAATAATCTAGAAAGGGTTATATCACTAAAGCTAACAGCACATTTTTGAGGAAAAGTAATGACGGATACTAAATGCAGCAGAAAAATCAAGTGCAGTAAGGACAAAGATCTGCACTAAATTTGGTATTTAATAGGTTTCAATGATCTATTGAGAGCAGATGATTTTAGTTGAGCCATTTTGAGGTTGTTATTTTACTTGTCTGTAGTATTACCAAGTGATCATGTGTGTTTTATAATTAGAACAATTAACAGTTTGCTACAGAGCAAATTCTGGTTTGGGTCTTTTGTGAAACGATATAGATGCGGGGCCACAGAAAGTTAGCATCCTGTTTTTGCCATGTTAAGTTGAAAAACCTAAGTGAACCGTTAGTATGAGGAAAAATGTGAGCCAAATACGGTTTACAAACCAGTCATTCTAAACTAAGTCCTGGGCTCCAAGATGAGGATGATTACATGGGGCTTAGTGCAGGATTCCTGTGTACAGTCGTAGTGTCCTCTGGGGCACCATTTGCATGATCTATAAAAACAGGTTGTGCAAGGTCTAATGGTAGGCGGCAGCCCTGGCTTTGATGACACTGCTAGCGCTTACTTACGTGATAGCCTGAGTTGTGCTGTTATTTTAGGAACCCATGAAATTCTGATATCTTTACTTCTGTGGTATAACTTGAAAATGATTTTTCCATTAGAAAATATGCTAAGTATATCATATATAAAATATCCTCTCTTGCACTTATGTACACAGTGAAGATTTATCAGGCTGAAATCTGATTGGCTACTGATTTCCTACTAATACTTGTCATTTAGATGTCACTGCATATTGGTCCAATATGGAAATGTAGGCCCAAATTTTAACCTATTTTTAGTTAGCCAAAGACCATTTATTTCATATATGCCCTGAGGTGTGCCTTATTCTCACTCATAAAACACTTATAATTCTGGCAGAGTAGCTCTGTGAACCTTTGGGACAAAAATGAACTATCTTAGGTTCCTTTCTGTAGTCATGTTGCTACCCAGCCTGAAAACTAAGATGCTGCTAGAAATTAAAACCTGCAGAAAATTACAAGACTGACTGTTTTCTCAGTTCTCCAAAGATAATGTATCACCAGCACCACCATAGAAGTGAGTTAACTGTTAACTGCACACAGTGGAAGTCTTACAGTGATAGGGCCTGAGTGTTTGCAGAATCCAGGGGAGAAGGGCTGCCTCCATTCTTTATCTGATGTAGTTTTGAGATTCTTTATCTACATAGTTAATGTATCCTTGTAAATCTCACACACAGACTCTGTACCCAAACGTTGTTCCAAACAGTTACATCCTAGGTGGACCTCATCAATCAGCCCTACAAAGTTGAAGCCTCATCAGGGCTAAGTATTAAAATTCATAGAGATATAGCTTGATATCAGAGTACATTTTCAGAAAATGACTTTTTAACATTTTTAATCTTATTCTCTTTCTAGTATAAGCTTTTAATCATTTTGAGTTTAGAGCACATACTAGCATATCAAAAAAAAAGGTAAGAGAATAGTTTACTAATGTTTTTCACTATGGTAACCCATGATAAGAGTTGTAACTATTTGAATTGTGCCAGTATTTTAGTGAATAATAAATGGCCATTACTATTGGAGGACCTTTTTCTTAGATGCCTGTTGAGATAATGTAACTTGGGAGACAGTAGTTGCATTAAAGTATCAAAGACAAGGAAAACATACAGGTCCATTTGCAATTATGAGAATTATTTGTAAGGTCTATAAACTATTATATTTATTCATCATGTTTTTCTCTCCTTCTGAAAATTCTACTCTAAAATAAAATTTTGTGCCTCTCTTACTGTCCATATAAGTCCAATTATTATTAGCAATGATTTTAACTTGGTTCACATCACTTCACTTTGGAATACTGAAAAAGAATTTATTTCTCTTGGTGTATAGGTAATCTTAGAACCCTTGCAAGTTAAAAAAAAGTCTCTTCTAAATTTGTATATAAAATAGTTTTCAGGGGCAAATATTCTTTTATCCTCAATTGTTTTTCAGAATTTAACCATTGTAATAATCAGTGTTTTTACAATTCCTTCATTTATTTTAGGAGTCTAAAATCCAAGAATTTTGCTTATTAATTCATGGGATTTTATCATTATTAATTTCAGTCTCCAGTGAAAACACAGAAGTCCAAGTACCTTGACTAGTAGTTAAGTGCTTCTCCTCCTGTAAATGAGACAAAGCAAACATGATCACTTGGGGCCCTGGAATGTGAGACTCAGAGAAAGCATGAAATGTGTATTTCAGAGGGTGACAGTGATCACTTGTGCTTAGTCTGAAACTTCAAATCCTCCCATCATCTGGGGGGAGGAGGGAAGCAATAACAAATGGGGCTTAAACTCATTTGTAACTTTAAAGTCACTAATAGTTTTGATGACTGGCTTCACTTCCAATGAAGAAATGAGTAAGTGAACTCTCACATCTTCTCTATGGCCTGGACCCCGAAGAAGTCCCAAAGGGGCTAAGGAGACAGAAATCAATTACAGCTGTAATGGCAAAATGAGAAGCAGGGCTGTCACAGCAACACACAGGGGCAGCAGGTTCTCAAGTAGAGAAAATGTTTCTGAAAAGTGACCGGGCATCCCAGAAAGCTGACCTGAAGAGAAGAGGTTTGCTGTATGGGCTCATGTTCCCCCGTGGAACTGAGATTTGCATGGAGTCTTCTATCATGATACATCTCCAGGACACTTTTAATTGTTGCATTTCCATAGTTTATGCAGAGAAAATGTAAGTGATCTTCAGCAGTGTGAATCAAGGTGTTATTTCATATTGGAAAGTCCATTAGTTATACCTAATATGCTTGCTAATCCTCTGAACTCTCTCTTTTCTCATTTTGCTTCATTCCTTTGGCTCAGTAGAATTGATGTTATCAACCAAAAGTTTAAATGTAAGTGAGTCTTAATGGGCTGAAAGGGTCTTTGGATGAATTGAAAAAGACATTTAATCCTGTAATTCTTTGTTTTTATTTTATTTCCATGAAGTTTTGTTTTGTTTTTCTTTACCAGAGAGAGCTTAATTACACTCAGTTTGAGTGTTCACATCAGTGAGGTTGGTGAATTTGATAGAGCACAGTGCCTTGTTTAGGAACATCTGTGAAAGGACTAATCTGTTTATTAATATGGTAAAACTATGATTTGATTTTTTTGTTGTGCTCTCAAATTTAGCTAAAATTGTATTTGTTAATGGCTTCTACATGTACATAAAATGGCAAGTTGTTATGCCCTCCTTAGCTGGAGCACATGTTAATTTTCCAAATTCAATGTAATATTTAGTGGTCATTGCTAAGAGAATATAAATTAAACTTACATTGGCACAAGTGATCTCTCTGGGATTTTCCTGGTCCAACTATTCAAGCTCTTATTTGCAGTCCCTTAATTCTGCAGGGTGCTTCCATTTAATCAAGCCTCAGCAGACGTTAAACAAAAAGATTTTCTCATATTTCATATCAGAACTGGTATTTGCACAACACTTTATTTTATGTAAAAAAAATAAGTGAATCCCAGTGCCAATTTTAACACCCTAAAGAAAGCTAAAGCTGATGAAAAAAAAAATTCCTTTGTTTTCATTTTCTCTCCCACCCATGTTTGTTACCGCCGAAGGAAGGCTCAGTTAATATACAGTTGTACAGAGAGATGAGTCACAAAGGGTAATAACAAAGAAATTCAGTAATCCCGCCATCTCTTACAAACAATAGCATTGCAACATATAATAAATATGTATCTTTACGAGGTATTCTTTGGACACTTGAGGTACCAAGCCTTAGTGAGCCCCAGTGCCCACATTTCTGTAGGGAATGAATGCTTCCGCTGAATGGAGCTCATGGTTGTCCCTTCTCAGAGCTCATGCTTTTAATTATTGGACATTATTCCATTTGAAAAATCATTATTTCTTGAGTAAAGTAAATTCTCTTGTATTCTCCAATTGGCAGTATTTTTGTAAATCTTCAGGCTGGCCTCTGTATTTGAAGAAAGGAATTTTCATTCATTTATAAATACTCTGCTATTTAGACTATTACCAGCAACTGGCCTTCTCTCAAATTTGGAAGGGCTGAATGTACTTTAAACAAACATTTCTACAAATGGAGTGAAGTCTATAATGGTTTCTTTTGCTGCTCACAGATGTTGATGAATGCACATCAAATCCCTGCACTAATGGAGATTGTGTTAACACACCTGGATCCTATTATTGTAAATGTCATGCTGGATTCCAGAGGACTCCTACCAAGCAAGCATGCATCGGTAAGGCAGTTTCCCTTCACATATGAAAATGTGCCGTGAAATATCGTAACCAAGACTGTTGAGGTCAAAAGTAAATTTATTAAAATAAGTTCAGCGTGGAACGAGTCCTGTTACATTATTACATATTTATTCTGTAATATTCACAGAGGTTCACTCTTTACACATACTCGATGTTTGCATATTTAACCTAGGCAGTGTGCTATCTGGCTTCTAAAAACTTCAGTTTATCTTTCTTCCCTTCATCACACCCTCTTTTCTCCAAGTAAGCTCAGCATTACCCTTCTCTGATTAACACAGTTGGAGATGTACAGTCATTCTCAGCTAGTCTTTTCTTTAAGCCCCACACAGAGTCCAACGTCAGATCATGCCTTGTGTTTTCTCACAGGTTCATGGCTACACCCAGCCCCATTGTCTAAACTCTCTGCCTCGCTGCTGATTCATCTCAGAATTCTTTTACCAGATAACTATTTTCTCTTTCATTTCCTATTCATCCAGGGATAGTTGCTTGAATCAACTTTCCCCAGTAGTTTTCATCATAAGTCTCTCAATCCAGAAATTCTGGAGTTGCTTTTCATTTGACCAACATCTTGTTCTTTCTTTTCTTAGGGTCTGTAACCACTATGTCAAAAACAGCTGTACCCGTCATTCCAGCCACCCTACTGACCCTCTCTTAGGCTCATTGCACAACCCATTTCCTTTTCTCCTTTCCTCTTCAGCCACTATATGGGCTGTAAAATTGCTTAGACCTAACCGACCTATCCAAGGAGGAGCAATGGAAATTTTGCTGAAGCAGCAATACAGTCATGGATATTACATGTAAAAAGAAACTGGACATTTAAAAATTCCCTATCTTACCATTTTGAATCTATGTGTATTATAAAATAACAATGGCTGACTGTCCTCAATTGTCCTAGACATCGATGAGTGCATCCAGAACGGGGTTCTTTGTAAAAATGGTCGATGTGTGAACACAGATGGAAGTTTCCAGTGCATTTGCAATGCCGGCTTTGAATTAACTACAGATGGAAAAAACTGTGTTGGTATGGAAATATTCACTTCCTTGCAAAGGTTTTCAAGGATATACATTTTTATTTAGAACCACATACTCTGTTTCCAGGAGACCCTTCACACCTCATATGTCGTGAGAGTTCTTCAGATAGACAGGTAGAATGTAAATGCATTTAACAGACAAAGTGAAGGAAGAGATTTTTTCTTAAGAAATGTCATAACAAGGAATAATTTATTGCTTCTGGAAATTTTCTGTGTGGTACATATTTAATTGTAAGTAGTAGCTGTTCTTCATCAGTTCATATAATCCTTAGCACCTACTGTATTTTAGATGTTAGAGTTTCAGCACTGATAAGGTAGAGACCATTCCCCAGTGGGCGAATATAGAAATGTTTGGCTTATGTGGTAATTGACTCTTTAAATTTGTAGTCCTGGTGATATCTAGCAGGGCAACATACAGTAACACTCCACAAAAATATTCTATCCACATAGCAGTACATTATGTTTCACTCACTATTGAAAGTCCAGATCATTCCACTTGCAGTAAGGTTTACCATTTATTTTTCTCCCTTATAAAAGAAACACCACTGAAATCATGTTAACTTTTTTGGTGCTCAAAATAAAACACTACTCACGGTTATGGTTTACATGGTTTTAACAGGAGCTAAGCAGATGGATTGGATTCTTTTCATTACATTCCTTTTAGTTTGCCTGGCTTTTGTTTCTTGTTTCTTGAGAAAGTGCACACTCTATAGTCCAGGCCAGGCTTTGAACTTGCTACATAGCCCAGGATGGTCTTAATCTCACCATTCTCCTGCCTCAGTCTCCTACCTGCTGAAATTACAGGCATATGCCACATATCCAGTCCTGATATTCCTTGAACTAAAGGCCTTTTCCATTCTCTATACCCTTGGGTTTCACACAGTTGGCATTTATAAAATAAAATCCCTCATTACACGGCTCATTAGCATGGAGGAATTTGACTTCAGATTGGGTGAGGAGAGGAAATTGGTTCCTCAGTACCAGTGGTCAGCATCACTCTTTCTTCTGCAGATCACGACGAATGTACAACTACCAACATGTGTTTAAATGGGATGTGCATCAATGAGGATGGCAGCTTCAAGTGCATCTGCAAACCGGGCTTTGTCCTGGCTCCCAACGGGCGCTACTGCACCGGTGCGTATGCTTTTGAGATGGAAAAGTAGCCATTATTGGAGCCACCTTTTTATCTGAATGAGCCGTGCAAGTAGTACTCCATGTACAGTCTATATTTATCCAGATCTCTTGATAATTCAGTGAGGAAAGTGCCTAAGCCTTCCTAGAAAAACATACTGTGGTCTAAGGAATAGTAACATCTGTACAGAAATAATGATACAAGAAAAATTAAAAGAGTGACAGATTGGTTTTAAGAACTCTGGAAGAGACAATGTAGAAATAATTTTTCTCTGTCATTGACTGGATAAAAAAGAGAAAGAAAGCCCTTGCAAGGTTTTCATTTTAATGTGTGTTCAGAACTAGATTTTCCACTATCATTGATTGCATCTTTTCCATAAATGAATTATAAACCATTTGTAATCATAGCATTATCTAAAAATCTAACATTAGTAAGGACATAATTGGAATATTTTTGTTCATTGGTTTCTGCATGAAGCCCTTTTAAGTACCAAGTTCTAGTGGCAACTTCAGTAAATGAAGATATGTTGGAAATAAAATAAAACTCTATTATATTTATGCTCACAATTGGCATTTAGTATACTGGAATATTTTTGCCTTTATTTTTGCCTGTTTGCTCCTTTTGGACAAAATTAACTAAATGATTTCTGCCCTAACTGCACAAACTTATCTAACACATAAAACTGGAGCAATTCTGATAGTTTCAGTGAAATTCTTGGGACAATAGAGAAAATCAGGAATGTTTCTCATGTTTCTGAATGACAAATAACTTTTTGACTATCCGAGAGAGGGGGGACACTAGATGAAATGGAAATGTTGTAGCTTTGGAAGTCATCCTACAGTTAGCTGACTTGGATTTAATGCAGGATATGAGATTGGCATTATGCTATAGTAAATAGCACCGTGCGGCAGTGTGAAACTCCATCCCAGCATGTCTTAAGAAACTTAAATGTATACACAACAATAACTTAGCTCTCAACAATTTCTGCCTTCTGGAAATTCTTTCTTCATTAATTTTTATAACTAATCCATCGGTTTTGAAATGTTTCTGATTTGTCAGCTTTGAGTTTTAAGTATGTTTCATTTTTTTGGAGAAGCCATTTAATATTGGCTCATATTTGATAAATTCAAGAAGACTGAACATTAGAAGACACCTCAACTTATTTTATTCTTAGCAAAGTTACTCTCAAAACCACACTTACCTGTAGTTAAACATTTTTTATGAAAAAATTACAGAAGTTTACCTTAGTTTTTTAAAGGAATTTGTTCCATGTAACTAATTTTAATTCAATATTATTTAACAAGCCTATCTAAATAATGAAAAAGGAGTTCTTAGGTTTTTTTCTAAATGTATGAAGTAAAGCAGCTTTTACCCAACTGGGCTTTCTGAAAATGTTTCAAAGGGCTGCATTTACACACAAGATTTGCTATCATATTTGTGTGTTCTTCGACGTGTTATAAAGGTGAAAGGTTGATAGTGTAGAGCGATGGCAAAAGAAAATTCTGTGACTTGATAATGGTCTGGCTCCTGTCACCCTCTGGGCAGATGTGGACGAGTGCCAGACCCCCGGAATCTGCATGAACGGGCACTGTATGAATAATGAAGGCTCCTTCCGCTGTGACTGTCCCCCAGGCCTGGCTGTGGGTGTAGATGGACGTGTGTGTGTTGGTAAGTGGAATATGCATGATGGCCCCATGAAGATGTGGACAGAGATATATCCACCAAGATTCCCGACAGCCTCCTTGAAAGACTTGGAGGTAAAACAAGTCAGAAATGCTGGAGAACACTTTGGGAGGTTGAGGCAAGAGGATGACAAGTTTAAGCCCAGCTTGGGCCCCTTAGCAAAACCCTGTCTCAGTGTGGAAAAGGAAGGTGGTATGTAGCTCAGTGCAAAGGCTCTGGATTCATTCCTTAATCCAGCTTAGAAAACATAGTGAAGAAAAAATTGTCTTTATGCCAGCATCCTCACTAATGTTGCATAACTGAACTCTAAAGGTATTGATTTTGTAATTAATAACAGGATAATAAAACATGGACTATATTCACATGCAAGTAAACTCATACTCATTCAAACAAAATTTGAAATGTGAATAACTTATGACATAGAACTTAAACTTACATCAGAAGCTAATTTTTTTTAAGTATTCTTCACCACAATATAGTTTATAGCAGAAGTGAGGGCGAATAAAGGAGAATATATGTTCTAAGCCATTGATAATTCTCCTCGGAAACATTTGTCAAATGGATTCTATGAAAGTGAATCAGAATTCTCAAACATCATCTTTGACAAGACAGGCAAAACAGAAATGTCCCTGTCATTTCAGAACCCAGACAGTATGTTCTAATGACAACAACAGCAGAGAGAATTACAGAAATACATTATCAGAGTTTTCTTTCCGAAGTGCTTTCAGGAGACTGCAAGGATGAGCCCTCCATATTTCAGATTGTACAGGAAAACATAGAAATATTTATAAGCTTGAAAGTATATTTGAGGAAAGTAAAATTTTGATAGACTTAGTATTTTACTCTCTCTTGTAAGCATCGATTCCAAGAGGGAGGGGACAAGGAAGGACCAGCAGATGGAAATAATCTGTTCATTCAGATTCATCCACTCTATCCAGTCTGGGGTTTACTTTAGCCAATAAGGTTGTCAGCACTTTGTTCAGGGATATTTCAAACATAGCAGCTAGAAAAATGTAGCTCCTTCCTGCTTAGAAAGCTAAACTATTTTCAGTTGTTTTAATGTACTTAGTTGCTTTTGGCCTTCATGTAGATGATTATGTTGAAATCCATGGTGAACGCAAAGCTAATTTGTGAAGGGAAGTTCAAGCAGCAAACCCTGAGTTACTAGGGGTTCATTGTTTGAGCACAAAAAATTCATTCTCTTGTCCACAAACAAGAATCTGTTGGAAAGTCCCCCAGTTTTCATCAGTGTGGCAACTTCAGATTTTTAAAATAAAAACACACCTCTTATGTGTGTGTAATTATGTAATGCTGTTCTGTAATGTGCTAGGTGTGTTTTTTATTCACATCTCTATCTTTGGTATCACTTTTGAAAACTATTAAATTAGAAATAAATCATTTTTTAATTATTGGCTAGTTCTACAATCTTAAATTTCTTTTTTTCTGGGTTCACTTTTTGTTTTAGGACAGTTTTACTTTTAGAAAATTAAGCGACAGTTTTTAACTAATATGTTGAAGAAGCAGGACTCACAAGCAGAGTATAAAGAAAAGGGAACTATGTTTTTGTATCTCCCGTCTTCCTGAGTTCTATTTTTAAATTTATTGCATGGGGGCAGTTGATCCAATCAGTAAGAAAGGAAACCCGTGCCATTCCATAACTTTACTAACATTTTTAGGTAAGAAGAAAATTCTATGATAAATTTAGGTAATGAAAATAATGTGAATTTAGAAATTAGAATTAATATTCTCAACCAGGCTTTTAGGTGGCTTCTTTTCCAAGTTCAGATCTTCAGTGAGAGCCTTTGTACCTGGGCAGAGGTCCCAGTGGAGGGAGGGTGCTGAGATGGTGGTAGCAAGGCAGCTTTTATGTTGCTGATGTCTGAGGAAGGCTTTGGGATGTGCTGTCTTCCCAGATGAAGCCACCTTCTCTCCTGGGGTGGCTCATGGGTATTTCAGAGGCACTCAGCTGCCCTTCTGTTTTTCTCTGACTGGTGCCTCCTTCTCCAGCTTCTGATCCGGCAGCAGTCCACTTCACATAGACTCAATCCGATGGTGTCTCAGGGTTCCTCCATGTGGACCTCTCTTAATGTCCCCTCTTCCAGCCTGACCCAGTCCACAGGACCCACCCTATCTGTGCCGCTTTCACTTGCCTTGTTCCTGCCATGGGAGAAGCTCGTCCTGGACACCTCGCCTGTTAGGCATTGCAAGTGCAAGTGGTACACGGCTCTTCAGGCCACTGTCAGGATCTTTTCCTCCTGGTGGCCTGCAAGCAAGGGAGCACCCAGCTCATAACCCAGCTCTGGCAGAAACAAACAAAACCAAGGAAACGACCTTTCTTTATCGCCACTCTCTTAAGCTCTGTATATCCTCAATGTTGGAAGGAGTTTAAGGACCAAGTAACTAGTTTTCCAACATCTACTTCCTTTAAGATGGAGTCTCAATATCCATCTTATTATTTGCTGTTTAGCATCATAGGGTTTAGAATCCCATTATATTAGCTTAAGAAAATTTCAGCGTATTTATGAACTCTGACATTTTTATCAGCTAAAAAGGTCTTTTTCTTTTCTTTGTCCCACTTCAGGTAGGGACTAGCTGTACGTCCTTGAGCAGGATACATTAACTCTGTACCTCTTTCTTCATTAGTTGGTTTGAGGTTTAAATATGTTAGTATCAATCTGTGCAGGGATTTGAACAATATCTGACACATCAAATGCCAAATAAGTAACCAACTACTACTATTATTTTATTAAATTAGGATAGAGGCATCATATCAAGGGCATAGTCTTAAAAGTCGCTGCTGTACATACAAAAGTTACTAAAAGTAGAAGTATAAAATTAGCATTGTGCTTTAATGCATATTTTATCAGTGAGGTGTAAAATCTATTAATTACACGAAAAATCCTTAGAAGAAGAAAATCTCACTTTTAAGGCATGCAGAAATCTGATAGTATATGTAAAAAATAAATTTACATTTTTATCCAATCCCTGTTCAGAATATTCCCATGAACATGTTCTGATGGTATTGCTGGCATTGGTGTTCCCAGCCTATCCTGTCTGTCCTGTGCTATCCTGTCCGTTCCGTGCTGTCCTGCGCTATCCTGTCCTGTTCCGCCCCGTCCCACCCATCTCACCCTGTCCTTCCTGTCCCCTCCCATCCTCTGTCAACAGTGGCATAATTACATTTGAATAGTATGATATGAACTAGGATGAAAGGTCAGCTACTCTCATTAAAAATAAAAGACCCTCCATTTTTTTGGTATTTTGCTGCTTAATAATTAACAAGTATATTCATTTATTCTATAAACTATTTTATGGATAAGGACGGTATCAAGTAATTTACACAGGATGATCCCATGTAGATCTGATCCCAGGACAACTTATGTTCCTAAAACCCACACATGAATTGTACCCCTTTCGTTTTTGTGGAACTTCCAGTGTTGAGTCCTCTAAACAGCTTAGCTAATGGGTTACATAAATCAGTATGGAAAGTGTCTTACTCTTCCAGTGAGTTCCATAGACTTTATCTGCTTTGTTCTAAAAACTGTACATGGTGTATATTCTTAACCTACAAAGAGAATTAAACAACTTTGATCATTCTTTGATGCCTTGCACCATAATTGGCAATATGCAAAGAACCCACAAAAATCCTATCAGAAATCATGAACTCTGCTGTATTTATGCAGATTCTTTGTGTTGGACCACACACTCTCATCCTTTTAATAACATCATGGAAATCATTAGATGAAATAGTTTGTGTAACACCCAGATAGTTATACCTAACAATAATTATACTTATTTAAAAGTATAAATATTTATAATGAAAGTTACCTCTCATGAAATTACCACATCAATATCCTGCTTAAGGGCTGGGGATTTAGCTCAGCGGCAAAGCGCCTGCCTGGCAAGCGCAAGGTCGTGAGTTCGGTTCCTGGTACCGGAGAAAAACATCATGGAAATCATTAGATGAAATAGTTTGTGTAACACCCAGATAGTTATACCTAACAATAATTATACTTATTTAAAAATATAAATATTTATAATGAAAGTTACCTCTCATGAAATTACCACATCAATATCCTGCTTAAAAACTGCCCTGCTTCTCTGGCCTTTCTGATGATCTGAGTGGACAAAGAGAATGAGAGGACAAAGCAGAACATGCTCTTTGGGATGGAGCATGGCATAGTGGAATGAGGAAGCATTTGGAAGTCACCCAAGACCAGTGTGAATTCCAGCTCAACCACCTTGAGCTGTTACACAATCTCTGTGAGCCCTTCTTCCTCATCTACAAATGTGGGTGATGACCACTATCCTATCGAGTGGAGGACCTGACTGTTCCGTGACATCATGTCTGCAGAACAACTAGCACAAGGCCGGGGCACTTAGTGGTACTAGTTAGTTTTATAATTGGATTTCTTGAACATATGATATTAAAACATAGAGTATCTTCAAGGTTGAAAACAAAGGCCTCTTAGGAAGGACAAGCAAGAAATATTGTGGCAAGTTGTGTCACTGTGAGGTAGTTTAACTTCGCTGCATTTCTAGAAGCAACACTAGGTGCCAGGTTGAATATGAACTAGCTAGTCATCAAAGTGCCGTTTGTAACTGTAGACATGTCCTTGGTTCAGTGAAAGACCGGTGAGAGTAAGTAGGATAGTAGATACTTGTGTTAGTACACAGAACTGTTGAGGGAAAAAAGGAGTCATTGATACACACTGTCCTTCTCTCACTTAACAAACATTTGTTGGTTTCCTAACCATAAAGATGTGAAATAAAGGCGATGGCAGGTACCCTCTAAACTGTCCACTCCAGTGCCATCTTAGGTTGAAAAAGCCTTGAGTTTTGAAGTCCCTTTGTTTCTATTACTGACTCAAGTCACTGTCTTCTTCATCTCTTTCAGATACTCACATGCGCAGTACCTGCTACGGTGGAATCAAGAAAGGAGCGTGTGTGCGTCCTTTCCCAGGTGCAGTGACTAAGTCCGAGTGCTGCTGTGCAAACCCAGACTATGGTTTTGGAGAGCCCTGCCAGCCCTGCCCCGCCAAAAACTCAGGTAGTCACACGTGCCTGTTCCATACCTACAAAAGAACCTGGAATGCAACCATGGATGTCTGGCAAAGACGACATCCATGGTGAAGTGCTTTGCCCTTACTTTGAATTGAAGAAGAGAAGTTCAGTTTTGTGTAGCTATGACAGGCACATTATAGGTGCTTGGCTGATATTTCTGTGTGATCTTTGGGCAGAGAAAAAAACACAATAATTAGAAAAATCTGTTTGCTGATGCAGTGATGATTGCTACACACATTTTCCTATGAATATGTTAGCCTTGATTTCCGTGATCTCTAATGTCATTGTGATTAAAATTTACTCACCACTTTGAAGGTTATAAATGCACAAGAGCTTGATTTAATTTTTAAATTTTCGATGTGGTATGTTCTCAGGCTGCTTGCTGAGAAGCAAGTCTGTCAGTAACTCCAGACTCTTAACTTGATAAGATTAACTCATTCATTCAGGGGCTGGGGATTTAGCTCAGCGGCAAAAGCGCCTGCCTGGCAAGCGCAAGGTCGTGAGTTTGGTTCCCGGTACCAGAGAAAAACCAAAAAAAAAAAAAAAAACTCATTCATTCAGATATTGACTAAGCTGCTATTGAATATATGTAAGTACAATGGGGGTTTCCAGAATATTCACCCCCTGTTTTTCCTTAAACTGGAGAATAGCTGAGAATACTTGCAGGCAAACATAAATTACAGTTTAGTATGATTCGTGCCTTAAATGGCACATAAACAACTATCAGAGCACAAAGCTTTCTGGGAGCAGATGGAAAAGACTCACAGAGGGGGCACAATTAGTGTGTTTTAAGAAAAAAAAAAATTGGAACTTTCCATGCGGGAAATGGAAGAAAGTATTCCTACAAAGTTGATGGTTTGTAGTTCTGTTAAAAATCTGAAAATGGATTATTCAAACCTTGGCACAATGGTTTGATGCATCTTGAAGAATTACTAAGACCCATATTTTAAAAATTTAAAAAATGAAAAGTAAGGAAAAAGATCATGGTCTAAACTGGCTCTAAAGTGAATAATACATATTATGACACAGTACTAAATGTAGTTTAAAACTAAATAAAAAGTGAACCAAACAAATTTAAATAGAGACCTGGATATAAATGACTTCTATCTAGAACATACAAAGAATTGAAAAAAAATCAGACCCACCAAATTCACAGACCCAATCCAAAAATGGGCATCTGGGATGAATAGGTGCTTCTCAGATGAAGAAAGACAAAAATGGCAAATAAACACATGAAAAAAATGTTCAACATCACTGGTCATTTGAGGAATGCAAATTAAAACAACACTGAAATTCCATCTCACCCCAGAAAGAATGGTTATCATGAAAAAATAAACAGATAACAAATGCTCGAGGGGCTGTAGAGAAAAAGGAACTCTTTCTCTGTTGGTGAGAATGTAGACTAGTACACCCACTGTTGAAATCAATGTGTAAATTTCTTTAAACACTCAGATTAGAGGTCCCATTTGAACCATCTGTTCTTCTGGATATCTTCCCAGAAGAATTAAAAATATCATACCACAGAAATTTATGTGTGCCCATGTTTAAATTTGTAGTAGCAAAATCTTAAAAACAGCCCAGATGCCCATCAACCAAGGAATGGATAAAAAAGATGTGGGTTTTTTATGTAATGGCATACTATTGAGCCATAAAGAAGGATAAAATGGATTCTTTTATAGGTAAATGGATGCAACTTGAGACCATACTCATAAGTGAAATAAATCAGATCCATATGTGTAAACGTATTGTCTCACTAGTGTGAGAAAATGAGCAAGTAAATAAGATCTATACTGTACAGTAGATACTGTGTGAATTGGGAAGAAATTGTTCAAAAGAAAAGATAAACTGTGATGGGAGAAAGTGGAAAGGAAGAAAAAGAAAAAATATATGTATACACATCATAGTAAAGATAGTTATACAACTAGTTTCTCTTAACTCATTGAAAAGAAAGTTGTCTTTAAAGACAGACACCAAAATCTGAAATTTACATTTAAATTGCAAAAAGGTTTTCATATATTATCTCTTAATCCATAAGGCATTTACATTAATCAATAAGGAAAGATGAAGTAATTTATAAAAAAAATGTAGCATACACCAACAAGACTGAACAAAATGGAAGCATAAGAGATTGATTGTTTTTGTTTTTTGTTTTTGTTTTTCTTCCGGTACCAGGAATCAAACCCATGACCTTGCACTTGCCAGGCAGGCACTGTGCCACTGAGCTAAATCCCCAGCCCCAGCATAAGAGATTGATTTCCATATGAAAAGATGTGCACTTTTAAAAAAAATAAAATGACATTTTGTTTATCAGGTTGATAAAGTTATGGCAGCTGGTTTTTCTCAGTGATGGGTCTTCTCATGCTGCTGATGGCAGGGCAGTCTGAGCAAGGCAGAGAGCAAGCAGAAGCCTTGATACAAGAGACACAGCGTTTGAGAAGTTTTACTCATAAGTGAATATCCAGTGATATAAGTGAACTTCATCTTGCTTATTACATCTACTCAAGTTTGGGTAAACCTAATGTCATCAATAAGAGATTAGAGAAGTGTAGTGCCTCCAGAGAACTGAGAATAAAGTATCACGTGGCCTATTAATTGGTATACTGACAAGCTGGGCCAGGGCGGAGTACGCAGGAGCCCCGCCCAATCCCCACCATGGACTCCTCGACCTTGGGCAGTTACTGCACTTCTGAGTCCAGTTTTCCCTCTTGTGGGAGAGCAACAACAGTAGCACTTGGTTTCTGGGGTTGGGAGGATTAACTGTAAGATGTGAAATGGTAGAATACCATTCATCACATATCACACATTTTGACAATGCTGTATTTTACTACTGAAAGAAAAGAGCCAAGTTAAAAATCAGTCTCTGCAATACACTTTGTATTTGGTTTTTAGAGTCTTTCTGTATAGAATATGTTGGTAACATTTATCAATATATTAATGATATTCACAATGATATTTACAAGTGATTTTTATTTACTCTTTTTACATGTATGTGTGATTTGGGTATTCTTATTTATGTAATGGAAAATTATACAATTTTTTTCATCATAAAAACTAATACACACAATTTTCCCAGAGAGAACTTTTGAAGCTGTATAAATGATTTTTATGTGAACCAGGTATGATTTAGGTTTTAATTTTTCCATTTGTTTTTATCATACAGCTGAATTCCATGGTCTTTGTAGTAGTGGAGTAGGGATCACCGTGGATGGAAGAGGTAATGCTACTCAACTCTCATTTTGCAATGGTTGCATAACTTTATGGCTATAATATGCATGTTATTATATCTACTAATAAAATACATTAGTAAAAAATGAGATTATTAAGTGATACTTTCTACTTGAGCACTTTTCATCTTGGGTAAATATTTACCTGTTAAATATGCTTTGTTAAAAATGTCACTAACAAACTACACCCATGATTTTATGGATACAGGTGCATAAGAAGAGGGTCAATTTTAAGAGAACATTAAATAATGCTGTAAGACAGGATTAGAAAAATACCTAATTTTAAAAGATGTTTAATATGGATTGAGTTCAGGATATACTGTCCTAACATAATTGGACATCCTTTACACTGAAGAATAACAAAATGTTTCTATCCAACTACAGAAGTAAAATTCAATTCAGTGATTCCTTCTCTTATTTTAGACTCAATATTATGTTTCATAGAATTCCAGAATAGGATCTTAAATCATGTATGCATTTATAACTTTAAAGCTTTTCATTTTAGTATATACACAGACTCATTTGTATTTGAAATAGAACTATAAGATTTTGTTAACTTTATTTATATATTCTGCTACTTTCATATTTGAGAAGAGTTTAGACAAGTTATAGATACATTTACAGTTATGTTGAATTTTCACATCAATATCTAAAGTCAGAGTAAAGCTGCAAACTTTTACAAGGATATTTTTTCCAAATATAAAATGAAACAGCTGACATTTCCAGTGTATTTAAGAAAGTTTTCCAGCTTCTTAAAAAACAGGAACCACCAAATTTGACAGTGAACAGAAATCTGACTTCAGGTCTTATTTTTCTTGTTTTAATTCCTTGTGAATGCACCTGTCCAACAAGGCAGCTCCCGTTTGGATGCTCCTGAGCGACTGCTGTCTTGGAGCTCCTCGGTCCTCAGCGGCCCCTGCCCAAGGGTGGCAGAGAACAGCAGTCATGCTTCCCATAACAGTAAAGCATCAGGCTCTGCAGCATTCGTGTTTAAAGCGCCCAGTCTATTCATTTCAGCTTGTCAACAATGAGAAGCACTTTTCATCATGTTACTTAGTTAACAGCAAAAAAAGACGATAAAACAAATATTCTGTGCCTCTAACAACCATACAAATTATATAGGCCACCCTAATATATCATTTAATTAAAAGTTAAATTTCTCTTTGGATTTTGAGCCAAGAGCTTATAAATTTCTTTTGTTAATGTTATCATACATACAGACATATTGCATGGTTTAATTCTTTGAATTCCTGCCAGGTCTTTTCATTTTTCTTTTGACTTAACATTGATGTGTCCTATACTCCTCAATTTCATGTACTCCTTATTTTATTTCCTTTTCCTTTCTGGAAAGCAGGCAAATTGTAGCTTTGCAGAGTTAAACATTTCATATATTGAATGATCTTTTTTAGACTTGAATTTATCAACAAAGAATAAAATGTCTGTGAATATTAAACTCTCCATTTAATCCAGATATCAATGAGTGTGCTTTGGACCCTGATATATGTGCCAATGGGATTTGTGAAAACTTACGTGGCAGCTACCGTTGTAACTGCAACAGTGGCTATGAACCAGATGCCTCCGGAAGAAACTGCATTGGTAAGTTACACACGTGTGTGCACACACATGCCCTTTAGTTTAATCCATAGATGAAAGAAGAAATAAAAATAGAAGCAAATGTTTAACTAAGCATCCTGCAGTTTCTTTGTTTCCCTTATTGTGTATACACTAGTATAAAAATGCGTATCAGAATCAAGCCAGTCGGGTCAACATGGTGAGTCCCCGTCTCAGTCAGTCAATTAATCAGTCAATAAAAAAATCAGCATCAAAAAAGTTTCATCGTCCAGTGATGAAGAAATGCATTTTGGCTCATGTTTCAGTGCATAGGCGGCAGGCTGTGAGGCAGCAGGGCATGGCACAGGTGCATGGTGGAGGATAGACAGGAAGCAGAGAGTGAAGGGAGAGGTAGGGAAGCACCTCTTCACCTTCCAGCCACCTTCCAAAAGGTCTGCCTGTGATCATATGAGACTTGAGAGGACATCTCGCTATAAACCATACAGAAGGGTACCAGCCAGAGATTATTGGAAATTTGTAAAACTGTGCAAACTGAGCTAGTTATTATACAACAGAAGCAAGATCAGTTCCTGATTAGCTTTCAGGGACAGTTGAGAACTTGGGTACCCTATTGAAAACACTCAGATTCAGTGAGCATTCAAGAAAGTGAGTTATGCAACAACCAAGCTCTTTAGATATACACAGAACTTCTGAAAAATTAAAACTAGAATTGAAAAATAAAAATGGAGCCAAGTTCCAGTGATAGAGCATTTTCATTTGCTAGGCTTCCAGTAACAAAACATGTTTCTTAAAACAACAGAGAGTTATTAACACACAGATTAAAAGGCAAGAAGACTGAAATAAAAGCGTCAGCAGGACTGAGCTCTGATGGCTATAGGAACGCATCTTTTCTTTCTTATTCCGGTTACTGTTATTTGCCAACAGCTCCCAGCAGTTCTTGGCTTGTGTGAGCATCACTGTAGTCACACTTCCGTCTTCTGCCTGTCATCTCCTGGTTGTCCTCTTGGTCATTTTCCCTCTATGTGTAGCTATCTTTCTCTCCATCCACATTTTCCCTTTGACAGACAACATACATGGTGGATTGTCACGTCCTTAACTTGTTTGAACTTTATTAGATCCGTGGAAACCCTAATTTCAAGTGAGATCACATTCTGATATACTGAGGGTTAGGATTTCGGCATAACCTTTTGTGAGAAACACAGATGAATTCAATGCATACACAGATGAATAATAAATTGTGATGCAGTCACTTGATGAAACATAATACAGTTGCAGGAAGTTTTATAGCAGTCCTTAAAATACAATTTAATTTTTAGAATAAAGTTCAGGATTCAAATTTGGAGCAAAATATGCAAAGGGAAAAAAGATCTGATAAAAAATAAAGGATAAATATTAGTGGTGATGGAATGAGAGAAAATGCCTTTCTGATCTCATCTCCATACCTTCACAGTGTCAAGATATTGTTTGATAAGAGATAATTGTTATTTGACAGACTAAAATTATAACTTTAAGTAAAAGAAATTTTTTTGCCCAAACTGCAGTTTTTATTTCTTTCTGTCATTAACTACATTTGCAAAAAGAAGAGTGCAGATACTGATGTAAAAGTCAGTGTGAGCTTCTTTAAACGCAGGCTTAGATGATCTTCTCTAGGTTCCTCTGACTATTAACGGAATATACAGAATGCATCCCAGGGCCGGGGTACAGCTCAGTGGCACAGCATCTGCCTGGCAAGTGCAAGGTTGTGAGTTTGATTCCTGGTACCAAAAAAAAAAAGATGCATCCTGAATTTTCCTTGAAGAGCCTTTTGTTCCTGAGGTGAAAACATAATAGAAGAGCCAGCACTTGGGAGGCTGAGGCAGGAGGATCACTGTGAGTTCAAGGCCAGCCTGGGTTAAAAAGTGAGCTCAAGAGCAGCCTGAACTGCATAGTGAAACCTTGTGTCCAAAAAAAAGGGTGGGGGGATTAGTGAATACCTTTTAACTACTACTGAATGGATTCTTTTTATAATTTTAATTAGAAAAATACTAGATGTTATTTTTGCTATATATAAGTATGTAGATAAAACATTATTTCAATCTTTTAATATATTTTATCAGTATGCAAAAATATATCTAACACAGTCCCATTCCAGGACAAAAAAATAAGTTAAGGAGAACAAAGTAATAATGATCCCATTCCAACTACTGTACATTTTCCAGGGACTCCAGAAGTTCTTCAGTGTATCCTCTGGCATAAGAATGCCGCACCTGAATGCTAAATATATCTTGCTCACCCTGGGTAGAAAGAAACTAAGAGGGGTGAGAGGAAAAAAGAACCCAATGAAAATAAAATGTGGTTGGGTGCTGTGACACACGTTTAACTGTGAGAATCTCCTCTCTTCCAACTCTGCTTTCAGACATTGATGAGTGTTTAGTAAACAGACTGCTTTGCGACAATGGGCTGTGCCGGAACACACCTGGGAGTTACAGCTGCACCTGCCCGCCTGGCTATGTGTTCCGGACGGAGACCGAGACCTGCGAAGGTAAGAACCACGTTCCTTACCATCAGCTGAACAGGAAGCACCCAGAGGTGCATAAAGGTCAGTTTCAGTGATGAAACAATGCCATCAAAAGAGCACTGTGTAAATATTTTCTTTATTTTATAATCTGTTGGTTAATCTAGTAGTTTCAGAAATAGCTACATCTACACCGTTTATAAACACTGTTGGTTTTGCTGTACTCAGATACAGTATCAACAACATTTTGGAACCAACATTTTGAAATAAAAAACAAGAGTGGAATGAGCAATCTTGCTTCCTTACTGTAATAAAATATCAGGTTTCTCTTTATTTAATGTGTTTTTCCCCTCTTTTAAAAACCATTGTGACACATTAACCAGGAACCTGAATTGCAGTGACAAAGCTCTTAGACATTTTAGTTGTGAAATAAATGATATCCAAAAGGCCCTGGCCCAGAAAATATTTAGGGTCTAAATATTTCATAGCTTTAATGAAATTTGTAGTGTAAGAAAATTGTCCTTTCCATTTGATAGCCAGGAATATCATAGTATACATTTCCAGTGCATAGTGAACATATTCATTGTGGGGTCTAGGTACATACTACACCTTGATACTTTTTACTTCCCCTTCCCTTCCTCTCCTTCCCATATCATTTGGGAATTTAAGACATACCATTAGGGTTTACTGATCATCAACTAGTGTTTAAAAGCAACTTCCTTTTCTTTTAGCCACTTTTTTTCTGCAGTAGAAGGCATTTGAATGAGTGAGATCCTTATGGAAATCCCCATTTTCAGTGAAACACTGGCTAAACAGTGAATGCATCCAGTTATGCTTTTCTATCTTAATCAAAGTATGACATTTCAGAATAACCCATGGTGTGACTACTAGTCACTGTCCCTATTTAAGTCACCCTCTGTGGGCTTACAGAAGGCTCCTACAACATCCCAAATCCAGTTACCACTTCCCAATAGTACCTTGTTTTCAAAGATTTCGTCTTTCAGTTATTATGGAAAAATCTTCTTATCTGTTAAAGTATTTGTTGCTTGGGGATTCCATAGAAAAAAAACTGCAATAGCAAAATTATGCAAAACAATGTTAGCATTCTCTCTTCGTCTTCCTGTTAATGTCAACACATTCTTGTGAACAGAAACAAGTTAGAGCTGCTGAACAAGATGCCAAAAACAGAGACGACTGTGCTGAAGTCAGTGAAATGCAATTACAGAGTGCAAGTCTAAGTTTGGCTTGATTTGGAGGGACCACAGAAAAATAGTAATTAGCTCAAAGAGAGAAAAAAGGAAAAGAAAACCCCAACGTGAAACCTCAGTTTTGTAAACCGGGTTGTGGTAACTGTTTCCCTCACTGCGCAGCAGCTTTGTAGAAACTCTGCTCAGTGGTCTCCTCATCAGTTCACAGGTGAAGTACTTGATTCTTCTCTGATGATGAGCAGGGGGCTTCTAAGTGTTGAGGGTTTGTGTGGACTATTCGGTATCTCTTTCATTTTATTTTTCCTGGTTTTTTGAGAAAGGGACTCACTATGTAGTTCTGGCTGGTCTTGAACTCATTTTGTAGCCCAGGCTGGTCTTGAATTCACAGTGATTCTCCTACCTCAGCCTCCTGAGTGCTGGCGTGTGCCACCATGTCCAGCTCAATCTCTCTTTTAAAACCAGCTGAGGCTTCTCAAACATGCGACGACAGAGTCTATTTTTTGGTTTCCACTGCCACTTCTAACACCCATTGTCCTTGCTCCGAGAAAGGTACTATTTGAAAAAAAGTCATCTAGCCATGTTATGGAGGGGTGGGAACTGGAATTTCTTAAGTTTTTGCTTTTCCTGACTTTTTATGTTTCTTTCCCAGTGCCCTCGATCCATTTTATCTATTGTGTGTTGGAGAGTGTGCATTTGTTAAATCTCCAGTCATGAGAACCAGAGCAGCTTTGGATTTCACCTTGATGGAGGAAGGATACAGTGGTGCCTTGGTCCACGAACTTAATTCTTTCCACGGTTGTGGTCACAAAACTCACTCCATGGTTCTGGTTGCAAATGGAACAAATTCTGTGTGACCAGAATGATGGAAAGAATTAGGTTCGTGAACCGAGGCACCACTGGAGTATGACTGGTTTCCCCATCCACAGTGACCTTCCTGGTGCTGTGTGAGAGACATTGGAAGCCTACCTGAGTGATGTCTGATGATGCGTGGCAGGGACCTTGAGTTGTCAGTGGTTGTTTATGGCGTACTCCTTCCTTTCAGTGAGTAAGATGAAGTTGAAGGTACTGAGAGCTAAAGCTTACACAATTAAGAAGAATAGGAGCTGATGATGTTGTATTAAGTCATCATATAAATGTTTAGGCACAGCAGTAGCAAATCAGGCAACAGTGAGGATCAGAAAGAGTGACCTGCATTTGTTTGTTTAACCAGTATTTGTTCTTTATAGAGCTGAGCCTTCTCTGTAGCATAAAAGCTTTTTAAAATCTGACATTCAGAGCAAAGAGGTTCGTGCTACATAAAGCAGAAATGATAGAGATATTTTAACTCCAACCTTATCACATTGGTAGAAATAAAAATTATTTATAATGACAAATCTATCCACATAACTGATTTCTGCACTTTTTGCCCTCCATTATTTACATTTTATTAACTGTTTTGTAAAAAAAAAAAATTGACCTTATGGCCACTGACCTCTTTTACTTGGGGTTCCCACCCCCTCATGGCACACATACTGTAGGTCTGTCCACCTGAGTCAGTTCTATTCACTCTGTTCTTTAACTGAGTTCTCGAATTAGACAGGGAATTATTAGCAGATTCACTGCAGATTCTAGCTTTCTCTAGAAAGCTATATATTTGCACTGCTGACTTTGTCATTGATATTTCTACTAGGTTATTTTAAATGTGTGATAAACAGCCTTAATGATAGAGGAAAGCGCCTCTATATTTCAGACTGAAGTTACAAAGCTTTATTTTACATTTCTGTTTGAGCTCTGAGAGTCTGTGAAAGTTAACATTTTTACAGCAAGTACTGTGGTTTAGATTGTGTTTCCAGTGACATAACTAGTTAAATGTAAACCAGATGTGCTTTGAAGTTTATTTCCAGGAATGTACAGTGAACTGTTTCAATTCCTGGTTCCGTGACATTTATAACATAAAAACATTGTATTTAAAGAAAAACTAAATAATTGATATTTGTAGTTGTCATTGGGTATGTTTATAGTCTTTCAGTTCATCATTGCTTACTTTAAATAGGGGTTTTTTAATATGATATTGACATTTTTCTTTTCAGGTGACTTTTCACAAATGAAATTAATACATGAGTTATATATGCTGTATCCTTAGATTAGTTATATGCTTCCTTTTTCATTATCCTTTTTGTGTTCATTGTAATGAAGGAATTTCAGTACTCTGAAATGTATGTTTTCATTGTAAATCTGTACTGAATTTATGAAACCTGCTCTTTTATTTTCTTTTAAGAAAAATTTTTACTACAGCCAATCTGGAACCAAAATGTTTTCCTCCTTCCTCAATTTCCATTTCAATAATTAGCTGAGAAACATACTTCTTGAGTAATTTGCAGGAATACTACCTGTTTTCTACATTGATTTTTTACATTTGCATTGCAAGCATACCAGCTCCAACATCAACTGTGAACTCAGCCTTTCCAAAGTCACTTTGGTTTATATGTGACTTGAGACATTCAGTAGTAAGCATTAGCCTTCTAGTTACTTGTTCCCATGCTTTTTTAAAATAGGAAACTGTTTTACATTAAATTCAAAGAAATTTTTGAAAGGAAAAAGTATCCTGGTGCACTGAGAAATCTTACTGTCCAACATAAAATATTGAAGTATGTTAACCTGTTTCAGATAATTAACCAAGTAGAAAAAGAAGTCTGTGTGCCACTTCTTTAAATCGTGTGGCTGAATTTATTCAGAAACTGTCTTCAAGATTGTCTTCAGTACTTTAACTGAAGTTCATATTTATTTTTCATTAACTCAGGTATTAAACTGTTTAACTTTACAGGCTTGAGATTTTCTTTAGTTCACCTCTCGAGAAAATAGGCATACTGTAATTCTATTTGCCTCTGAACATCTATAGAAATTGTTTAAATTATGGGTATATGATTTGATTATGTCCTAAATCACATCAGTGACTACAGAAGCCTATTGGATGTAATTACTCGCTCTTCATCCTGTTTTCCTAATGTTTAGGGCGGGTCCTGGGAACTGAATCCAGGACCTCACACATGTGAAGCATGCTTTTACCCGAGTTATACACCCTGTGCGAGATGTTTTATTTTGCTAAAATTAGTTGTATTTGAAAGATACATCAGGCTAAATATGTAAAACAGAAAGGCTAAAGAAAGAGAAAAATGAATAGAAACTAGAGGAGAATTCTGTCCCCAGCATGAAATTTTCTGTCCTTATTTCCTGAGTGAGATCCAGGAGTTTAGAGTTAAAACCAGCATTGTTATGTTTTGTCTTCAAAGTCTCATGGACCATAAGTGACAGAAACAGTCAGGCTTTGTTTGTGCAGAGCACGTTGCACCTGTAATTACATACTCTTACGGGGAAAAACTCACCCAATTTATGGAGTTGGAGTAACGTGTTACAGCACAAACTGAACCCTTTCCAGCCCAGGCTATGGGCTATCGCCTATAATCCTTCTGAGTCCCAGTCTTGTAGATGTGTAAAATGCATGTCTCCATTGCCTGTTCACTTTATGCCTTGTAGATCCATATTAAAATTATAAGAGCCAAGTTTACCAGACATTCTGGCATAGCATGGCTTGTTGGAGTAATATTTTCCAGAAACACATGGCCATTCTAACAGAATCTTTCCTTCTGACCGCAGATATAAATGAATGTGAAAGCAACCCATGTGTCAATGGGGCTTGCAGGAACAACCTTGGATCTTTCAATTGTGAATGTTCGCCTGGCAGCAAGCTCAGCTCCACGGGATTGATCTGTATCGGTAAGAGTCACACATGGTACTAATATTTAGTTTCACTGTAAAGATAAGCACACACCTCAGGCCTTGCCTTGGATAAAAACAACAGGGTAAGAGTGAAGCATAACAGCATAAACTAGGCAGCCTTTTAATTTTGTTTTTAGATTCTAGAAAGTATTCCTTTCATATAAGTAGATAAATTACACTATAAGTTATAAGCATTTCCATCCTATGCACATATGTATATTCTTTAGCCTAAAAATGCCTTAGGCATCAATACAATCAAATCCCTGCTGCCTATGTTTTATAAACAACCTTCTATCATAAAAATGTGTTGGAATTTGGATTCAGTTAACAAGACACGAATTTGAAGATTTTAAACAAAGAGAGGGAATTTACTTTTTCCTTTCTCACATCAATCATAAATTTATGGGCTCCAAGGAAGAGAAGATAAGCATTTCCTACTTTCGGATCTCTAAAGAAGATCCCAAATCTTCTAAACTAACATCTTCTAATATGACTCAAAGCATTTAAGGTCAGTTATTGATAATGACATAGGCTGTGTATAACACAGGGCAGTCTGATGTTACTGTAAGGAAAAATTCAGCTTGAGTAAGGGAATCAACTTTAGCGGGATCTTTCCTGGTGTCTCCTGTCAGTGGCTCCATTCTCTAGGCCAACCACAGCCCATTTCATTTGCTTATATCCACCTTCAAGTAGAACTAAATACATAGTCCAGATAGGAAGGTACTTCTGTTTTACAAAGTGCTAAAAAAAAATTGACAGATTTTTGTTTATTTGTAATTTAGCCAAAATGAGTTTCTGACATCATGTTTGTGAAATACAATCGTACTTTCAGCATTGTCCCTGATGTTAATGTCATGTAGTTGGATGCTGGAGTACCTGATGGTTACATGACTAGAAGCGGTCAAATGAGAGATAATCAATGAAAACTCCCTCTGGAAACTTAGGCATTTTAGTCTCCAGTGAGGCACAGCTGCTGCAGTCTGGGCCTGGTAGATGCTCAAATTGCTTTCCTATAGAATCCTGGGGCAGTGGTAGGGAAGGAAGAGATTGGATGGGTAAGCCAGAAATATTTTTGTTAAGGCAAAATTTCCAACTGAGATAGAGTCAGTTTATTATGCAAAGGAAATGAACTCAGCATTAGTCAATGAATGTCTCAGAACACTAAATCTGTCTGCCACGTGAGCATCAAAGATGTCTTAACTTTTTTTTTTCATCATACAAACTTCCATTATTTTGGCCTTTTGTCCTCATAGTTATTAATGAAACAAAGGTTTTTTTTTTTTTTTATTCCAAAGTCATTATGTCATTCTTCCCATTGCCAACAACTAAACACCAACATATTTTTCCCAACCAGTGTGTTTTGTGTTTTCTTTTATTATGATCAAATTTGAGAATTTCACCCTAGAACCACTGGGGAAGAAATTTATATAATATTTTTAAATGTAGGCATGAGTTTTTCTTTCTTTCTTTTTTTTTTTTTTTGGTGCCAGGAATCAAACTCACAACCCTATGTTTGCCAGTTAGGTACTGTGCCACTGAGTTATATCCCTGGAGGCATGAGTTTTTCTGCTTTTTTTCATTTAAAAGATAATTCTAGCAGAAAAAAAGAAAAGAAGAGAATAAAACATACTCAGGAAAAATTATGAATTTATTTTCGGGGACTTTCAGTGTGTCTACTTAGTGATTAGGAGGCAACTTCTTTTTCCAGTGTCTGGATCTCAAAATTTTGAAAGAAATAAAAATTATTCAGTAAAGTATGTGAAAGACTTTTGCATAGGAGTTGATATCATGAAATACATTACAACAAAAAATTGGTGAATCTTTTCTGCATTGCATCACACTGGTCTGATGGCTCGGGGTGAGGCAGACAGGTGTCCCTTGTCTTTGGCGCAGGCCTGTGCTCTGTCCTCAGCTTGCGTGCAAGTGACAGGATAGCAACCTCATTGCTGTCAAGTCTAATTGTCCATTCTCACTCCTCACACTAGACAGCTGGCGGTGTTTGGCACAGCTCATCACTCACTCCATCTGAAGAGGTTTTTTTAATTTTTGGCCTCCCAGGCACAACTGTCTTCTCATCCCTTCACTCTTCTGAGTCTGCAGAAGGCCAAAAATTAAAAAAAGTTTTAAGTCTTCTTTATCCTGCTGCCCTCTCACATACCACGTGAGTGGAGATTTCCCACCAATCCTGGAGGACCTCTTAGCCTCTCGCATACACTTCTGCTCCCGTGGCCCTCTACACTGACTCTCACACCGACTGCTCCATCTGTAATTTCTCTACTCCTCCTGAGTGGTGTCTCCACCTGTGTGCAGTCATCTCCACCACCTGTCTCACCGATATCTCCAGCATAACATGCCTGAAACCAAAGTCCTGTCTTCTGCCTCAGCTCTGTGTTTCACTGAAAGATTTTCATCCTGGCAAGTTTCCACTCCATTCTTCCAGCTGCCACTCTCAGATCCTTGGCATCAGCCTCGATGCCTTCTTCTCTAACTGTGCATGAAATTCTTCAGTCATTCTCGACCTTCATTGTATTTCACCTATTCATCACCACCCCATGAACACCCAGATCAGCATTCTTCTTCTCTTGATTATAACCACAGGCTGCACCTTACCTGCCCCAGCACACGCACGTACTTGCTACCCCGCAGTCTCATTTGCACATAGTTACCAGGTAATCCTTTTTTAACACAAGTCAGCGCATGTCATTGCTTGTCTGGAAACCTCGACTATGAAAACCTTTATTTTTCCACTCACTGAGAGAGAGAGCTGCAGTCCTTGGCAGAGCCTGTGTTGCTTAGAGCTGCTGTCACTGCTGTGTTAGTCTCTCACTGAGTTGCCTCTCACCTTCTCTACCAAGGCCACACTGGCTTGCCTCTTACATATACGTGCTGAGCATGCGCTCCTGAGGTCTGCTGTGGTTGCTGTCTATGGCCGGAACAGTATCAGTCAGATGTCCACATTTTGTTCTCTTTATGTTGCTAATGTTACAGCACTTTGTGAGTCAGGACTGCTCTGAACATCGTGGATGAAATGATTGTTTCTGTCCCCCTTCTACTTTCAAACTGTGTGTGTGTGTGTGCGCCATCAATGGTTTTGTGACTTTAATGTTGACACAACATACAAAAAGCATGCTGTCACAGAGTGGATCTCTAGAACCAGACTTCCCAGGTTTCGGTCTTGATGCTGAACTGCACTAGCAGGTGACCTTGGGTAAGTTAGTTGACATCTGTGTGCCCATTTTGTCCTCTGCAGATTTCTCCTACCTCTGATGATGGCTTTAATGAATACATAAAGTAGTGCCTGCCGATAGGTCAGCCAGGATTATCAGTTCCTATTAGTTCATCTTACTTGAAATGCCCAAGGCTAAGATGATAAACTGGTGATTCGTGTTGGTCACTAAAAGATCTTTTAAATCACAGTAGTCTCCCAGAAGTCTGTTTCCTCTGCGCTGCAGAATAAATAGATGTGAGTCTGTGAAGAGCCCAACACAGATGCCAAGGCTCGAACCCTTCCTGCTTGTGTGGTTTTACCCAAAATGAATGAACATTCCAGTGGGAGAGAGAGAGAGCATAGTGACTGTCCAACTCTTTCCATGCTCCTGCCCTGTTACTTTTCACATACAGTCGTGAAGAGACTTGTCTTCACCACAATTCCATTTCCGGAGGGGGGCACTGTTTGTTTTTAGTGTTGAATTTGGAAGTAAAACTTGATCTGCACATGTTACTAAAAAAAGTGATAAAATAAACACCATAAGAATACACTTCACTTTTTCCAAGTGTGTCGTAAATACTACTAATGTTCCATTAAAATGTTTTATACACCGCCTATGTCAGAATCACCTGAGGAACCTGTCACAGTGCATATTTCTGTGCTGTTTATCTGAAGACTTATGAATCAGCATTGTGTAACAGGAGACTTGACTGAGAAACACAGTTCTGCCGTTTCATATATAATTTTGCATAACTAGTTAGTATTTGATATGGTTTGTTAACTTTGAGTTCCTCTGTGTGTCTGTGTGTCTCTGTGTGTGTGTGTGTGTGTGTGTGTGTGTGTGTGTGTGTGCGCGCGCACTTGTACACAGCAGTAAGAGAGAGAAATCTAAATCGATTGGCAGGTATTTATTACTTGTTCATTTGAAACATTTTTATGCCAATAAAAACTTTACTACTTATTATTCCCATTGATGTACATGGAAGAAAATTAGGAAGTGCCCAGTATTTTACTCTACTATTCAGAAGACGGAGCTTAAACTTTATATGGAGATAATCTAAAGTTTAGAGTGGTTGTCTCTAGATAATCAGATTACAAGTGATTTTTGTATTTTCTTACACTTCCATATGTCCTCAAGTAATTTGCCCACACACATTCTTTTTTGAACTAGAGATAAACATACACACATGCATGTGTGCACAGAGAAATCCCTGAACAGCAACTCGTCACATACTAGCCCTGCGGGTGTCTTCGTGCTGGATTTGTAGGCAGTGTTGATATCTCTTTTGTTTTAGTTTTTCAAGTTATTTGTCAAATAATTATTGTCAGTTGGAGAAATACTGGTTTCTCTACTGTAGAACATAAATTGTGTATGGTTTATTGATGGGAAATTTTGTGAGAAATGAGATTATTTGAGGACTTTTTAATATAATTTAAATATCAAAAGATTTATCATACATTTTACAAATACTTTTCACAAAGGTAGTGTTATCACGGTAATGCAGTGTTTCTAAGTATAGTATCTTAGACAACAGTGGCTTCTTTCTATAATATCAGTAGATATAATTAAATTATTATCAGATTGTGAGATATATAAAGTATAGCATTTAATTTCCATGCATATAAATACCTCACTTAAATGCATATATATGGGTGTTCAAGGGACATGCTGTTAAAGGTTTTTAAAAATTAATTCCCTTGTGTTTTTTTTAATACTACAAGAAATACTTTTGGTGTACCCTGAGGAGCTATATTTTCTTCAGGGGTACATGCCCTCCAGCCTTCCCAATTCCTTTTCAGACAGCCTGAAAGGGACGTGTTGGCTCAACATCCAGGACAACCGCTGTGAGGTGAATATTAACGGAGCCACCCTGAAATCTGAATGCTGCGCCACCCTGGGAGCTGCCTGGGGGAGCCCTTGTGAGCGCTGTGAGCTAGGTAGGAGCAAGAGCAGGGTGTCCGGGCTTCTCCTTGCTGCATTCCCCTTAGCTGGGACACCTCTTGCACTCCGTTCCATTCTTCAGTAGTGAGCAGTACCCTAAGATCGCAAACCCTCCCCTCCTCAGCTGTTGTCTTTCCTGGCTAAGTTCACCCACCTCCTGCAGTTTATATTTGGTTTTCCCTCCTCCTGTAAGCAGACATGAATGTTTTAGGCAAGAAGGGGACTTAATTAGAATCTGGATGCTTAGTGATCTGTGTTCTCCCCTGTTCTCATTTGCATGTGTCTCCATAAGCCATACCTCTTTTCCTTGAGTTTTTTGTTTACTTGTAATTCACCTGACAGTTTGAGAGCAAAAGTGGAAATCTCAATGTGGGCAGCAGCAGTGGAGTTATACAGCACAGCAGGGCTTGTGCTTTACCGAATTGAACGGGGGCAACTGGAGTGCTCAGCCACTACAGTCCCACCTTCAGTGTATAAGTCTGTTACACTATTGCTTGAACTTGAGACACTTTATGTCCTTTTGTAATAAAGGAAAGACCTGTCCTGTTGTCCTTGCAGATACAGCTTGCCCACGAGGATTCGCCAGGATTAAAGGGGTTACTTGTGAAGGTGAGTATATTCTTGGATGATGAAGTAAATGTTTACAGCAGTCCATAAAGTTAGTATTTAATCTCAAGCTTTGGAGACATTTAGCATTTTCAGAAACCTCAGAATTTCAGTTAAAATACTCAGGATACTCAACAGATGCATTAGCATAATGCTCCGGGAAACTGCAGTTTCCCATTTTGCTTCTTTATGCAGTTGGGTACATTCATAAGGACATCGCCAGCATTCAAGGCACAGAACAGCTGGCGGGGAGCTTGTCTGGGCCGATTATTATGGATAGGCAGGGTTGCAGTCGTTTTCACAGCTGGTGACTTAGGAATGCTGGTGGCTGGGTTGTGGAATATTTTTGCTTAACTAAAGTAATAATCCACATTGTATTGCAAGTTGAATATGTTATACAGGAAGTGAGGCCACACCTGTTTTTCTGTTTATCCCTGCGCTCTCTCCATTTCCCTGCAGACGTTAATGAGTGCGAGGTGTTTCCTGGCGTTTGTCCAAATGGTCGCTGTGTCAATAGCAAAGGATCTTTTCATTGTGAGTGCCCGGAAGGCCTTACGTTGGATGGAACTGGCCGCGTATGTCTGGGTAAGATTTATGCCCCCGTGGGTTTTATGCTTGAAACCAGCCATGGATTTTCTTTCTTTGGGCACTGGCCAGTCCAAAACCACTGAGTCTGTACTTGAGGAAACCTGCTTCATATAAGACATTTGGGGGGAAATTACTCCAGAATATTTTAAAAGCAAATGTATTTAAGTAAAACAGTTTCTGCCTAATATGGAAAGTTGGTAATGCTCAGAAAACTGTCTTCTGAGGTTTAGTTCCTTTAAACACATACTTCAGGCAAGCTTAATATTTTATACTGAGTTAATGGGATGAGAGAGCTGTGCATATGACACAGAAGAAAAAGTGGCAGTGAGCCTTTGAACGGAGCATTGACCAGTCCGTTCTTGCCATTCCCTTTAGGCAGGAGGGAGTCCCTAATAAAATTACACTGCTTCATGTGGAAACAGTGACCCATTCTGCTCCTTCCTTTTGTGCTTTAGAATTTATGTTTTCTCAGTATCTGATTTTCTAATCATCTAAAATGAGGAATCTTTTTTTCAACACTGTATTATTAGCATGGAGATCTGCCCTTATTCTTTATCGGTATCATTTTTTATTCCTCTTGAGTTTCATGATGGAACATTTTTCATTTACTTAAAGAGGTTTTTTTTGTCCCCAATAAGCTATGGAACAGTAAATATTTAGTCTAAGAAACTTCTTTACATAGGTCTGTAATTGAAATTTAAGAGTATCATAGGCAGAGTATGAGCAGTGGTAGAGCTATACGCAATCATTTTTATGGGTTTAAATATGTCAGTGATTTTTCATTAGTAACAAAAAGAAATTTGCAAAATCATAAGGTTTCATTTTAAGTTCATTTTCCAAAGCACATGTAAATTTGGGTAGAAAGCACAACCAAATTCATTTGGAAGTCATAGTATCCAATACATAAAAATTATTTTTAGATTTTAAATATTTTTATATTATCCTAAAATTAGCTATGTTTAGGAATAAATATGTTTTGAAAATGACAGAATAACATGTCTGTATGATCAAATGACTAAAGATAACAAGTTGCCTTTGTAACTAACCGACATAGTATATGGAGATATATCATTGACTGTAAGCTGTCAGTTTTTAGTAAAATCAGTTTCCAGTAAAATAACTTACAATCAAAGCCTTTGTAATATTTTAAACAGCATATTGAGTTCTTCATCCATGCACTTAAATGTTCTTGACACTGCTTGAGTTAAACTGCATTGATTTATTCTGATTGGGGATGGCAGGAAGGTTTAAGAAGAGACTGAGCCAGGTGTGGTGGCACACACCTGTAATACCAGCACTCTGGAAGGCTGAGGCAGGAGGATGGAGAGTTCAAGCTCAGCCTGGGCAGTTTAGCAGCATGGATCCCCAGCACCAGCCAAAAAAAGAACAAAAGAGGGTGGGATATGAAAAATGTAAATTATTGCAAGAACAAAAGCAGTGGTAAATTGCTATGATAAAATTACACCAGGGATGGCAAAGTCACATGCCCAGAGGAGACGGTTAAGGAATGTGACTGTAAGAAGCAGTACGGACTACATGGACTGCAGGGCATGTGCACCACGCACAGGTTTCCAAGTCCATGTTTTAATTTCTGTGCAGATCAGTCAAAATGTTTATAGACCATATGTGGCCTGAGTGCTGGCTGGTTTGATTCCTGATGTAAATACAGATAGGAATCTCTGTAGTAAAGACATAGGATTACTCTCTCAGGCTATTGTAACTTTTTACATACTTAATTCAAATACCTTTAGCCCAGTTCCAACTTACCCTAAAATGGCTTCTTCATTGAATTATTTGAGTAACCTTATAAACAGTATGATTGGAGGCAGAGCTCTTAGACTACCTACACTTACTTAAAACTTTCCCATCTCCCTCTCATGAAGATCCTTCCTTCCTAGGGACAGCATCTGATGGAGCTGGCTGTATCTCAGACCAGCCCTGGAAGCGCTGCAGTAATCCAGCCTAGCGGATCATTGTCACCCTTCTCACACACTGCAAATGTCTGTTTGTGTTGGTATTAATGTGGAGCTATAAAGCAGAATTACCTACTGTGGATAATTGTACTCAGTCCACCAAGTCAGAAGGAAATTTTCTTTAAAACTGGGACTTTTTAATTACATTCCTTAGAAAAGTATGTAACTCAGTTAAAGACAGCTCCTAAAGTTGATATTTCCTTTAGTTGAGAACTTAAAAGAATCCAGTTGGCAGTAACTAAAATAGTAAATATATCAATTTGTGTTGATATTTCCATCAGGAACCACTGTCCCTCTGTTAAATAGTTTACAGGTTCAGAAGAGGATTTAATGTCTAGAAATAATCTTATGATATAAATTATGTTCTCTAATTAAGAAAATACTTTTTGTAACTAGTCTGTATTTATACAGGCAGATGTTCAATTGCAGTTTGACCACCAGCTCTGTTGGCTAAGAGATAAACATGCTTTACAAATCATACTGATTTACCTGTCCTCTGGCTATTTGTTGATACTGTCCTGTGACAGCAGACATGGGCTAAGTGTTGAAATGTTCATCTGTTTTGAAATGGAAGGGAAAACGTAACATTTCAACAGAAGAGTTAGCCTTAATAGAGAATATTTGCATAAGCTAAGGCAAAAACCATGACACACAAAGCAAATTTGGCAGGAAACTAAAACTTTGAATTCGGTAATCACATAGGGTTTTTTGTAAGGCAGTTTTTACAGTTGTGGCAAATTGGCAAATAGAGTGAAGCTTCCCTTTTGCTATTCGTGACAGGGATCTGATGTGACTTTCACACGCTGCCTTCAGCAGTTCGGTGGCCAAGAACAATCCTGTCATTAAAATCATTCTTCCTGATGTGAACGATACCAAAAAAAAAAAACAAAAAAAAAAAAAGAAAGAAAAGAAAAGAATCATAGGTGATGCTGTAAGAAAGTCATGTCTGTAGGAGTTGTTTTCTCCAAGGGTACTTGTGAGAAAACTGGCAGGGGACTAGGTCTTATTGTCCTGAAGTGATTATGTTTATGGAGTCCATTCCAGGAACACTGAGATTCTCTGTGTCCCCCTCAGCATATCTCCCTGCCCCGACACAGCATCCTGCCTGGGGCCGAGCCCCATTCAGTGAGTGAATGCCCAGTAATTGTTTCCACTAACTCTGGGCCTGTGATTCCTTCTCGGTGTAGACATCCGAATGGAGCAGTGCTACCTCAAATGGGATGAAGATGAGTGTGTCCACCCTGTTCCTGGGAAGTTCCGCATGGATGCCTGCTGCTGTGCTGTGGGGGCAGCTTGGGGCACCGAGTGTGAAGAATGCCCCAAACCCAGCACCAAGGAGTATGAGACCCTGTGCCCCCGAGGCCCTGGCTTTGCTAACAGAGGGGATGTCCTCACAGGGCGGCCATTTTACAAAGGTAAGTGCCAGCGGTGCCGGGGCCTCCGCACCAACGAACACCCTCTGCTTTCCCAGCAAGTGCCTTTCGTTAAACACAGGATTTGTTGTCAACCTTATGCCCCAGGAGTATAAATTACCTGTGTAAGGTGGTGTTGAAGTAAAGCTAGAAAACAGGCCAGTCATCTTACCATCCTTGCTTCCTTCTGTCCCTCTACTTTCCTTCCCACAGCCTAAAGGGAGGTAGCCCTGATAGCGCATCCATAGCCAAACAATCTCTGTCCCTCTTACTAGTGTAGAAGATAATCACAATAGCAATTTTTTATATGGAATCAGTACAATCACTGAAAAATTTGATAGCTCTCATGTTTTGCGTGGCTACATTAATATTTCCCATCATGATAGATTTTTTCACTTAAAGTGATGGACCTACTCATGTATAGCAACATTCCTGCTTCATTCTGCTTTTAGATATCAACGAATGCAAAGCCTTCCCTGGGATGTGCACCTACGGGAAGTGCCGGAACACCATTGGAAGTTTCAAGTGCCGGTGTAACAGCGGATTTGCTCTGGACATGGAGGAAAGAAACTGCACAGGTGAGAGTGTTCTTTTGCTTCACTTAGCAAACCCTGGGCCTCCTTCTTTTGCCGTGTTTGAGAATACTGCCTTCAAAAGACCATCCTCTCAAACTTGTCAGAGAACTGCAAAATAGCACAAACTGCCCGTTTTTTTTATGTACAAGAACGGCATAAAAATGATCTTCAAAATATCTGAGAAGTAAGGAATAAAATAAATCTGCAACAATTACTGTAATAACTCAGTTCACAAATGTTTCTGTTTGAAAACTGTTCAGTTCTCAAACAGAAGCACTGGGAAAAATTTTGCTTCTGGTCATGCGTCTGGATGATAAGCCTGTCTGCAACCGTCTTCCCCAGAATCATAAAACAAATTTAAGTTCATGAACCAAGGTACCACTATATAAACTTGAATGGCATGCTATTTAAAATTTGTACAGAGATGTTATGATTTATTTTCCTGACCTGTGAATAGTACTCTGAATAATTAGGCTTCAGGCACTGTCCATAAACATGTCCACACCATCCTCTTTAGTTAAAAAAGATTTCAAATTTTCTGCTTGATCATATAACAAATTATTCTAGACATGTGAACCATCTCTCCAAGGTCTTATTTTTAGAGCTGTCTTGGGAATTGGCCCTGTTCTCCCATTCTCCCAGCTGCCCCTTCATGATTTCTGTTGAAGTGTCTCTCTGGGTACCTCCCTGTGCCTCCAGCCCAGATGACTGCACATTATCTCGTAGCTGTCCCTCTGTTCCTCTCAAGTTCTGCCGCCTGCCCTGTCTGTTCATCTCCCACGCCTGCTGCTGACGTCTAATCCTCTCAGCATAGATATCTCATTCTGGGCTGCTGGACTTGCCAGGAGAATGTGAAGAGAGTTGCTGAGTTTTCTGCAGCCACCTTCAGCCAAGCCCATGCGAGAACTCCGCCACTTAGCAAACTCGTGCTTTCCTCTGAGTTTTTCTTAAAATGTCAGAACTTCTCCCAACCTTCATGCCTCTCACAGCCTTCTGCTTTCTTCCTTTATTGAGATCAAGTTGTTAGTCTCCTCCTCACTTAGCCTCTGGGTGAATCTTTTCTTCTCACCTGCAGTGAAGTCCTCTACCCCCACGTTCCTTGCCACTCCTGCTCCAGTTCTGCCTCTGTGGGGTTCCGTCCTCTCTCCATCATCTCCTCCTTGTCACTGCTCCCAGCTGCTTAACCCAGAAATGAGTTCACAATATCTTCTGTCTTTGCTTTTCCTCTACTTACCCTCTTTGTCTATTTTTACCTCTCACCCTGTCTTGTAACCAGCCATTTGTGTTATTTTTGACTTTTGCTGCCCCTGGTTCAGACACACGTACATACTCTTGCAAAACACTTTCGTGGAGTTAAAACAATCTCTTGTGATGCAGTTTGTCCTTGACTTCTTTGCTGGAGCTGCCCAGAGAAGAGTGGCTATGGAGAAATGTCCTCTCAGCCGAGGAATCACCTGAAGAGAGTTGACATGTGAGGGCTTTCTGCTGACAGGATTCCCTGGAGCTGCGGAGGAGGGAAGTGGGTCTTTCCTTCCTGAAAAGGGACCTAGGTGACATAGCACAGTCTACTGTCACACAGTCCTCTAAGGTCTTCCAGCCATTTTATTGAGTTTCTGTGGTTCAGTCCTTCATTTTCACAAACAATGGGTTTATCATCCTCCGGCAGCGCTTAGGTTGTGTAACTTCCCACAGAACCGTGTCCCCACTGACTCAGCCTGCGTGACCTGTGTGAAGTGCTTAGGGGTCTTCCAGTCCTGGTTCCACTAATATTTTTTTGACATGATATTGGCCAAGTCCTTCAGTATTTTGTACCCTCTCCTTCAGCTGAAGAACTGAGAAAATCTGTTGACAGCCCTGCATTGTTTTGGGAAATACAAAAAGTCCCCGATGTATGAACATTTGAGTCACGAACTTTCACAGGTGTACTGTACAAGACTCACTTTGTCAGATTATGGATGAATCTGACGCACAGATGTTCTCCCAGAATGGAACTGGTTCAGAAGTCAGGGACTTACTGTAATCTGAAATTCCATGGAAAACAGGCTCCATTCTCCGCAGCACATTAGGACAGTCATCTCCCTGTGTGTGGTTCCTTCAGCCATCTGTCACATCCTGTCTGTGCTGCTTAGTATCAGCCTCAGTAAGGACTCTATGACGTCTGGTCCCCTGAGATACATTACTGCTGTTCACCTCTGCATTTGTCTCGTGCCTCGTTATTGTTACAGTTGCTCTGTACCCTTCAAGGACAGTTTGGAAGCCACCTCCTCTGCAATGCCAACTCCTAGCAAAGTTGCTAATACATATGCAGCACTTCCTGTGAGACATGTGCTCTTCTTAGCACTTTTCAAATATGGATTCCCTTAACTCTGAAGATGGGTTCTGTACCTCATCTTACTACAGATAAGCAGATTGAACACAGAGGAATTCAGTGATTTCCCTGGACTAAGCAGATATCAGGCTGGGATTCAAGGCCAAACACGTGGTTTCAGAGTTCGCACTATACTCTTGGTCTGAAAGACCAAGACCCCCATTGAATGCACACGGGTTATCCACTAACCAACTTATGTGATCAGAAACTTCAGAAGTAAATTAATCCAAATAAAGGACAGTGGCAGAAGCATTTTTTTCAGAAAACAGAACAGAAATATTTTCAAAATATGGTAACAGAAATCTTTTCTTAAATATGTTGTGTAGACATGATTTCTCGATTGAAAACTCTCGTAGACCTGAGCAATCTCTCAGAAACTCTTTTTGAGAGGACGATACTGCTATGAAGATCCTTATTTGCCATAATGTATAAAATGTGGCAAACACAAGAACATCGTTTTTCTTTATTTTTTGAAATGTAGATCACTTAGCGCTTCACATCTGATGTGAGATAAAAACACACCCTAGAGCAAGTGTGCCCTCTGGCCAGAGGTTAGTTCACAGCCTCTGCCTGGCAGGCTGCCTCCCTGGGCTGCTCAGAAGGTGGCCCCATGTCCTCAGGCTGCCCGCCGCCGGTGCAGCAGAACCACCAGCACAAGGCTTCATCCTCTTGGCCACCACCTCCTCATTTGCCACCTGCCTCGTGTGACCTGTAATGCAGTTGTCACTTGGCTCATCCTTCAGCTACTGCGTCTAACCCTCAAAGAAAAATCCACAATTCCCTAATACCTAAAGGTACCACCTGCCTGTCACTGCCTGCGACAGTTTTGGCAGTTGGGGAAAGGAATGTCCCTAAGGCCCATCCCCTTCTGTCTGACCTCCTGGAGACCTGCCTCCCACCCGCAGTCACGCATGTCCCCAGCATTAGAAGCATTAGCACTTTCACTTGAAGGAAGGCCAAATCCCTGTCTCCAGCCTTAATGCCTTCTTAACTTGCTCTGCTTTCTTGTCTTATTTCTTTGAAACCACGTGGATTAGACATTGACGAGTGCAGGATCTCTCCTGACCTCTGCGGGAGCGGCATCTGTGTCAATACCCCTGGCAGCTTTGAATGCGAGTGCTTCGAGGGCTACGAAAGTGGCTTCATGATGATGAAGAACTGCATGGGTGAGTGTGGCTGGCCCTTCCCCGGCCCTGACACGAGGCTGCCACCAGCTCTTTCAACCGCCTTCGCCTGGCTCAGAGTTGAGAGCAGCAAGCTTTGCGAGGAGCTGGGGTGAGAACGAGAAAATAGACAGAAATGTGAGACAAGAAATCTGACCCTGGACAGCTGTCAGGCGGCCCAGCCTCTGGCACTTTCATAGCAGTGAGAGGTTGAAACTGTGTTCTGTTCAGTCATAGAATCAGCACACAACGTCATTACTCAGAAGGGATGTGCTTAAAATGGGTGCTATTGTGTGGCGGTCCCAGAATTCGTGTTCTGTCATACTGAGCCCGTGTGCTTCCCCGTGTCTGCTCAGGGTTACACACTCTTACGCAGTTCCCAACCTTTTAGGCTCCATTTTACTTTCAGTGATTTATAAGAATTAAGAAATGTAGTCTCTATGAGTGTAAGATTTTCTTCTCTTTGATTACAGATACAGACACCAGAATAACTGTCAACAGTACATGGTATCCTGAATCTGTGATGAGCTAAAGCAAATATTGTTTATTTGCATCTCTTGTATATCTTATTTCATACAAGTACATTTCTTGATGGTTTATTACCTTTAAGAGTAGAATTTTTTAGAGTTTTCATACTGATGATAGAAAATGTGAGGAGAGCTTATCCTCTCTCCAGTTAAGCACATCTCTTACTGTTGGGTCACACACCTCAGAAAATACCTTCCTCCCATGCTGTATGTGGTGAACAGTTTTTCCTCAGAGTTCTTTAATGGATCTCACGTTTTTACTTTTCAGACATTGACGAATGTGAACGTAACCCTCTCCTTTGTAGGGGTGGCACCTGTGTGAACACTGAGGGCAGTTTTCAGTGTGACTGCCCACTGGGCCATGAGCTGTCACCATCACGTGAGGACTGTGTGGGTGAGTTTGCCCTTTCAGCACACAATTCCAGTGGGCACAAGGGGTGAAAAGGAGGAATCCTAGTGAACTTGCTGTTCTGGGGCATGTGAAATCTAGCTTATTACAGGTTGAAAATCCAGGCTGGATTCAGGCTCTGCCTTCACAGGAATGTCAGTGGTGCACCAAAGTGACTGGCTCTTTATGATTTCAGCACACTTGGGTAGTCCCTGTGTACAGGACCCTGTGTGAGTCCATGTAACTCCATCCTGCAGGTAGGAGGGGAAGGATCTGCTGTCCAGAGCCACTCGGTGATGGTGCACCTGTGCACATACCTGTACAGTGTGCATCCTTTCCCAGCAGCTCCTTCTAGCCACTCAGGCAGAGTCCAGTCTGTACTCCTGTGTTGACTTACAGGTCTGCGCAGGTGTATGACTGCATGAGCTCCTAAGCTCCTGCTTGCACAGATTTCTGTGGTCTCTTCACTGGCCTTGAACTCTGAAGGGATGGCAGAGGGGCAGGAGAACCCTAATGCTGGTCTCTGAGGACTGTAACTAAGGCCTCTGTGTTTACTGGACATTAGTATACTACCTCTTGAACTCTGAGTTAGCCAGGAATCATTTTCTTCAAAGGAGCTCTTCTTTGAAACTGTACACAATAAGACAGGTTGAAATAAAGCACTTCACATACCACTTTTGAAAAATAATTTGAAGGCCAGGCAGATAGCTCAGTGGTACAGCACCTGGCTGGCAAAGTACAAGGCCCTGAGTTCCTAGTACCAAAGCAAATCAAAAATAAATACAAATACAAATAATTTGAGCACACTTCCCTGCTACGTGTACATTTGTTTACAAGCTGTATATTTTTCTGTGCTGATATAGGAGGTGAATTTTAAACCATGGATTAAACAAGCATTTTTAAAGGATCACCTAAAAATGCTGTAAATAATTTTATTTTAATAGCAGTACAAAAGCTTTTTCACTCTGGCAGCAAATATTTATTTGTCCTTTACTACACTGTGATACAGTGATTCAGGAATATCTTTCTAAGTTCATTTTATTTAGTTTCATGAATCTTGTAGGTGAAAAATATACTCCTTAAAGGTATAATAGACCATGTAAAATACACTTGTTTCTGTGTGAATAAAATATATCCTTCATTATCATGAGCATAAATCCATATTGTATAGTCTTTGTGGTAATCTTGGGCATTTCACATGGTTTACTGTTCTGTGTAATCAGTGTACATTGTTCCAGCTTTTAACTTACGCTGTGTCTGACAAACTTACACGAGGAAATGGGTTGGTTTCTTGCTCTTCTTCTATGGTTACAATATCACTGCTAGTTTCTCCTACCAATCTCGCGTGGGTTTTTTAAAAGGTATCTGCCCATCTCTGTAAGGGTTAATTTATTTAAAAAAATAGGCAGCATGATCTGTAGACCCCGCCCCCACCAGATAAAAACGCAGTACAGTGAAGGCAGATAAAGAGGTGAGGGCCTTACTGTCATGCTTGTTTGTGGAACCAGTATCTTTCCTCAAGATAGTGCAAGTTATGTAGGCAGCACCTGACAGGCTCATAGAAACCAGGTGAGCGTGCCAGTGTGATTTCATAAATAGTAGAAGCTTCATTTCTGCCACATGCAATATCAGTGTAGCCTGAGATGGTCATCACTGGCCACATGTGGCTATGTAATTTTAATTAAAATTAAATGACATTAAGATCCTGAGAATTGCAGCTACATTTCAAGTGTTTGGTAGCACATGGAGCAAAGTGTTGAGCAGTATAGATAGCAAGCAATTCCATTATTATAGAAAGTCATGCTGGACAGCACCATTGTCAGTAGAAATAACCGAAATTGAGATTCCAGCATTTTCTTGAAACACCCCGGATCATTTTCCTTCTCCCCAAAGTACACACAGCCCTTTGGAGATCACTGCTTCAGTGAATGTATTCTTTGGTGTTAGTGGTTGGACTGTTACATGAAACACTGACTCTGTGTACCTTTCCTAGATATCAATGAGTGCTCCTTGAGTGACAGTCTGTGCAGAAATGGAAAATGTGTGAACATGATTGGCACCTATCAGTGCTCTTGCAATCCTGGGTACCAGGCCACGCCAGACCGCCAGGGCTGTACAGGTGAGGAGAGGCCATGCAGGTATGCGACTCACATTTCTCACATCGTGTAGGAAAACTTCTTGCAATGAATCCACACTGATGCCTCTAAGAGTCCTTTGTCCTAAAAACGAGGGCGGGGTTGCAGGGTGCCACTGTGCTGGTGTCAGAGGACTCACTGGTCTTACCTGTAAGACACTCTGAACTCCATAGATAGGTTTCTGAGTCCTTTAATCTGCAGATACTGATGTTCAGTGGAGTGCAGCCTGAAAGGAAGTGAGAGGGAAGAAAGGCTGATGGTTCAGCACTAAATCCACATAGATCATAGGGAGAGAAATCCAAAGCCAGTTAAGAGTGAGCTGCTTAAGAAGAACAAAAACTTACCTTTTTGGAGAGGTAGAGCTGACAATAACGGGGTTGTGTTGTTTTCGCAGACATTGATGAGTGTATGATCATGAACGGGGGCTGTGACACACAGTGTACAAACTCAGAAGGAAGCTATGAGTGCAGCTGCAGTGAAGGCTACGCCCTGATGCCGGACGGGAGATCGTGTGCAGGTAGAGAAAAGGAACCCACAGACCTTGGACAGTGGATTGACTTGCTCTTACAGATATGGCTGTGGATACTGTTGAGTAGAGCTGAATACAGAAAAGCTATTTGAGAATGATAAAAGGTGGCATCCTTTTCTTTATTGATATTGATTTTGTGTCCTCAGATATTGATGAATGTGAAAACAACCCTGAAATCTGTGATGGTGGCCAGTGCACCAACATTCCCGGAGAGTACCGCTGTCTGTGTTACGATGGCTTCATGGCTTCGATGGACATGAAAACATGCATTGGTGGGTGTCCTGAGCAATGGGGGATTGTTCGTGTACACACATATGCGCACATGGGAGTGAGAGGAGGACGGCTTTTTCTCGTTACTTTACAATTTCAAACCATTGTCTAGAATTACAAAATCTGAGAAGGAAGAGTTATTTGAAAATGAAAATCTCAAAGACACAACATACGCATCTGCAGTACAATGTCTCGCAAAAGGATTATATTTTAAACTTTATCTGTATTACTATAATGTTTTATTTTTAAAAATAGCTTTTAAGTCAGTGTAATCAATGAAAACTAACCAAGACACTGAAAATGGATTTTGTAGATGTAAATGAATGTGACTTAAATTCGAATATCTGCATGTTTGGGGAATGTGAGAACACCAAGGGATCCTTCATTTGCCACTGCCAGCTGGGTTATTCTGTGAAAAAGGGAACCACGGGATGCACAGGTACGTTGTGCCTTCTTTGTGGCAGCTTCTCAGCTTTCAGGGACCAACTTCAGCATGTTCATCCCCTTGCATCTCTTAGAGCACTTTCCCACAACCAAGCCACGGCTGCATGAGTGATATGCACCCGTCTCGTGGTCCTGTGTGCATGCTGAGCTCGCCTCAGGGTGCACACTGTCCAGGGCCCGCTGTGGAGCAGGCTGTGGGGCCAACACGGAGGCTGGGACTGCAGTGGAGTCTGTGTCTGCAGTGTTTCCTGGTGGCTTTGCTGCAGTGTGCACTTGGGTGGCATGACTGCTGCCCGAGTAGGAGATGCAGAGAAGGAGCACCAAATGACTTGGAGGAATGCTGGCTCTCCTCCTTTTGCAGTTCTTTGAAACTACCAAAAATTAGCCTTGTGTTCTGTTTAGCACTTTCCCTTCCTTAGCCTATATTTTCTTTCTTTTCTCTTCTCTTTCCATTTGCTTTTGCCTTTTACCTCTCTGCCCAAATTGCCTCTCTTTTTTTTCCTGTCTGTACTTTTTTCCTTCATTCACCCCATCCTGTCTCTTATTTGCTTTTTTTCACTAATTAGTTTTACCCCTTGCATACAGGTGGGGTTAGAAGGCGTCAAGTTCAAGGATTTGGACTAGATGTTCCTCAGTGCTCATTTTAAGGGCTCATTTTAAGACCCCTTTTTTTCTTAAGGCAGATGGTAAGGGGCTTAGGGTGCCACCGAGCCCTTAGGCTGACCCCTCCAGAGAGTGGCACGTAACACAAGGAGGTACTGCACGTTTTCACCACTACCAGGGTTGATAAGAAGCCAATAGTGTGTGTGCGTGGACTGTTTCAGCAGCTACAGCATGCAACCAGTGAACTAAACAGAACAGACTGCTTTTTACATTATAAAAATACTTGGGAGAAATCGACTTGGTTTGTATGTGTGAATATATTTATGTGTATATGTTTTTATATATGTGTGTGTGTGTGTATGTATGTCATTGAACAGTGGCGATATATTCTGATAAATGTCATTAGGGGATTTAATTGCCATGTAAACATCATAGAGTGTAATTATACAAACTAAGACAGCAGTATCACTAGGTAATACAATGTTATAAGACTTCCATCAGATAGGTGGTTTGTCACTGACCAAAATGTTAAGTAGTGCATAACTCTGTGTGTGTGCACACGCGCACCTATACTTGTAATATATTGTGCACAAAGCACACCTGAGTGAAAACATCTCGTCACTTTCCAGTTACTGTTTCCAGGGAACATTTTTCTAAGCTCTAAAATAAGTAGAAAAAAATGTACACCTAAATGATAGCTTTCAGAAAATTTAAATATTATAATGATGATCAATGATTATGCATTGTTTAAAAGAAGATGAACTACTACTTTTAAAGGAAAGTCAAGCTTGTTCTTGCCTTCATGAAAAATAATAAATATTAATAGGAAGGACTAGCAGAGTCCCATCTGGAAACAAGGTTTCTCTGGGCAGCTGTAGTCTGATGTCCTCTACATGGTATGTGGTCCGGACCTTTACAAGGAAGGGTAATAGCTGCTTCATCTCACCTGCTGGGAACAGTTGGCAATTTCTTTTAGGGACGGGTTTGTGTGTCCTGAATCAGGAGCCTCAAGTCTTACTGGGGTCTTGTGTCAGTCATTACTCACTGGAAAGACAGATTTAACATGAGATATATTAATATAAGGATTTAGAAGGAGGCTGAGCATGGTGGAACATGCCTGTATTCTCAGCACTCTGAAGCTGAGGCAGGAGGATCACCTCGAGTTCAAGGCCAACCTGCACTACATAGTGAAATCAACACCAGCCTGAACTGCATATGGAGACCCTGTCTCAAAAAACTAAAAAGGATTTATAAGGCAGGCGTACAGTGGCCGCCTGCACAGTCAGGTGTGGAGGAATGCACAAGGGCTGTCTGTGCATTGGTGATAGCACAGGATATGGTAGAAAGTTGAAGGACTGAAGCTCAGGTGGAGTCCTCCACAACTCGGCGTGAGGAGGCCAAAGGGTCTGCACGGGAAGGGGAAGAGTCTGTATGGGCAGACAGGAGGTGAAGTCCAAGGTGAAGTCTGGAGCTACTCTGGAGGAACAGAAATGAGCCTTCTTTCTCTATTTCCCTTTTATACTATTCAGTGACAAGCCCACCCAGGCTAGGTCTTCTGTCCTCAGTAAATCCTTCAGCCACACCCACAACTCTGCTGATCCAACTCAGTTGGGCATTTCTTACTCAAATCCACACAGTCAGTTAACTGTCACATGTCTAAAGTAATTAAACATGAAAGTGATGACAATTTCTCTAAACAGCTCCTTTTTACTTTTAAAATTTACCTATACAGAAAGATATTTAGAAGTAGAAATAACCTTCAGTTTATCTTTTTCTCATTAATTGCGGCTTCTCAGACGTGGAGGAGTGTGAAGTTGGTGCCCACAACTGTGACGTGCACGCACTGTGTCTGAACGTGCCTGGAAGCTTCAAGTGCAGCTGCAGAGAAGGCTGGGTAGGAAACGGCATCAAGTGCATTGGTGAGTTTGCAAGTATAAACAGAATTCTTCGGGGTTCTCGTCTGCATAGTTGTTAACCCACATGTAGGAAGGGGGACATGCTTTTCACTTTTCATTTATTCTCTTATAAATCAAAAGCTCTGTCTTTAGTTGTAGGGATAACTTCTGCCTAAGAAGCCACAGTAGCCTTAATATTAATGGTCAAATTACAACAGGATGCCTTGGCATCTGACTTTTCGTGCATGATGTTCAGTAAAACTCACTTGATACATACCCAGTAATCCAGACAGCTGCATGAGGAAACATGACTGATATGTTTTTCCAGTCTTGTCATGCAGTAATCAGTGAGATCTGAAGCTCAATGAAATAAATGGAGGGAACAAAAGATTTTTTTCAAACAGCCATGAGTGTGTAGTAAATGATCAATGCTAGCTTCTTACTAGAAAATAGAACTTGTCTCACAGGGAAATCCAAGTGATTTGTTGGATTCAAGAAATCTGATTTGAAGAAAGGAGAAGGAAAGCCATTTCCCCAAGTTCCATAATGCATAAGCCAGGGTCCAATAATAAGTCTTTCATAGCAGTGAGGCCTCATACTGGGCTATACATGGTATCATTCACACCGCTGTTCAGTGTTTTCGGTTTTACCTTCCTTAACAATAAAGCATTTGTCCACCTGGTGAGAATGATCCAGGTCAATTTAGAAAAGAAAGTAAGCTGAACTGATCTCCCCATGATGATTTTTTCATTAAAAGCTTATCGACCTGTAGTAAGGATTAAAGAGCAGCCTCATCTATATCTCTTACCAAAAATATAAGTTACTTTGAGTGTGCTTTTTTGTCCATCTAAATGTTTTACACTTGTTGAATGTTTATGAGCCAACTCTAGGGTGTGAATTATAATAGTTTCCAAATAACTTTGCTGTGTAGCATCTTAGGGTAGCTTCATTAAGTTTACAAGCAGCCTACCAGTAGTGTAGCCCTCTCTGGAGCACGACTCACAACCTTACAGCCGCATCCTCATTCCCGTGTTATGGTCCTTTGTGTCTACTGCCTTTGGCCCTTTCAGCCTCCCTTTTATGGGCTTTCTGCCCATTTGTCGCTCTGGTCATTTATCTCAAGCCGGCCTGACTAATACAAGAGATTTGACCATATCTGGGTACCTGTGCTTCCACGTGGCACCCCAGTCCCTCCTGTCTTACCATCTTCATCGTTCTGCTTAACTTTCCTGTCCCTCTTCCCCTCCCCAGCTCTCTGTCAGATGCTAAAAGGACCCCCTCATATGTTTGCTCTTTGTCTGTCCGGTCTCCATGCAGTCTGTTCACAAAGAAACAGCAGGAAATTTAAGCCACAGATCTGATCTTTTCACAGTCGTCATTTTGAAACAATTGAATTTCAGAAAAGCCCAGCTTCCTTTTCACAGCTTGCTTATAGCACCCTGTGGAAGGCCTCCACAGTCTTCCCAGCTTCGACTCCCACCACCCCGTCTCTCACACTGTGATTCGCCAATCCAGCCTCCTCTAGTTTCTTGGCCACTCTACCATCACTTTCCCATCCCTGGGACAAAATACCTGGCACCTGCAACTTAAAGGGGGAGGGGCTTGTTTTGGCTTTAATGTAGTAGTTTGTTCCATGGCTGTCCGGAAACAGTTGGTGAAGGACACTGCACAGGAGAAGCGCTCACCCTGTGTGGTCAGAAGCAGCAAGAGCAAGGGCTGGCCACAGCGGTAGATAGGCCTTCCAAAGGCGCATGCACAGTAACGCATCTCTCTCAGCCAGGCTTCGCCTTCAAGCGGCTCCTTAGCTGTGGACTCATTGACAAGTCAACCTACTGGTGAGAATAGTGTCCCGTGATACAGTCACCTTAAAGCCCTACCTCCTGAGTACATGAGATTTGGGGCGGGCATTCTAGATCTAGTCCTTACTAGTTACACCAAGTAATTTTCCTCCTCAGTGTCTTTATGAGTTACTCATTCATTCTGCCTGAAATAACCTTCGCTGCTTCTCTTCCCTGAACTAACTCCCCTTTATCATTGGCGTCTGAAGTTAATTAAAAATTACTTCCTCAGTGGGGCCTTCCTTGTTCCCACAGTCCAAATTAGATGCTCTTTTTACTCTCTTTGCTCCATGTGATTTTCCTTATGTGCAAATAAAAATAATTAATTTTTTTCTATGCTTAACATCTGTCTTTTCCACTAGACTATAACCCCTATGAGGTCAAAAAACATACCTTGGCCAGGGATGTAGTTCAGTGGTACAAGCACCTTCCTGGCAGGTACAAGGTCCTGAGTTTAAGTCCCAGTACAAAAAAAAAAAAAAAATTATCTTAGTTGTCTTATTTATAAAATAAGCTTGAAAAATCTAGGTCAGTTCCCTGAGATTCAGTAGTATTTTTAGAACTGATCCTTTCAAAAGTGATAAAGCAATAAAATTTACCCTTAATAGAAATAAGAATGAAACTGATTTTCTTTTAACTCTTCTTTAATTAGATATCACACAAAATGTTTGAATTAATCCTTCTGGCCCATATTTGTGGCATGGACATTTTGAATTGATTCTGAGAGCTTAGGGAACTGGGGCTGTGACCCTACTAATACACTAAAGCAATTCCATTTGGCCAGTTTATTTTTAAAATAAAGCAAATCAGAGTATTTCTAGGTGTTGTTCCATTTTCATTTTTTACCTTTCTTGTTGTATTCCCTTGCAATACAGATCTGGATGAATGTTCTAACGGAACCCACCAGTGCAGCATAAATGCTCAGTGTGTAAATACCCCCGGCTCATACCGATGTGCCTGCGCTGAAGGTTTCACTGGAGATGGCTTCACCTGCTCAGGTCAGTGCCGGTCCTTGTGTGTACCCGTGCGGCTGTCGTGGGACACTGTATGTGTTTTCCGTTTTCAAAGAAAATTGTAGTTAAGGAAAAATACAGTAACTACTCTTTTTTGGCTCTTTTGTTCTTTTTGTTTTTGTCTTTTTGAGACAGTATCTCGGTATGCAGTTCAGGCTGTCCTTGAGCTCACTGTAGCCCAGGCTGGTCTCGAACTCTCAACGATCCTCCTACCTCAGCCTCCCAAGTGCTGGGATTACAGGCGTGCACCACCATGCCCGGCACCAGTAACTACTTTTTTTCTGTCTTTTTCTTACATTAAACACAAAAACCCAAATGATCTTCCAGAGTACTGGTGACGTTTTAAAATACTGGCCTTTATTATTATCATGTACTGTTAATGACTGTCATTATGTCTGCTCATTTAGAACACACAGTGATGAAAAGTGTAGGCTTTGCCTGGGTCAGACCATCTGGTATCAAATCTAGCCTCTTACTGCCAGTAAAATCCTAAGTGAGCCACTTAACCTGTCTGGCCTTAGTTTTCTCATTTTAAAATGAATGTAGTTATAAAAATAGCATTTCTTTTCTTACTGTGATTAAATGGATATAGGCAAACTATTCTGCTTTTACAGATAAGGTATATGATCTTTCAAGCACTGCTATGTAATATAGTTGTGCAAGTGTCATAGTACTGAAAAGGTTAAAGTGGAATAACAAAAGGAAAGGACTTTCAGAAATACATCATAATAAGTACTTCATGCTACTTAGCTTCTGTTCATTTTACATGCTTTGAGAATAAAATAGTATCTTATTACATACATAATCTAAGACTAAATCATCTGAACAAAACAGTAGGTACTTTTTAGTCTGTAAGATAGTTGTTTCTCAGTTGATTTTCAGTATGCACTTTAAACTTACGATTGAAAGAGAGTAATTTTTTTCCAATTATTGGGCTAAAAAATGCAGACTCATCATTTCTAAATGCTTCTTTAAGGAAACATGTTTACTCAGATTTTAAGCTTTCTTCCTTTGAAGACTTACCAACTGCATCTCTCCCAGCTTTTCCCAGCACTGTGATGTCAGGGAAGGGCATGGCTTTGGGATTAGACACATCTTCGATCAGAACCCAGCTCAGCCAGCACACTAGTGCAACTCCTTTGGCTGCTCTAGCCCTCAGGTTCTGCCCCCTCAGAATCCCACAGGACTGGTGATTCCATGAACAATACATGCCAGGCCATTGGCACAGTAGTTGGCCCTTAGTAAACATTGATCTCTGCCCTTCTCCCATTTTTTGCTTCATGGAATCAAGTAAACCACCCGTAAGGTCTATGAGTCATGAATGCCTGTTGGAATAATTAAAATGGGAATATTTCTATGACATCAAAATGACATGAAAAAGCTTTTCCCATCTCCATAGTGTCTCTAATTGCTCCAAAATACTTGGACTAGTGAAAGCATAAGTTTTTAATTGAATGAACATCATTTTAACATTGATTCTCATATTCTTGGTCGTATCTAATGATTCCTAACACTGATAATACATCATCACATTGGCATTAAAGATAACTAAGGCAAATACAAGAGACATCTGCATCAGTCATGTCACAGTTCCATTTGAGGGTATAAGTAGCTTTGCCATCAAGTTGTTTACCCTTGGGTAGGTGAATGTATTTGTTCATGTTAATGAACACTAAGTCAAGCCAGTAAAGTTGATTTAGTCTTAGAACAAAGGAAAAAGAATGTCATGGAATCTGGAACTTAACAGAGATGTAATTCACTTTTTCCACAGATGTTGACGAGTGTGCAGAAAACATAAATCTCTGTGAGAATGGACAGTGCCTCAACGTCCCCGGCGCCTATCGCTGTGAGTGCGAGATGGGCTTCACGCCAGCCTCGGACAGCAGGTCCTGCCAAGGTGGGTCACCGGGAGTCCAGCTCACTTTCAAGTTGGACCGGCTGCAGCAGTGAAACCACAAAAAGGGCTGGAACAGGCTCCCCCTGGAAGCAGACACAGCGCACATGCTCCACATGTAAAAGGCACTCGTTTAAGCGTGGATTATTTTGCGGAATGAATAATGATGAGGGCAGCTTTCATCTCTAAGGAAGTTTTCCTGGCCAAGGGCCAGTAGCTGGAAATTTGGCTCATTTTTCTTTAATTTTTTTTTTATCACTAAAATGAATGACATGTGGCAAAGCTATCCAGCTTTTCTATCTATTACGTACCCCAGTCACCACTACTTATTGTACTTATCAAAATCCTCGCTCTATTTGGGGATTTATGTTTTTATTTGAGTGTTCTGTGCATGTCTGGGCTGGAAGCCCTCTTTGGGAATTGAAGGACTTCCTCTGCTTCTTAGTAACATCTCCCTCAAGTTGCGATGCCATCCCACTTTCCTGGAAATGAGACTTTGCATCTAGAATGGTATCTTTCCAAGAAAAAGAAATGCGTATTTCTTTGAAATCAGAAACTGAATTCACATTACATATTGTTTGGGCCATCAGAGTGTTGTGAAGAGCACAGTGTCAATGAAGAAGGGAAAGAAATTGAAAATAATCCTAATTTATGATTCACAGGAAGCCTTTTTTAAAAAAAGAAAGCAAACCTAGGCTAACTGATAAAAATTAAGACAGATTACAGTCTTTCTCAATACTCCAGAGTCCAGTCAAATGAACAGAAGTAATTCTAGCACACACACAGTCGCATGCACACTCATCAGCATCAAACACAAGCTGTACCTCTGAGGAAGAGCAAAGTGGCGCCTCACTCTGCCCACCTCCAAAGGAGGCTTTGAGGACAGAAAGTGTGCCTAAAGAGTCATGGGGTTTCTTATCTGTGCACCAGTGCGGATTGATTCAGAGCAAGGAGGTGAAGAGTAGGCCCTGGAGAAGATGATACTCAACACTGACAGCATCCCTGCTTCCACACTGACTTGGTAGATTGGGCAGAGTCGAATCCATTTTATACAAGGTAATTGCAGAAAGAGCTGCATTCTTCCCCAGCCTTCACAAAAGGGGCCAGGTAGTATGACATGGAAGCTGAAAATAATAGAAACTTTGCAGGGATCCTATGGAAAAAAAGAGAAGAATGGAAAAAAATAGGTAAAGAACTAACCCAGAATGGAAGAAAAAAAATCTAAGAGGCAAAAAGCAAATTTCCACTAAGTTTGTGCCATTGATAACCTTAAAAAAAAAAAAAAAGAAATGATTAAACAACTTCAAAGACCGAATTTAAAAAACAGTAGAATAAATATTAGAAAGGAAATTGATGAGGCAGGGGAAACAAGAAATTGGGGCCAATATAGCAAAATTAGAAAACTATTAAATAGAAACAAAAAATGAGAAGAGATCCAGATGAAAATGTAGGAACTACTATAAAGTGCTTGAAATAATCACAGTGAACAAAAAAAAAGGAAATCTGTTAGAAAAAAAAAAAAAAGACCATAAACATTAGTACAATTGGTGCCTCCGAAGTAGAGAGTCCAAGAAGTTGATAGAAAAGAACTATTAAGCAACCAAGCATTGTCCTGAAACAGGAGAAAGATCTAAATGTACAAAAAATGCCAAATTATAAACAAAAACCCTTACTTATCATATTTGTCAGCCTTTGTGGTAGGAAAGGATTCAAAACTCCAGCTAGGAAAGGAGTCTTGAGCTCCACAGAAACGTTGGCTACCAAGACACTACAAAATTGCCCACAAGATGCCGAGGAGACACCTGACGGAAGACTCCCGTACCTCAGCAGTGCGCTGACTACAAACACAATGCACAGATTCTCATAGGAGAATAATTCTGGGGAAAACACATTTATTTTCACAATAGTTCTTCTTTCTTGGGGATGGAAGAATAATCCACAGTAAAACACAGCCAACTGGGAAATAGAAAGTTGAAGTAAAATTAGTATTAATCTTTTTAAGAATTATCCTTAAATGCTGGAAATAGTGCCAAAGTGCCACAAACATAGAGAAAATGAAAATAATATAAATAACAAATATAAAGAATTGGAAGGCTATACAAATATTAATTTTCTTGTTATTTATTATACAGAATTCATTAATAGTAAAATTACATTTGAACTTTGGCACCAAGCCAAATAATAAATTTTTACTATTTTTTATATTTTTTAATATTTGAAAAGTATTTTGTAACTTATTGAGTTCATTATGCAAAATTAATCTGATACAGAAATTGCCTCAGCTTTCCTGTCTCTGAATATGCATATAGCAATGTCTGTGAATTCATCCATGTTTGTTCTGTGTGACCAGAAACATTTTTGAGAAATTTTTGGTCTTATTATGTTATTTTCGGTATGATTTGTTGTCTTCTGCTTTTTTGTGAATTTTCTGTATCATTTGAATTTTTGAGTGTCAGTTTTATAAAAGCGAGACAATATTCTTTTAAAATACCTAACTTTATACAACTGCTCAATTATTTTGAATGAAAAGCATTCCTAATAAGTCTATTTTACAGTAAAATGCATACTCAATGAGATGCTAATGCCACTGTGTTTTCACTTCTTACAGATTAACACAACTCATTTATAGTCCAGCTTAGTGAATCTTTGCTTATTCTCTTTAGAGAGATCTTATTGTCCCTAACAAAAAGAAAGGCACCTTTGCACATCAGTTGAACTTTTAAACATGATTTGAACCATACCTTAGATCTAAGATAGTTGAAACAAATTATTTTAACTAGCATGTATGACCAAAAGACCCTTTCTAAATCAAGATACAACTGTCTAAAGAGAACAGTTCAAAGTGAGCTGGGTCACGAGCCTAGAATGACATTTGTGGTCTGCATTTTCAGAATATTAGACAATTTGTGTATAAAAATATACATCCTCTTTTTATGAGTAGAAATACAGATTATTTCTACAACTGTGCAGACCACATGTATGCCTTCATTTTCAGAACTGAGGAGTGCTAAGTTCACATTGATTGACATTGTGTCAGAGTCTCATGGAAGATTTTCATAAACTGAATTCCCAGTTTTAATAGAGATATTTTATGAAATTTGTAAGAATATGTAGAGAGTGGACCATCTTACCACATGGCATTAAAACTAAACTCTTTCTCTTCTTATAACTGACGTTAGGATGAGAGATGAGATTACAAAATAAAAAAACTAAAAATCTAAAAATTAATTTTAATAATGTCTTCAATATTTTTAAATTGTTATATATTTTAACTTGCCAATTATAAGATATCTGGTATTTGCACTAATTTTTAGAATCTTTGAATTTGTTTTTATGTTTAGTATTTTACATTTTCATTCCTTTGACATATTTACATTCAGTTTTTGTATTTTTATGTTTAAACCAACTCTTGTTTAAGTATATTATAATGCAAGACAGGTAAAATATTAAATATTCATTTTATCAATGCAGAGATTTCTGTATCTTAGTTCCATAGATAAGCACTAGTTGTTTTTCCTTTACATTAACTCTCTAATCAAAGAAAAATAAAACTTTTACTGCATATAAACATTTGAAGTTAGAAAAACTCATTATTATATGTTACATTAAAAATTCTAAATGCCTTTGTAAACAAGGTTTGTTTTTTTTTTTTCAATCTTCAGATATTGATGAATGCTCCTTCCAAAATATTTGTGTCTTTGGGACGTGTAATAATTTGCCTGGAATGTTTCACTGTATCTGTGATGATGGTTATGAACTGGATAGAACCGGAGGGAACTGTACAGGTATGGCCAGTGAGGGGCTCAACTGTGTGCTAATTAGTTGAAATGAATATTCTGTGCTACATACAAAAACTGCTCACATTTCTACATAGCCAGTCTATGCACTAGATTATGCATTTTTCTGAAAAAGAATTACACTCTGATATGTTTATTTTTAATTATATAATTGATCTATTTATATAGTTTAAATATCTAACATGAAATTAATAAAATATCTATGTATTTGCTACAAATATGTACGTATGCATAGCACTATTATATGTGTGCATATAATAGTGATAGAAAAGTATGAATGGTTAAATTAAAAATTTATTACAATAAAAAATACATTGCTATTTAACCCTCAAATGCCCCCCTTTGCTTCAAACACACTTACTCTATCATTCTTACAACTTTGTGAAGCAGTTCCAGAAGTCCTCATATAGAAGTGTGATTAAAAACACAATAAGTCCTAATGCCAACCAGCAGACAGGTGGGTACTTCAAAAACATTATTCTATGTCTTCAGCCACCTTATTCATCAGATCTGGCATCATGTGACTTCTGGCTGTTCCTCAAAGTCAAAATGACCGGAAAAGGTAAATGCTTTGAACTGATTCAGGACCCTGGGGCAGCCACAACAGCCCAACTCAAAAAACAGCTATTTCAGAAAGCAACAAGAACAACAGGATAAGTGTGTTCAAAGTGATGGGGAAGATTTTGAGGGTGATTAATGCTAACGTGTTTTTACTGTAATATTTTTTTTTAAACAGACACTGTATTTTTATCACATCTCATAATTGTAGTTACGCAAATAGTACCATAATTTTTGCAACATTTCATTATTACTTAAGGATATTAAATGGAATTGTCATAAATACTGTGAGCTTGACTTGTGGAACCTGTTTTAGAAATATACAGGAAGTTACGATCTCTCTTTCATTATCCTGAGCCTTTCCTAATGATCATTAATCTACTGACAAGCAAAACACCCATGAATCCTTTGGGACAGAGACATTCATGGAGAAAGTAAAGATGTTAATGCTGGCATTTTAAATGCTTATAGATATTGATGAGTGTGCAGATCCCATCAACTGTGTCAATGGGCTTTGTGTCAATACGCCTGGCCGCTATGAATGTAACTGCCCACCCGATTTCCAGCTAAACCCCACTGGCGTGGGGTGCGTGGGTGAGTAAAAGCTGCATGATATGAACAGAGTGATACAGAGTTCAGTATTTGAACACTTGGCAATGAACTGTAATGAGTGTTTGATACAATTAATTTTAAAAGATAGTCCCTTCCTTTAAAAAGTGCTAGATTATTTCAACTTTATTAAGCACAACCTAAAAACAAGCTTTTAGAAAACCACTCACGGTATATCTTTCAAACCAAGAAAATACAGCACAGAAATGAGTTAGCTTTGATTAAATTCCTGTTAAAATTCTTAATAAAGTTGTTTTCACTATATTTTTTTTTCCTTCTGTCAGTTATTTTTAATTAGTTAAAAACATGAGAAAGAATCCACAGATGGGGATGGTAAATGATGGTGACAGGTTTTAGCAAAAACTGAAGTATAGGCAAACTCTGAATCAGCAGTTCTTCGCCTGGTTTTGTATGCCAAAGATGTGAACTCATGGGTCCATACACAGACATGCATAAGATACTAATTGCCATATTATTTGTGGAGACAGAGACTTAGAAATTGTTTTGAAGAGTGAACAGATAAAAAAGGGGCAACTGGACATGACAGAGTTTGCTAGATGTTCACAAAGCAAGCCAGATGGCAGAAGAGAGATGAAGGAAGGATGACGAAGTTTATCTCTAATAAGAAAGGAACCACCAATTAACTCACTACTCTGCACCCAAAATTCAGCAACAAAAACAAAACAGAAAAATGACACAAAATAAAGTAAACCAATAAAGAGTCCAAATGTTTCTAATGTGCATCCAGGGATGAAAATTACTTTGTGGAGTTAGAAGGTTTTTTGGTAAGAATTTTGGATTTTCTCTGGTTGAGGTAAGAGGCTATTTCAGAGGGCCTGATATAAGGTAACACTTCTGAAGTATTACTGCGGCTGTGGAGGGAAAATAGGTGATAGGTGGGTCAAGGATACGAGTAGAGAGGTGAGTTAGGAGACTGTCGGCATAGCCCAGGTAAAGGGATGACAGGGTCTCGAGTTCAGGAAATAGTGGTAGGGACCAGGGTGATTAGTCAGGTTGCAAGTATATCGGGAAGGTAGAGTTGGCAGACTGTGTTACTGAACTGGATAAAGAATAATAGGAATCAAAGATGGCCTGGGGATTTAGGGTCTGTGCAGTGGGAAAATGGAAGTAGTTATCTATTGAAAATGCCTAAAACTGGGGAAGAAGGAAGTAGAGCAGATTTTGTATGTGGAAGAAAAAGTAGTCCTTTGTAGACATGTTAACTTTGAAATAGCCATTAGGTATCTTAGAGAAGAAGTCACACAAGCAGTTGGATGAAGGGTCTAAAATTCAGGGGAGAAGTGAGAGAATTATACATTGGAGACTTCTCAAAAAAAAAGGTATTTCAGGCCCTGCCACCTAGGTGGTGACCAGAGAGACAAGAAGGCTGAGGTGCATTGATTCCTTGGGTCAGAGGTCTGACTTTGGCACACATTGTCTTTCTCCAGACCTGCAAGGCACAGTGTGCAACTGAAAGGAAACCATGGGGGAACTGAGATGATGGGGAGGAAAGGAAAGAGATGGGGAATTGAGTTTCCTTTGTATGACCCAGAGCTTTAAACTAACTTACCACAGCTTTGTCTCATCATTCGTGAACGTCGTGATATAGACATGTCTTGCATTCATACTATTGAAAGGTTCAGAATACCCCACAGAGAAATCTTGTTTCTGTCAGGAGCACATGGGAATACAATCTGTATAGATTATTAAACATTGGAAAATGTGTCATAATTTCCTGTGTATCATTCCATCTTGAAAAGCTTTAAAGCAAGCGGTTGTTTTGTGCTAAAGATTGGTATGAATGAACCTTCCATATTAACGGGTAAAATTTGAAGTGCGTTCTTTGTCTATCTTCTCCCTAAGAGGTTCTCAGCCTAGCCAGTGCGACTTTTTTTTAAAGAGATAAAAACAACGATACAGAATCTCAAAACAAGATAATAGGAAATAACCATGGTTAATGTATTGCATATTGTTATCTTCAAAGTAGTTGCCCGGATTACGGGATATAGCAGGCAAACTGATGAAACAGTATAAGCACAAACCATTCAGCAAGGGCAATTGTAAGCTCCTCTGTTGCTCTGTAGACAACCGCGTGGGCAACTGCTACCTGAAGTTTGGTCCTCGAGGAGACGGAAGCCTTTCCTGCAACACGGAGATTGGAGTGGGCGTGAGTCGCTCCTCCTGCTGCTGCTCTCTGGGGAAGGCCTGGGGAAACCCCTGTGAGACCTGCCCCCCTGTCAATAGCAGTAAGTATGCAGCCAAAGTCAGGAAGGGAACACACTCTGGGGTCTGAAAACAAGTTGCCACTTTGCTCTCGGGCTGGAAGCAGAGCGAGCAGTGTGGGATGGAATTTGGACTACTTCCAGGGATTATGTGAAACCAGCCAGCAGTGTTTTATAGAAAAGGAATTTGAATTCCTTTCTCATTATTTTTCATGATATGTTTGATGGAACAATTTTTAACCGCAATCCAATATGAATGGCAATAAGATCCATTCTCCACAGTACCAAAGATGAAGCCCATTCGTAGTTCTTCTCAGAGGTTATTCAGGTTCATAGGTAGCTTGTATTCCTGAAGTCAGTCACAGAATATGTTAAATTGAAACATGTGTTTCCATATGCATATGAACCCAAATCTCTCTGCTATAGAGTCCTTTAGTTTTTATTTGCTATCAAAGAAAGTTGTGATATGTATTTTCTGTAAGGGGCTTTTCCCTTTAAAAACAAATGCCTTTTGTTATTTTATTGTGGATATCATTCATGAACAAATGATCTTTTTTCAAGAAAAATGTCATATACAAGCTAATTTGAAAGGACAGTGGGGAAAACGTGGATGCCTCTAGGAGGATGTATGTTTTAAGTCTCTCGGTTGCTGAATGCTTGCACATGGTCTCAGGCATTTGGACACTGACATAAAGCCTCTTCTTCATTCTTTTGCAGCTGAATACTACACCCTCTGTCCTGGAGGTGAAGGCTTTAGACCTAACCCCATCACAATCATCTTAGAAGGTGAGCTCATCACTAATTGTCACCTAGGTTTAAGTAAAAAGTTCATTTTAGGGAAAAGGTGGTATAAAAGCGAGTACGGTGCAGTCCTGACAAGATTACTTAGCGATATTAGAGGTAGGTTATCAATGACCAGGATGTTAAATATCTACTTTTTTCAAGCATGACAAGAGTAGATAATGCACCACAGGGGTCCGATATCTGATTGTCCTACAGAGTAACACTTCTTTCCCGTAGCCTCCAACTTGCTTTTATCAGTGTTCTCAGGAAATGGCAAAGTTCTTTTGCAAAACTAAGAAAACGTAAGATCGGAATAAACCCACCACTGCAGTTCATCTGTTTGGATGCATAAACATCTGTGGGCCTTCCAAGATTAGGCACCGATTGTAAGGCTCTGATCATAACTCTTGTCTCCCACAATGGTGCATGTGGCCCATGAACTGTCTCTCCCTTTGTAGACATTGATGAGTGCCAGGAGTTGCCAGGTCTCTGCCAAGGTGGAAACTGTATCAACACCTTCGGGAGCTTCCAGTGTGAATGCCCGCAAGGCTACTACCTCAGCGAGGAAACCCGCATCTGTGAAGGTGAGGGGCCTTGAGCTTGCTGCCCACGGAACTGTCGAAAGGGCTTCTTTGCTTTTTTCTTTTCATACCAGTGTTGCTCTTGTCTAATGATAGATTAACCTACGGCTCACCTGTTATCATTTACTGCTGTCTTTCTGAGAGAGCTGATTAGATGTAAGTGGGGAAAATGGAGTAGTGTGAAAATATACAGTAAGTTACCAGTACAAATATTGACGAGAATTATATTTTATGTAGGAAAGTAGGTAAGCTTGAGTATTAAGTTAATATTGTTCCATATCGATAATGCTGGACATGATATAGAGTTCACATACTGGGTAAATTAAGCCAAGCGAGGTGGTGCACATCTGTAATCGCAGTACTCTGGATGCTGAGGCAGGAGGATCACTGTGACTTTTAAGGCCAGCCTGGGCTACAAAGTGAGTTCAAGGCCAGCCTGAACTACATAGAGAGATCCTGTCTCAAGAAGACAAAATATAAGATTGGGTAAATCCTTTTGATTCCATTGTCACTTACCACCTGGCCCTGTGACCACCCCTCTCAGGATCTCATCACCCCACTCCATTGTGGTGGAGGCTGTGCTGGGCTCCTGGAGACAAGGCCCATTTCTTCCTCGTCTTGGTCACTGTGTATTCCAGCTTGCAATAGAATGTCAGTGTTTACTTGTGGAATGAAGGAATGCTTCTTAAAATGGACAACTAAACAATTGTTTTCTGTTACAACCTTTATTTGGAAACATATGAAATAAATACGACTAGAAAAACTGTGACTTAATAAGGAAAACAACCAGCAGCTACCCAGATTCTAGATTCCCTGAAGAAGTATTGATTTGAATGAAACCACAAAAACAAAGTCTGTCATAACCAGCATTCAGTTTAAAACAGTTTAAATAACGTAAGGGAAATGCAGGCTTTAAATTCCACTTTAAAATACGTGATTATTTTTGCTACTTTAGAATAATTTCTTCCTATGACATAATTTTTTAATATGAGGGATTTTTTTTCTTTTGAAGAAAGATAAACTTACGTAATATAAATGCATATCTTGGGATATTTTCTTTATCTCTAAGTTTTGTATGAATGAGGAACTGCCTATGCTGTGTTCAGTAATCTAAATAACAGAGATCCATAAAAATAACTTTGTTAATGCATAGGTATTCTTGTCTACTGTAGATATTGATGAGTGTTTCGCACATCCTGGCGTGTGTGGGCCCGGGACCTGCTATAACACCCTAGGAAACTACACCTGCATTTGCCCGCCTGAATACATGCAGGTCAATGGGGGTCACAACTGCATGGGTGAGTATAGGTCACTGAGATTCATTAACGAGGGCATCATTGTTAACTTCACATGAACAGCACTTCTGTCTCAGAATTTTTGTTTAGAAAGTTTAGGAATTAAATCTTCATGAATGAAGTGTCACAGTCTCACAAACTATTGATTGTGTGTATATATTCTTAAATAATTTTACTCTCCATTTATATACACTAAAATTGTACAAAGTAAGAGGGCATGTAAAATTAATACGTAGTCTTTGAGTAAAGAAATAAATATACATTAAATTGTCACCCTGTAAAATTATAAATGAAAACTTCTTTCTAAAAATAGGAGAGATGTTAATCTAAAAATTATTTACCAGCTTGCAGAGGTTCTTTAAGATGTCTTGAATGAAGGAGGTTTTTTCAGTTACACTAATGACAGAAGTTTGATGTGTACAGGTATGTGGGCTTCGTCACTGCTGATGACTAGCTAGTTTATTTGTTTCCTCATGTAGATATGAGAAAAAGCTTCTGCTACCGAAGCTACAATGGAACCACATGTGAGAATGAGTTGCCTTTTAACGTGACAAAGAGGATGTGCTGCTGCACGTACAATGTGGGCAAAGCTTGGAACAAACCTTGTGAACCATGCCCAACACCAGGAACAGGTAAGCACATAGCTTGTGCTGCTGCTGAAGGCTGAGTCAGCAATGCACACATACACATAGCTGTAGAGTAAAAGTCGCAGGTACCCAAACCAGAGATGCTCGGTTCTGAAAACATGTGAGCATGCTCTAAGCTCAGTTTCCCAAGTGGCCCTCTTTGGGTCTAATTTCTCAGACGAGTGATGAATCCATCACATCCTGAAGGACTCCATTGCTAAAAGGGTTAAACTCTTACATCATACAATCTTTTACTGATTTATTCATTGAACAAGTACTTAATGAGCATCCACTATGTGTCACTGTGTTAGACACAGAAAGTACATGTTGATAAAATAATTTAAAAACCATCAAATTCATTATCTTTTTTAAATTCAATTTTGAAAAAAAGTACAAAAATGGATTTCATGAGCAAAATTTTACATAGTTTGTCAAAATATTAGTTATACTTTCTGTCCCTCTGACTTAATTGAAATTCTTAGGCAGGAAAAAAGAACTTGCCTTCACAGGATAATATTTTTCTTACAAACATAAATTCTTATGAAAGAAAATAAAGACAAAAGTAGAAACTGCTTGTCCTAAAATTGTTGCCCATTCATGTTCTTTTGTGGTCTCTAGAGAGTGGTAAAGTATAATACCTGTAAGTGCTGGGAGTTGAATCAGTAGGACAAAAAAAGTAGAGATTATACATTTGTTACCAAATGCTGTGTGTGTTATGTATATTTAAGTGTGTCATTTAAAGTGATGATGAAATAAATATAAGAAGTGTTGGAGTGAGACATGAACCTTTTTGAAAGTGGATCAAATTCAATAGTCAAGTGGCTTTCCCTTAGCCTTGTTTTGCCACAGTAAGTTCCATAAAATTAGAAAAGTTCTTACAGTTCTCAGCTTCTAGGTATCTTCTCAGAAGATTTAAAAACATCACAGGACACCGATATATGCACGCCCATGTTTATAGCAACACAGCTTACAATAGCTAAATTTTGGAAATAGCCCAAATGCCCATCAACCAGGGATGGATAAAGACGTTGGTTTTTTAACATAATAGAATACTACCTGACTATAAAGAAGGATAAACCTGAGACATTTTTAGATAAATAGATGAGACCTTGAGACCATACTCTTTTAAGTGTAATAAGTCAGACACATGTAAACATCACATTGTCTTCCTGGTATGAGAAACTAAAAGAGTAAATAAGGACCAAAATGTACAATGGGTATTGTGAAATCAGAAGAAAGTGTTCAAAAGGAAAGAAGAACTAGGGTGGGGTAAGGGTGAAAGAGGGAGGGAAAAAAACAACTTTTTTAAAAAAGGATACTGGCAAGCTCAAGGTCATGAGTTCAATTTCCAGTACAAAAAAGAAAAGATAAAATGGAAGCAAAGCTTTGTAAATAGGAAGGGGAAGATGGGTTGAAGGGAGGGGAGGGGATTGGGAAAAAAAGAGAATTTAAGGTATATTGTGGACATTCCCTGTAATGACTATGGTCAGTATGTGTATCTAAAATATAGCAATAAACTTAATTAAAAATTTAAAAATAAATAAAACAAAACTACATAATTAGAAATTGAAGATCACTGGTTTGGGGATGTAAAATGCTATTTTTCTTTGGGAAAGAAAATGAAAAACTTAGGTTTGAGAAACAAGTCTATATTTAAATCAAAGCTCTACAACTTATTGTATATAGAGAATTTATCTTTTCTCAAACTGTTTTCTCATCTGTAAACAGGGATAATAAATAGTGACAGACGAATTCATATGGTTATAATAATGATAATTAATGAAATTATATATAAATTATAATTTTCACATTGCCAGGAAATTAGAAACCATTAAATTGATGCTCAGTGTGTATCAGTAGATGCAGTCTACAAAATCCCTGCCCACATGTTTAAAGTACAAATATATAGTGCAAGTTTTCCCTCATACTTCTTTCGGGACTTTAACTCATGTGTGTAACAGTGAGCATTAGCATGATTTAGCTTCATAAAAATTTGTATTCTTTGAAATGTCTATTGATTTGATAAATTATGTGTGGGAATAACCTTCAGCCTCTTTTATCTCACAATGAACTGTTTTTTGCCACTCAGATTTCATATTCCAACAAATACATATTTGTGGCTTTAAAAAAAAAGGAACAAAATTCATAGCTCATTCATTTTTCACTGGTAACCTGCTTCTCTGCCACAAAATGATTGTGTACGTCTGTATCCCTGTCCAAACGTGAATCGTTTTTAAATTCATCCTCTGATCTTTTTTTAATATGTATAAACTAGATCATTTTTAAAGTTCTGCATAAGAAAAAAATTGAATACCTAAGTGTTTTGAATTTTGTAATGCCATCTAATATAGAGTAGTAAAAGTTAATGATAGAGGTAACAGTAATGGTAAAAAATGCTTACATCTACTTTTTTAAAGAGTAAGAAGAATTTATTCAAAAGAGAGACAGAAGGGGGTCCAGAAAGTTGGTTGCCCCCCCCTTTTTTACAACTAGTTTTTGCAGTAACAGGCATTGTTATCAAGTGACTATAACAGAAATTTAAATGTCTGGTTGTACATAATAATATAAAATATACTTGTGAAAGTTGTACTATGTAAAATTTTTTGTGAATGTGTTTGAGAATATTAAAAATGCGTTGTTTTGTTTGTTTTGAAGCTGACTTTAAAACCATATGTGGAAATATTCCTGGATTCACCTTTGACATTCACACAGGAAAAGCTGTTGGTGAGTTTTCCCAAATTGTGTGTGTAGGAGGAATGGGAGTTCAATGTAAGAATTTATGCAAAAATTTTTTTAATTTAAGAGTACCATAGTCTATAGCCATACCACCCTGAACATGCCTGATCTCTTCTGATCTCGGAGGCTAAGCAAGGTCAGGCTTGGTTAGTACTTGGATGAGAGTACCTGGATCCTAATCTAATATAATTAATCAGAAGAAAAATAATGTTCTTAGACTCTAACCAATAGTGTTATTCCGTCAGCATAGTCAGGTGATTGACTTATGACAAATACACAGTTTCCAGGTTTCATGTGCCCCATGCAAATACTTCAGTTTTCCTGTCATCCTCAGTGTATGGTAGGACTGTAAGTAATTCGCCTTCTTTTACCCTTTAGTTCCTATGTTCAGAAGTACTAAGTACATATTTTGGTTTTTGGTGTACTTTTTATTGGTCTAATGATGAATTTGCAGAATTCGTATTCACATAAGTTATTCTTTCTGAATGTACTTTCTGTTCCTCAGTCTTCTTTCTCAAAAGCAACTTAAATCTCTATTGAACAATACACTAACTTTCCATTGTGTATATCTATAACAAAATCTATGAATTTAAGGAAACAGAACTATCAGATGAACAGCACTGATTAGGACGATATGACACACAACCTGAGAAGGAGCTTGATCCCCCCACACTGACACTCAAACCACTCAGTGTGTTTTGCCGTACACTGCATTCTTCCCATTGCTGTTTAGAAGAACTAATGTATTTTATGGTCTCTATGTTTTCATAAACCACAGAACCATTTATGCTGCCACATATTTGATTTTTGTGACACTAAATATGTATTCTTAGTCCAGGATCCACATGGCATTATTTGAGGTTGAATGGTAAATACATTAAGCAGAACCACATACGTTTTACCAAATCTGTTCAATTTCAGACATTGATGAATGTAAGGAGATTCCAGGCATTTGTGCTAATGGTGTGTGCATTAACCAGATTGGCAGTTTCCGCTGTGAATGCCCTACAGGATTCAGTTACAATGACCTGCTGTTGGTCTGTGAAGGTAATCTGACTAATAGATGTCTCTCATGCATAGTCTGGTATACAAAAAGGGCTTTTGGGCAGCTTTCCAAGTGTTACTATTTCTTCTGCTGTAAAGAGTTGGCCATCAGCGTGTTGATGTGCGTGTGATCCTAAAGTATTGATAGAAACTCTCCACTGTTTCAGACATTGACGAGTGCAGCAATGGCGAAAATCTCTGCCAACGCAACGCAGACTGCATCAACAGCCCCGGCAGTTACCGCTGTGAATGTGCTACAGGCTTCAAACTCTCACCCAACGGAGCCTGTGTGGGTAAGAAACAGCAGGCCGGCACTGAGCACAGGCTTTGTGGGATTCCTACACGAAAGGAGGCCTTGCTTTCCTACCAGAAACGCCTTCAAGAGTAATTTTGGAAAGATTTTCTGATTCACTGTCTTCATTTATAATGAGCCTATTGCAACATAAATTACTTTTTTAAGAAAAGAGATTCTTTCAGTAGATTTCCCTAGGATAAAATAGTATCCTTGAGATATGAATCAGCCTGAAAAGTTGCATGATTAAAAAAAGAGACTTGGATACTTGAAAGTCTTGCTTATTTTGATTCTGCTATTGTTATGGTTCATTTTCAGCCTGTCTGTAGTAATTAATAGCAGGTTAGAGAAATGGATCGGTGAAAAATGAAAGGATTTTAATAAAAATCAGATAGGTCTAACATGTGTTTTATTTCTTCTTTTTTTTTTTTTTTTAGATCGCAATGAATGTTTGGAAATTCCTAATGTTTGCAGTCATGGCCTGTGTGTTGATTTGCAAGGAAGTTACCAGTGCATCTGCCACAATGGCTTTAAGGCTTCTCAAGACCAAACTATGTGCATGGGTGAGAACACTCAGTTCCCGGGGGAAAGTAGGACTAAGACTGGGGGCAGATTACGAGTGCCTCACGTGGCGTCAGTAACTACCATGTCTCTGCCAAGCCCAACTGTTTAAGCAGAATTTGCAAGCAGAGGCAGACCACCGCATGCCCCTCAACTCAGGGGTTCTGACCTTTTTCCCTAAAAGATGTTCTTGTTTTTTGACACACACTCTGAGACACTCAAGGTTATGTGAAATTCACCCCAATGCCAGCTGTCTCTTCTGTCTCTGTATGTTTCCCTCAGGACAACATTTTGGACTTCGGCGGGGGGGGTAGTAAGAGTGACTGTATTTTTACAAGATCATATTTTTGCACACACACGTAGGCAGTCTTTCTGCACAGATGACTGAATAATTTGGGATTTACCTGCACCTTTCGTGTTTCAGCTCTTAAAATAATTATGGAAGCAAGTAGAGCCAAATGGTTTAGAAATTCCCAGTAGCTGACAGAATGGTTGGTTAAGTGATGATAGTGTGTAGTGAATGCTTGCTGAGCCGATAATTAATAAGTTTTCAAAGGCCGGGGCTGATGTCAGCATTTGGCTCAGCCTCTGCCAAACATCCTCTCTCTTGCGCTTGAAGGAAGAAAATTACATTTAAAACTTGGCTATTTGTAACAGCATGGTTTTAGTGTACAAAAGGCTGGGATTATGCATTTACTTTTGGTATTCAAGATACTCTCTAGACGGACATCAAACTCAGAGTTGCGTGTTGTGGGCTTCATTTCCTTCATGGTTTCTCCGTGCTACCAGGAACACCTAGGGAATGTCTGAGCTCCATTTCTGCCTAAGACCCCCAGCCCCAGCCCCCAGGTTGCTCCCGTGGTGACAGGCAAGATTCTCCAACTGACGCTTGTCCAGAAATACTCCGGCTCTGACCTGTTACATGGACTTTCTGAGAATGCCTGCACATTCTTCTCCATGCTATACTCCTGGAAAGAGTATGATTTCACAAAAAAACATGAGATTTATAATTCAAAAGTGCGTACAGGAAAAGTGTTTCCCTATTCTGAGCAATTCTATATAAAAGTCTGGCCAACTCCTTCATCAAGCAGACCTCCCTTACCCAGAGCTTTCTTCCAGAAGATTAACACCTTTTTCTTTGCTTCACATGGAAGAGTTTCACTGGCCTGGGATTCCTAGCCCAAGGAGTCTGCTCTGCTATGATGGATGACCTTTCTAAGTTTTGTTTGCTTTGGGTTATTGGAGATTGAACCCAGGAACTTTGCAGAGAGCTACATCCTTAGCCCTTTTTATTCTTTATTTTGAATTAAGCCTTGCTAAGTTCACCAGGCTTGGCTCGGACTTGAAATCCTCCTGCCTCAGCCTCCTTGAATTCTGGGATTCCATGCACGTACCACCGTGCCTCATTTCTAAGTATTTTCTTGTTTCTTTTTGGAGGTTGGAGGGATAATAATATTGAGTTCTAACTAAATTCTAATTGGGGTTAAACTGCTTCAAAAAATTACACTGAAGTTTTTTTTCTCAATTGAATTAAGCTATGGAATTTTCTTGGCAATAATTTGTAATTCTTAGTAGAATAAATTGCTTTAATGCTTCAAAAGGTAACTTTACTTACAGTTAATACACAAATATATTAATTAAAATGTCTCTGCTTAGGGATGCTTGCTTAGGCTAGTTATGTGCACGCCATGTACCTGTAAGTCATTAAGCTGTATTTTTTTATAATTTTGTAATTTTTCATTTTCTCTACGTCAGATTTATCTTCCTCAAGTAAATATGCATTCCTAGCCCAATACTGAAAAAAATCTAAGTGATTTAGTAGTTGGCAAAAATGGAAAAGTTGAATAACCTTTTTTTTCTAGTTACACGTTAAATCCCTCTGAGCTGCTCTCTCTTTGCAGATGTGGACGAGTGCGAGCGGCACCCGTGCGGAAACGGAACCTGTAAAAACACCGTTGGGTCCTACAACTGCCTGTGCTACCCAGGCTTCGAACTCACTCACAACAACGACTGCCTCGGTGAGTCCCCGTCGGTCCTGTGCGGCTTCTACTTCACGTCCACATAGTGTGCTTAGATAAAAAGTAAAACCAAAGAATGAAAGTAACTTCTGTTACAATTAGAAATGCATCCCAAAAATGATGTCATGTCACTGACCAATTTCTAATTAACAAAAGCCACTTATTGGCCTAAGGATCATAGGGCAATGTACTATTTTGAGGATTCTTGTGGATGAACTACTCAATCCAGAGAAAAAGGCCATTTAGGTGATTACGTATCGGGACTGATTTATGGTTTTGGTTATTTTTACCCCTTAGGTAAATTTAAAGACAGATTTGAATTGTTCCAGTGTTGTCACAGTATGTTATATAAATCCTGCTTTTCTTGCATTCAGATACCAAAAACCTCCTACTCACTGACACACTGCGTTCTAAAGTTTACTTTTCCCCTGCTTTTGAAGCCGAGGTGCTTTTTACCACAAAAATCGTGGGTGGTGACTAGATCTGCCCAGCGTCTCAGAAATCTGTCCTGGTCATCACACAGGATTTTAGCCCTCGGCCCACACTTGACACGGGAAGTAGTAGTGAGTGGGGCTTGTTCCTGACGTGGGTGGAGAAATAACAGAAATGACAGCAGACCTGAGCTCTTTATCCCCGCTCGCCAGGCATGCGACCCTGGGAGGTATACGGGAGTAGTACAGGTTTTCTACCATGGTGAGACCATCACAGCTTAACTCCACCTCCTGATTTAATCAGCCACTTGTTCCTGTAGGTTTTCTTTATTTTTCAAAATTTTGCAATTGTGAAAAAATTGGTAGCTAAGCGGACATTTTATTCAACCTTCCTGACTATAGCTTCTCAAACTCAAAGTAGTCTTCAGACAACCCAGGAAATTACTCACATATAATCCACCCAGAGCTTAACTAAAATCCTAACCCTTAGTGTCCTTTTCTTTAATAAATTTGCATGTGTCAGCAGTACCGAAGTGTGTTTCACACTATGTACCAGTTTGTTTGTTTGTTTTTATGGTGCTGGGGATCAAATACCAGCAACCTTCAACTTTTATCTGGTTATAAACCCAAGAGATATATTAATGTAAAAATATACCTTGAGATTGAAATACAGTCGGGGTCTTCGCGAACTTAGGAGTTACACAAACCTTACATGGGCCATTTTCTTCTGTGCTGATGAGAAATTGTAACATAGAGTTTTTATAAAAAACTTAAAAGTTTGAGTTTGTGACGTGGTGCACCTAAGAGCGCTCTCTCTGAAAGGCTAACTCCTCTTTGCTTACAGACATAGATGAGTGCAGCTCCTTTTTCGGTCAGGTGTGCAGAAATGGACGATGTTTTAATGAGATCGGCTCCTTTAAGTGTTTATGTAATGAAGGTTATGAACTTACTCCAGATGGCAAAAACTGCATAGGTAAGAATCTAAACAGTAGTCTTTCTGTTGCTGTTACTGTGAAAGAAGGTGACTGCCCACACAGACAGACACACTTAACTCATTCACATTTCATTTGATCCTCAGGTCACATGAAAAAGATGGCCTAAGATGGGAAATTTTCATGTATGGTATTAACCAACAGTTAGGAATGTGTCACAAGGCAGTGTTTCTATTGGGGTAGAACTTGAAGTTGTCTGTGTCTCAATAAAAGTAGGCAAAGGAAACACATAAAAAAATTAACAACTTGCCAAAGAAGAACTACCCAAGATACCAGAAGAATATTGTAGGGAATAATATGTCCATGATGACCTAGCAGAAGAATGTATGATTTTTTGGAAGGAAAAGTGGGTGGTGCTAAGGATCAAGCCCACACATGCTAGGCCAACATTGCAGTTCTGAGCTGTATCTCCAGCCCCAAATTCTTGCTGATAGCATTCAGAAGACAAATGCATGCAAGAATCATCTCATGTTTTAACTATTTTTCCTCTTATTTCTCTCTGAAGACACTAATGAATGTGTTGCCCTTCCTGGCTCTTGTTCCCCTGGGACCTGTCAGAATTTGGAGGGCTCCTTCAGGTGCATCTGTCCCCCAGGATATGAAGTAAAGAGCGAGAACTGCATCGGTAAGACTGACATTCATGCTGAAGTGTGTGGTGTAGTAAGACTTGGTACAGGCTGTATGGAAATTTATGGCATCCCAACCCCTGCAAGTATGCTGACCTACGGAATTAAGCATATAGCTGGCTACGTCTGTTTTATTGAACCATCAGAAATGACTTGGTGGTTCAAGGGTTGGAATAAAAATCTTAGGGATGTGGGATTTTTTTCATTAATAGAAATCTTGTGCTGGTCTAGGAATTTTCATCAGACTCTAATCTTTTTTCCAAATGTCAACAGAGACTTTCTACTAAATTTAAAGAGAGTCTACAAAAATTGTAATCTTTGGCACCCAACTTTAAAACCATTACTAAAGGTGCAAGGGTCCTAGAAATGTGAAGCAGAAAATCTTGACAATTCTGCTGAGATATTTTTCCCCTCTGGGGAAGGCCTCATGTCAAAACAGAAAATATTAATCCATCTGTCATAACAGATGTTTTTCTGTTGAAATTCTTCCAGCGCAAAAGAGCATAGTAACCACATCAAAAGTGGGTCCCAGAATTGCCTGGTTTTTGCCTGGACATGATGAAGGCTGACCTTTTTTCAGTTCACTTTTACTTTTATACAAATTATTTTTTACAGCTTTGTTGAAATTCAGAAGGGCCAGCATCTTAGGGTAGTTTTTGTAATGTGAAAGAATTGCTGAGAATTTTCTTTTTACCTTTGAGTTGTTCATTTTTCTAATTCTGTCACCCTTGGCAAGATTCCATCTACACATAGATAGATAACTCTACTGTTTACATTCAAGAGAGTTATAAAGCTGTAAGAAGCCACGAACTTCATAGGATTTAATGATGTTTCAGGCCATATAATTAAACATTATGGGTATTCATGGCCTTCTGATTTTTCTCTCACTTTGTAGGTTATTGTAATGTTGCCTAGTGTTTTAATACTTAAATAAACAGTCATATTAGAATCATCTGGGTAAGTTTCATGAAAAGTTTAAGATCCTCTCTTTCCACTGTTTGCTTTTTTCATGTTTAATCCTGACTCTTCTTTGTGTCTATGATCCATCTCATGGAACAATGACAGCAGCAGAGAATGTTAGCTACTAGGGGAGAAGGAGAAATACATGTGCTTCTTTGTGTCACATACCCTCAGCAACCTTTTGTCTTAATGGATGTATCTGTATCTATGTTTAGTTAACATTTTATTAAATTTTAGAAATACTCCCTTTTATTTACTGTTAGTAATGCAGCTATTTTTCATCTGGAAAATGGTTTTAATTAATTCATTTCACTGTAAGAGGTATTTCCTCCAGATGGTATCTCTTCTACCAGTTTTACACAGATGAGATGCCGCCTGGTGTAGGCACATACACGTACAGACATGCCCGTGGTTATGTGCACGCAAACACACAGATGGGCCCTGCATCCGGAAGGTGAACACACGGCCCTGTAGGTGCTGCAGGTACAGGAACGTAGTCTTTGCCTTCAGCGAGCTTAATGCCTGACAGAGGAGACGTGTTGTGTAGGTGAACCTGTTTTGCAAAGATGTGTTTTTAAAGCCATGTGATGAAGATTGCTATAAGTATGTCCAGGATTTGGGAGCACAACAGAAAGCTGTGGTTAATTATGGAGAGGACAGAATTTCAAGAAAGCCTGTCAACAAGAGATTAGTGACATTCTGGGTCACGCTTATGTGGTGGATGAGAATTTATTAATCAAAGAAGGAAGAAGGGTGGAGATATTATTTGAAAATACAGGGAACACAGCATAAGGGGCTATGAGTGGCCAGCTCTGAAGCTTCCACTGGGCCTGCAGGTATTGTAGAGCTATTGCAGGCTACTTTTGTTTTTAGAACACACATGATGTGACTCATTCATTCTCATTCTGCATCTCCTTTCCAGAGATGAAAAATAGTTGCATGACTAACAGTGAACAAAAAAGAGACTATTTCTGAAATTTAACAAAATGTTAACTACGTCATAGAGAAAGATACATACAAACTGAGAATTTAGTATGTGCTGGACTCCATGCTAGAAGCTGACAGTGCAAGAAGCTCACCTTCTGATACGATTGAAGTTATGTAATGATATTCAGTTAGTTAAAGTAACCCACTCAATAACTACTCACATAGAAAACGGCTATAAATTAGTGGTGCAATATCTTCGTTTATTTTAAGCACCCCTCCTGAGATCCTTGGGGTAGGGATGTTGACATTCTTATATCAGAGCCCTCCCGCTTCCATAGGCACAAATTCTCAAAATATAATCAGATATACATCTTAGAACAGCAATCCCAGTGGCAACACAAAGAGAAGAGATGAAAAGTGCAGAGGTCAGTCACATGACTGACAGTGACCCAGGTGGCAAATGATGACGAGTCGAAGGTATTGAGAAAGCAGAAGTGGGGGATGCCTGTTGCCTGCCTGTGAGGGCTGATATGCCAGAGGGAGAAACCAGGGCGATTCCAGGTTCCCGCTTGGGTGCCCAAGAGAGGTGCCAAGAAGGAGAGCGGTCGTGTTAGGAAGGCACGTGGACAGGCATACACACTCCTAGGCATCGAGTCCAAGGAGCTGGAGATGGACCTAGGACTCTGTGACACATGAGTGCTTGAACTTGGACATAACCTTTGACTTTTGGAGCAATAATAGAATAAATCAAGCATACAGGTAACACAATCTCTTGTTTTCTCTCAGATATGCTTGGCAGGTGGACTGTTGTAATATGGACAAATACATACTTTCAAATATTAAACAGCATATTGATTCGATTAAATTAACAAATTCTCCCCCTGCTGTGCAGATATAAATGAATGTGATGAAGATCCCAACATTTGTCTTTTCGGTTCCTGCACCAACACACCTGGCGGCTTCCAGTGCATCTGCCCTCCTGGCTTCGTGCTGTCTGACAATGGGCGGAGGTGCTTTGGTAAGGTTTGGCCTGACTTCTTTGTCGTAGCTGACGCTTAGAAATGTCAAAGCTAGATGATAAACCACCATGTAATTTTAGTATATGTGCTGCCGAAGCGCATACCCTCCTTGTAATCTTAAAATACAGGTCCCAAAAGTATATGCAATGGACAAATCCAAGGTGCTTTTAATTATTATATTGTTTATAGTTTTTAGACTTTATAGCAAAAGAAAAATCATTACCTGATTCACCATTTTCATTTTGTTGCTGGCAGATATTTTGTATATTGGCACATGGCTTGTTTCTGATGTGATTAAATTTACTGAAAGTTGCCAAGAATTTTGCTAACCTATAATACAATAGAAAAAAGATTCTGTATGGGAATCTCTTGATTGAACATGATTTCTCAGATACTGTCACCACATTATAGGACTATCTTAAGCGCTTTGAATAATGGCGTAAAATTCTATACACGGGTTGATTAAAATTGGCAACTGACCATGAACAACTGAAGAGTCTCAGACACATCCTCTAACTGCTAATCAAACCTGTGTTGTGTGTTCTTCCTGTGAGAAATCTGTCAGAAACAGAGTTGCATGCATTATATACAAATTATTCTGTGTGTTTCAATGGCCAGTAAGGAGCTTTGTTGCATTTGCTTTGTTGATTAGATACTCGCCAGAGTTTCTGCTTCACAAATTTTGAAAATGGGAAGTGTTCTGTACCCAAAGCTTTCAACACGACAAAAGCAAAGTGCTGCTGCAGTAAGATGCCTGGCGAGGGCTGGGGGGACCCCTGTGAATTGTGCCCCAAGGACGATGAAGGTAAAGGCAACCGCGTGCGCACCTTCTGACAAGTGTTTGAGTGACTGCCCGCCGGTTTGATGTGTAGTTCATGAATGTTTTGAAGGTGGAATTACCCCCTCAGGTATAAATTCTGATTGTTCAGTGATCCCCCTCGTCCAAGGGTTTTCTTAACATTTTTAATCAACACCCATAAGTACGGGTAGTTAGCAGTTTCTTTCATTTTCCCCCAAGGTTAGTATGACTGGAGAAGTGCAGGGCAGGAGACACAGGAAGAAAAGATGAAATTGTATTCTGGGTTGCTGTAGAAGTTCCCACAGGGAGTCTCGGGGTATTGCTCAGTGGCCCAGCACGTGCCTCACAGGCAGAAGGCTTTGGGTTTGATCCCGAGCACCACAAAACAAAAACAAAAGCAACTCCCACATGGGTATATATCACAAATTGAAAATATCACATCAAATTCTAAGAAGAATTCAAATTCTTAAATTCAGGTCAGCATAGTGGCTACTTTCAGGAAGAGATCAGCAGCATCCCAAATCTCATAACACCAGTGAACTGTGTGATGGCCCCTGATGAGGGCAAATAGGCTTGCTCTGCAGGTTCAAAGCCACTTCTGTGGGTAAAGGGCAGGGAGCTCTTGCTGGCTGTTCGGTGTTAAATGAAGGAGCAGAAAGCTCGGGAACCCCCAGTCAGTGGCACCTGGGAAGGACAAACTCCAATGGCTTTCTCTGACTTTTTTCAGGTTGCTTTGGAAAGAAGCCCTGAAAATAAAATAAGAGACACTTGCAGCTTTGTAGAGGACAAATAATTAAGAACAATTCTATGTGTACTGTTAGTTGGCTGTTAAATTCACTGATAGTTCCAGCCCTTTGATAATGGAGAATTTACCCCTTTCTCTACAGTTGCATTCCAAGATTTGTGTCCATATGGCCATGGGACCGTCCCAAGTCTCCATGACACGCGTGAAGGTACGCTTTAGTATATTTTATTTCTACATTCACATTTTATAGGGACACACTATCTTTCATTTATTTTATAATAAATCATGCTAATTTTACAACAAAATACATAGTATATTGTATTTCATGCACATATAATATTTATGTATCATGTGCATTATAAAGACTACGGCATGATACACAAAGTACAAATTTCTCTGTCAAAACAAATACTGCCATGTTTTATTAAGAGTAAAGCTGTGCTGAGTAGATCCAAATGGTACGTCATGCCTTTTCCTGTGAGGAAGTTGATGAGCAGTTTTATATTTTAGATGTCAATGAATGTCTGGAAAGCCCAGGCATTTGCTCAAACGGTCAGTGTATCAACACGGATGGCTCCTTCCGCTGTGAATGTCCAATGGGCTACAACCTTGATTACACAGGAGTGCGCTGTGTGGGTGAGTATGGGCTCCACATCTATAATTTGAAAGTTCTACTTTCTTTCTCATATTCAGCACAAGGTCTCTCAGGTGCCTTGGGTGGTGGGAGGATTTGCAAAGACAAGACAAGAAGCTAGTAACAGCTCTTCTTTCACCCACCTTAAATCTTCTAGTCTGCGGTGGTTTATTTGAATGTGAAGAGCTGTCCAATAAGTCTTCAAATATACGAACTGTGATGTCTCTAGAGGTTTAAAATTGTCAAAATTTGTAGTTGGGAGAGACAGCGATTTGCCTTTACGTCTTTCCACACTGCTCGTGAAGCAGTGGATCACGTCCCTCTTCTGAATTGGTAACCTTCAGGGAAAGCACTGCCATGAGAATCAGAGTACTGAACACTCATCCTCTGGGGTCCTTGCACTGCATAAAGATAGTGAGCCAGGGCCGCAGGGGTAAGGGTCACTGTGCCCTTTGCAGATCCCAGAAATGTGAGGCCAGCCTGAGTCTTCCTAAGCATGCTTTTCTAAAACTAAAATGTCTCCAAACTTTGTGGCACTTTCTTACACTTCTTTTCCAGATACCGATGAGTGTTCAATTGGCAACCCATGTGGAAACGGTACATGCACCAATGTTATTGGGAGTTTCGAATGCAACTGCAATGAAGGCTTTGAACCGGGACCCATGATGAATTGTGAAGGCAAGTGGCCTTTCTTTTCAGCATTATTTCTTCTTGATATAGCGGCTTGATAAAGTGGCTTTTTAAATGTTTCCATCTTTGTTTATATTATTCTCATAGTTTGCTGATGACTGTATTCATCACAAATGTCTGATAATGCCAGCATCTAAGTCATCTCAGAATGATTAGCATCTGTTTTTTTTTTTTTTTTTTTCTTCTTGAGATTGCTGTGAAGAATGTTGTTGCTTTTGTCTAGGAAGACAGTTACTTTGAGTAGACACAGGGAGGCCTATGGAGGGAAATGGCTGATTTAGTTCTGTTCTTTAAGCCTCGGTGGCCAGCCTCCTGGCTTTTGTCCCACAAATGTACCAGACAGTCAGCAACTTGGGCTGAGTATACGAAAAAAACAGTGTCTCTCTCTGGCACTCTCTTTTCCAGTTTTCCTCAGGCTACAGCAGCCTTGGTTGTCCCAGGTGTCCTTCTTCCAGTTCTTCTGGGCAGAATCTGAAATGTTTTTAGTGGAGATTTAGCTACAGGGTGCTGACCCCACTGTGACGGTGATCATATTCAGAGTAATTTCAAAAAGAAAAGAAAAAGTGATGTGGGAATTACTCCTTGCTGGGTATTCGCCCTGGGTTTCAACTCACACTAAAAACTTGAGGTAGTTGCTACATTTTTTCCAGAGTTTCTGTCTTTTGTCTTGGAGGATGGATTTGCTAGGTACCAAATGCCAGAAATGGAAATTGTATTCCCTATTGTTTTCTGCCTGATTGCCAAGTAAATACATCAGTGCTTCTTTAAATAAGTAATTAGAGCTCTGAGCTAAGTACGTGTCTGCTATTTCTTTGACCAGATATAAATGAATGTGCCCAAAACCCACTGCTGTGTGCTTTCCGCTGCATGAACACCTTCGGATCCTATGAATGCACGTGCCCGATTGGCTACGCCCTCAGGGAAGACCAAAAGATGTGCAAAGGTAAGACCGCAGCCAAAGGAGTAGGAAGAGCTTTATTTACAATACTGGAATGTATTTTAATGACTTCATAGTTCTCAGCTGGCTGCTTCTACAGCTTTTCAGAAATATGATGATGTTTTGCTAGTAATTTTCATACTCACGTAACTCAGCACTTGACTGTACAGTGAAGTCAAAGAAGAGAAAATGAGTTGAAAAGACAGCTATTGTTAGACCCTTGGAGTCTTACTAAAGCAAGGGTTGCCCTTCTCAGAGCTTATTATTAGTACCAGGGCTGAAGCTCTCACACACCTGGAATTTTACCAACACTTGAAAAAGATAGGGCTCCTCTTTTCCTGACACAACATAAAATAACATGCTAAAATCCTTTTGCCCTTGAGCCTGGTGTGGTGGTGCATGTCTGCAATTCCAGCACTCAGGAGGCTGAGGCAGGAGGATTGCTATGAGTCTGAGGCCAACCTGAATTACACAGCGAAACCATGTCTCAAAAACACAGCAAATAGATCCTTTTGACCAAAAATATGACTTAAAAATTATTAAAGATAACCTCCTCCAGAGAATCCTTATTTGTGTTCTTTACTATTAAAAACAGATCTAGATGAATGTGCTGAAGGGCTGCACGACTGTGAATCCAGAGGCATGATGTGTAAGAATCTGATCGGCACCTTCATGTGCATCTGTCCACCTGGCATGACGCGAAGGCCCGATGGAGAGGGCTGTGTGGGTAAGCTGTGCAGGGTGCTGCTGAGGGAGTGCCCCCGCTGCACACCGAGGGCATAGCACTGTTCCCAGCCCATCAAGACCGCGAGCCAGCTGCTTTTCCAGCTATGTGAGTAGCACTGGCACTTAGCTCTACTTCGCCAGCTTTCTGTGGTGCAGGGTCCATGCCAGTGCACCAGATTCTGGATGATGCAGCGGGGATTATGTGGCCTGTGAATATTTGCCTTTCATTTGTCATGTTCCTACATCCTGAAATCTACAACATGAAACTTAGAAGTGTGGGAAAGGTCCCTGCAACAGCTCCACTCGGGTAGCAGAATCAAAGCGTGAGGTGATGGTCTCATCTTTGTATTCTTCCATCAGTAGGGAAAGCAGGGAAAGGGGCACACGAGCTGTTATAGTTAAGCCGTCTCTGTTTCTTTTACCATATTTTTCACCATATTTGAGCCTGAGTTTTCTTGCGAAAGGAGGAAGTGAAGCTGTGCTTTCATGACAAAGACCAAAATCTCACGCCACGTGGACTGATCACAAACACCACATTCATCGTCTCCGCCCCTCATCCCAGCAGCATTGTCAACAGGGCTGCTGCAGCCCGCTGGGTCCTTCCTCCTTCAGAGAACAGCTGACTCCCGCTTTTAAACAGAGAACAGTTTCTTCCCATTGCACCATATCTCTTGTACAGTTTGTTTCTTATTTACACTTCCACTTTCTCACACCAGAGACAGTTCAGTATTTATACATGTGTACTGTCTCAGGGTCCATCCATTGAGCAATAAATGTCTCAAACTCATCCTTCTTTCTCGTAGAGTAGTACTCTGTTGTATGGGGAAAAAAAGAACCACAAGGGGTACTAAGGATGGGGAAAGGATAAAGGAAGGAAGGGAAAAGAAAAACAGAAAAGAAGGATAAAATGGAAATAAAGCTTTGTAAATGAGGAGGGGAAGAAGAGTTAAAGGGAAGGGAGGGGAGTGAGAGGAAAAAGAAGATAAATCAGGCATATATCATGTACAGGTACAAAATCCGCATGATGAATGTGATCATTGTAGATCCTAAATTGTACCAATAAACTTAATTAAATTAAAAATAGATAAGTAGGATAAAATAATATTGATAGAGAACCTGTCATCCCCTTTCTAACCTCCTATACCTAGAAAAATGTATTTTTAGAGGAAAGTTAGAAGATTAGCAATAATTCTTTATTTTTGCAAAACATTGAAATAAGAGTAGGATTTCTTAAACATGAACCTGTGAGTGAGGACCCGGTGGTAGGACTGAGTGTGGAGACAGCTGCAAGTGGACACTGAGGATCCCTTGGGGAGACAGAAATGCTCTCACCGCATTGTGGCCGTGGTTGCACAGCAGCCCTATATTTACTGAGAAGTGTTGAATCATACACTTAAAGCTCATGAATTTTGTGGCATGAAAATTACACCACAGTAGAGCTCTTTTTAAAAAATGAATCTACCACAGGAAAACACATACAAGGATGTGGACTACAGTGATGTTTATAGTAATCAGAAAAACAAGACATCATCAAATGTTCACCATAGAAGGAAGGATAGGTAAATAAATTGTGGCATATTCGCGCTAGGAAATGTACCGCAATTAAAAGGTGTAAGACGAACAAGTGTATGTACTGATATAGAAAGAACCCTGAAAATACAGTTGCAGAACAATATAAAGCAGTGTGGCACATTTTAAAGAAAATCCAAAGCACAGGAAAAGGCTTAAAAAGATAAATCCCAGTTCAAAGAAGGAATTAGCCTCCAGGGAAGATGCTGAGGTCAGAGATTACTAATACAGAGAGATTTTAATTTTTTGTGCCAGTTTTAATCTTCAACAAAAGAGTGAACTCCTGAGTTCCATGTGTAATACAAATTTAATTTTAAAATGTATGCATCAAATTACGAATGGGCTTCCCATCATTATAGTAAAAATACCTCTGATGATTGCCTCATATATTGAAAAAAAGTTCACTTCGCTTCATAGTTTTGGCGGTTTTAGTCTACAGTCAGTGACCCCAACGTTTTGGGCCTATGGCAGGCAGCTCCTCATGGGACCTGTTCCTCCCCACCTCCTGAGCTTCCACCTCCTCCCAGTCCTGCCAGCCAGGAGCCAAGCCCTTAGCGCGCAGGCCTCTGCGGGTCATCAACATCCAGATCACAGCTCACAATTCCTTTCGACTTGCGAAGAACTTCATTCAGATTGAGTACTCAGATTAAAAACAGTCCTATATTAGCAATTTCGTTACATAGGAATCTTTCTAAAATGCTATTCTTCCAAGATCTTTTGATCTAAATTAATCTAGTTGCCTAAGTCATATGTTTCTCAAAATCTAGTACAGGAAAACATATATGGAAGGGAGGAAATGGACATAATCTGTTTTCATATTGTACATAAAATCCATTTTAGTTTAATTTTCTTTCAAAGAAAATTATATTTGAGTGTGCATGTGTCTTCTAATTTTATTTGGCTAAAATACTTAGAAATATGTTTTGGTTTGTGTGTGTGAAAATTTTTATAAAAAGCTGAGAATTTCCTTTTTTTTTCCAGTTCTAGAGATTGAACCTAGGGCCTTCTAACAGCACTACATCTCCAGCCCTTTTCGATTACTTTCCTCAGGCAAGACCTTGTTACATCATTGTGTTGCCCAGGAGGGGCTCACACTTGAGATCCTCCTACCTCAGTGCCCCAGAGTACTGAGAGCACAGACATACACCAACACACCCAGCATGAATTTTTTATAATACCATTACGTTTTCATAAAGGTTTTCTAGCCAAAGTAGCTACATTGAGAACCCATGTCTCTGGTCCTGAAGCTGCCACAAATGAGCTGCGTGATTTCACAGAGTAATTTAATTCTCAGTTCTTCTGTTTCCTCCGTGAATACCGTGAGGAGCTGACACAATTGGGGCAGGAGGTAGGAGGACGTCTGCCCTGTCCCTAATTATCCACGATCCTTTGATTTTACTTTTTGAAAGAACAAATGCATGGCAGCATTTTACATTTATATTTTTCATCACTAAAGACATTACGAAATATGTAGGTTCAGGAATGTTTCTGATCCTCATGCTCTTCATTATACCATGCTAATAGCTGAAATTTATGCAAAAGAGTTTGGACCATCAAAAAAAACTTTACGGAAGAGTTTCACTTTATGCAGACAGTATGTTTTCAAAATTAGTAATTCTAAAAAAATAGTCAAAATATTAGTATAAGTAAAAAGTGTTCCTAAAAGTAAAAGTGAAAGATAAAGCCAAAGAAATATAATAAAAATGGTATGTACGTGAAATGGGAATCCAACAAAATTGAAAAATTTCATTGTAATAAAAACAAAATATTGCAAGCTAGGGAGGTTATACAGAAAATCTAACAACTCTATAAATAAGGCTTTTTATTTAATCAAAGGTGTAAACTTGACAATCAACATATTATAATTCAGTAATGCTTAAATAAATAGCAAAATCTAAAAAATAGAAAAGTACTAAGATCTTTAAATGTTATTAACAATACCAACAGAATAATTTTGGTTCATCAGCTTTTTAAAATATAATTGAAGGATGGATTCATTTTTTTTAGTTATTTGGGGATTTTTATTCCATAATAGAGCGAAGACTTCATTTCAAAAATGATAGTTTGATCTCACTGTCAAACCTTGAAGATGTCAGACTATAGAAGAGGGAGAGTACTTGACTGTTGATTTAAAACAAAGAAATAATCACAATCCAGACTGAAGAGTATCTGACAGTGTAAAATCTCAAACAAAAACATGGGAAATGTTCATTGGCATATTATTCTTTAGACTTCGGCACACTGCCCCAACTTTAAAAAGTTCGTCCAATAATCTGTGAGTAGATTTGGGCCAAGAGTGAGTGGTAGAATTAGGAGTGCTTTTATAGACACCAAGTCCTACACTGTGCCAACAAGAGCAGTGGAGAAGAAAAGCTAGTGGCATGCTCTTTAGTTATCAGCAAACTTGTCCAGACCTGGAGTCCTACAGGTAAGATGGCAAGGAGAGAAAAACAGCAGGTTCTAAGACTTAAAGAACTGCTTAGTGACGTGTTAACCTACATCATCTGAGAGCCTGAGTGTGCTGTCCCAAGGTGAGTCAGCATTACACATTCGCTAAGAAAATGTTCATCCCAAAAACATTATGGATCGAAACTGTAAATTATACCTGATTGAGTACTAGGGACTGTTACACTATTTTTCAACAAGTAGCTGAACTGGAGAAAATCATTCAAAGAGTTAAGTCTGCAGCTAATGTACACACAGTGGGGAAAAAGAAAGCATGGAAAATACACAAGAAACAGATTCAGGTGCCTAGAAAAGTAGTTTCAGTCATATTTAAGAGGTGCCATTAGACGAACATTCCACTAGATACAAGAGACTGGAACAGAAAAGTTAAGACAATATGAACAAATGATAGTCTAGCAAAATTTAGGGAAGAAAGGAGCCTGCCACAGAAGGTAGAAGTGACCAAAGACACAATCAGAAATGTGGCTATGGAAGAAATCAAAAAGAGGATGACAAGGAGGGAAGACAGACCCACAGTACGTGCATATATGAAGTTCTTTTAAAAAGAAAACAGTAAATACAGCAGAAAAACAAATGCATTTGGTGATTTGTGAAAGTCTTGCAAAAATACGTAAATCCACATCAAAAAAGAGCACACTGCTTGATGATACACCACTGCAGAATAGTTATCCATGCTTTGGTTATATTTTTTGTACACCTGTGATGTTTGTGGTGCTGGAGACACATTAATAAACTCTAGGGACATATCCCACACTCCCAACTAATTGGCATCCCAGTTTCGGAGAAACGGCCATTAAGCAGAAAATAAATCAGCGTGATAATCTCTCATTGTGGCAAGCTTTTTGAGAAAATAAGATTTCATGGTTGAGTGAGAGTCCTGGCTGCTCTGATGAGGTAGCACTGGAGGTGAGACCCAGAAATGAAAAATAAAGAACTAGCACGAGCCAGGCCCCTGGAGGAGGAGTGAAGGCCAGCATAGCCAAGGTCTTGGCAGGAGTGCGTGAAAGGAGGTTAAAGGCAGCTCAGGGCCCTGCAGCCACCATGAGTTTGGTTTTATGCTAAGAGCTCACAGCACATGATTTGGAGGGCGGGTCCTGGAGGCAGACTGTGAATCTGAGAAATCTCCTAACCCTGTGACCTTAGGCAGGTTGGCATAACCATGTGTCTCAAATTCCTCAGATAAAAATGAAATAAAACAAAGTAGAATAGTGAGAGTCCTTATTCAGATCGCTGGCTGCTTTGTAGGCAATGCATTTTAAAGACGTAGGAGCAGAAATAGTGATATCATTCAAGTGGTTATTTAAAACTCATCCAGCTGAGAGCATACAGAGGCTCAGACTAAACCACAGTGGTATGGAAAATGAGTGATGTGGACAGATTCAGAACATACACTGGATATAACCAAGAGAAGGGATTTCTGATGGACTAATTAGATATAGTGCATGAAGAGGAAAAGGTATAAGAGATGAGTGCTGGGATTTGTACTTGAATACCTAACTGGATGATGCTACTGGTAACTGATATGGAAAAGACTAAAAGGACCAGGTTTGTTGGGGACACAAAAAAATGAAAGCTGTATTTTGACCACGCCAAGTTTCAGATACGTATTAGCTTTCCAGGTGACACTGTCAGCTAGGCAGGTAAGCCAGATTCAGAAATTCTGCAAATATATAGCCAGATATATAAATTGCTGGCAAGTCATAGTATTGGTGAGGGGATACCAGGAGAGAAATCCCAGAGGAAAAGAAACAGCAACTGAGATCTGGCCACAGCACTATTTAGAGTGACCAAAAGTCTGCAGGAGACTAGTAGTAGTCACAAGACAAAAAGTTCTCGAGGCTACTGTGATGTCTTAACCATTAAAAGAACAGATTATTCAAGTAACTATGGAGTGGTAAGCTTTGTATCAAGTCACTGATAGGAAGAACCCGTTACAGTCAGAGAAGTAACTGTCTAGATCCGGTGACCGTTTCAAGAAGTTACTGGAAAGTTCCAGCACCTGAGTGAAAGAAACATGACAAAGTGGAGAGGACAACTGTAGATCTTCTTTCAAGAAGTGTTGTCCTAGAGAGGAATAAACAGATGTCGAGTAAGGGAGAGGGATTATGCAACTGAGTGAGACTGGCTTTTAGGGCAGAAGTTACTAGCAGATACAAGCTGAGTGGATGATTCCGTAGAAAGGGAGCGCTGTGAAGTCTTGAAAAGCAATCCAGAATTAAGTATAGGGGCTCACATTAGAGGAAAACCAAAGCTACTTCAGGAGGTGAAAAAAGGCAAAAGATTTGAGGCACATCAAGTTATCTTCCCGGTATAAAAGCTGTATTACATGTCAGAGCTCAGGCAGTACATCAGGCAGGAGCCATTTTAGAAATAAATAGTTCAGACAACTAAAATATAAATCAAAATAAAGGCAGAATGGCATTAGGAAAACAGTTAAATCAAGATAGCAGACTTGCACCCTCAGATTGTAGAAGTAGTAGGCAGTGTTTTAAACTCCGAGCTCATTACCTTTGTATATACTTTTAAATTTTTGTAGTATGTGCTTTTCCTTAAAAAGGAAAAAATATAGATAGCAAGTTAGATCATACAAAATTTCAACACTAATAGAAACATGAGGATACTTAAATTGCCAGAGAGAGAAATCAACTTGCCTACAAATGAACAAGTAATACTGGGTGAAAAAAAAATCAGTATTTTCAAATTGGTCTAAGGGAAAATAATATTAACTAAAATCCTACACAGAAGTGTGAAAATCAAAATAAGATTGTCAAAAACTCTGCTGTACAATTTATATACCATGCACATATCATTGCTGAAATAATTACCAAACTATATACAATATATACTATACTATATGCAGTAGCACATTTTTAAAAACTTAATCCAAGGAAACATAGTAGTGATAGTAAACCAGTAAACTTCATTACTTACATAGATGCTGATGGTACATTACAAATTCCGCAAGTCAAAATTTAGAGATCATATCTGCACAGCCGGTGACAGAACAGAGAGAAGTGGATTCACGGCAAGGTTCTTGTTATAGCCAGAAGCTTTTGAAACAGAGAACATAGTAACAGTAGAAAAAGATAAGTGCCTGTTCAGATTGTTTAATAGTTTCCTCTAGAAGAAAGAAAAAAGGAAGGAAGGGAGGAAGGGAGAAAGAGAAAAAGAAAGAGAAAATCATAATTCTCAAACACAAACAGGGCAAGAGGAAACTGTAGGAAACTAGATTGATCCAACAAATGTTGAGAGAAGAGGATAACAGCACAGTCTGAATAAAATAATATAAATTGGCAGGTAAGAATTAAAATAAAGCCAGATGTGGTGGTGCACACCTGTAATCCCAGCACTTGGGAGGCTGAGGTAAGAGGATACTTGCAAGTGTGAGGCCAGCCTGGGCTGCAACGCAAGCTCAAGGCCAGCCTGAACTGCATAGCAAGACCCTGTCTCACAAAGACCAAAAAAAAAAAAAAAAAAAAAAAAAAAAAAAAAGAATCAAATAACTGAGCAACTTTGCTGAAGATAACAGTGTGTAGTGTAGCAACCATTGTTAATTCCTACCATTTTGTTTTGAGGTCATGTATTGCTTTTGTTTTTTTTGTGTGTGTTGTTTTGATTTTGTCTTGTGTTAGTTTTCTTATCTTAAAAATAAAAGAATCAAAATATATCAGTAATCATGACAAAGGCAAATAGTATACATTCCTGGTTAAAAGATAATGCATCTGTAAAAGTTCGTTTTAAATTCAGTAGATGCTTTGTACAATAAATGTACCTAAATCAAAACATGAGAGGTTAGAAAGGAAGGAATGGAATGAGATATTCAGGGCAAACACTGATGAAAAGAAAGCGCGTGAAAAAAAGTCAGTTTACGTTTAAGACTAAAATGTTACAAATATAAAAATGAAAAGACTTTACCAAAACAAAGTTAATGAGCCGCCTTCTGTTCTTAACACCGTCACTTTAAAAAAGAAAGCAAAAGTGTATGAAGTATGAAGTGAACACAGTAAGGAATTTTAGTAGAGCAACTTTGTCCTAATAGCTTGCTTGCTTGTTCTTTTTCTTTTCTTTTCTTTTCTTTTCTTTTCTTTTCTTTTCTTTTCTTTTCTTTTCTTCCTTCCTTCCTTTCTCTTTATTTATTCATTCATTCATTCAATCATTCATTGCCAGCCACAACAGGAGCCCTTACTAAATTGCTTCTCTCATAACTGTGCTCACGGATCCCACCTGCTTCTGTGATTTCACTCAAAACCAGCCGGGGCCTTTGCCTCTGTGGTCAGCCTGCGAGATTTATCTCTGTTCATCACCATCCCAAACCCCACTACTCCCTGTCCCCTGCCTTTCCCTCATGTCACATAAACCAACATCCTCTTCGCCAGTTCTTCCCCTCTGATCTAGTGTCTTTAGGATAAGTCTGCCCCTTCAGGGGCCACTTTTCCAATTCCACATTGAACACCTTACCTCCCCTGCAGTGGAAGAAAGAACCACCCTGGAGGAGTGAGATAAAAGATAAGTTAATGTTCACCATGACTGTTTTTAGTCCCATTGTATTAGTATTTTGATGGAGAAGTTTGAAATGAGATATAATCCATTCAAAGATAATTGGTGAGTGATAATTTTACAAGCTGCTCATTTTTCATATGGTGTGTTTTTCTAAAGATGAAAATGAATGCAGAACCAAGCCAGGAATCTGTGAAAATGGGCGCTGTGTTAACATCATTGGAAGCTATAGGTGCGAGTGTAACGAAGGGTTCCAGTCAAGTTCCTCCGGCACTGAATGCCTTGGTAAGATGATGTACAAATTATGTTTCACTTGGTAAATAAAACATGTTTTATCGCAGAAGGGCTCTACATATATATTTTTGTCTGCTAAACAAATCATCCTGTCCAAGTAATCCATGTACTTCCTAAAGGTACACACTATTAAAATGACGTATAGGTACACGTGTATCGTGTGTGCACATCTATGTGTAATGTAAATAAAAATCTTCAATCGTTTTTCCAAAATTAAAATTAATTAAACTCTATGGAAAACGTAACTTCAGTAAAACTTACATCAGGAGATGATTTAATTCCAAAAGAAAATATTTGCAGTGTGATGTAAGCTCTGCCAATATGAATGCAAAGGAAATGCCCTATTTCAAAAAATGTTCTGAAAGTTAGTTTTTATATTATGGCCCAGAAAAGAGTTTTACAAAGTATTTTTTATGAAAACCAAAAATTACAGACGTTATCTTGTATTTTAGCGCTGAAGTATGCCCACGGTAAATGTGGCTGTTGATGGCAGGTGAAGTGGGGTGTGGTAGACATCAAGGGACACAAAGAGAAAAGGGAGCTCTAAGCTGTTCACTTGCCGTGGCGTGAAGAAAACATATTTCCGCTGTATCAGTCTCTCAGCGTGGTGTCAGCTGCTTCAAATCTTAAAGTTTTTATCTAATGAAATATGCTTTATCATTGTCTCTAGCCTAGACCTTCATGAATAACTAATGTTGTGGAGAATAGAAAACATAACCTACAGGAAAAGTCTAATTTTCTGCTGGTAGTATAGTTTCACTATGGTAATTTATAAAACCTTATCAAAGGTTTCTATAGTAGCACTTTTTGCCAGGTTTAATAAACTTTCTATACTGAAAGTATACTCCGTATTGTTTGCTAGCAATAAAGCTTTATAACTGTTAAGCGGACTGAGCAGTGTGAACAGTCCAGATGAAAGAATAGTGGGCTTTTTAAAAGGGGGTGGCTGAGAAGGAGAGCGTGGACTGTGCTATTGCCGCATCCGTCCCCGGATCTGGGCTCTCACTACCGTGTCATTCCAGACAATCGGCAGGGACTCTGCTTCGCCGAGGTGCTGCAGACCATGTGTCAGATGGCGTCCAGCAGCCGCAATCTGGTCACCAAATCAGAATGCTGCTGTGACGGCGGGAGAGGCTGGGGCCACCAGTGTGAGCTTTGCCCGCTTCCTGGAACTGCCCAGTACAAGAAGCTCTGCCCTCATGGCCCGGGGTACACCACAGACGGGAGAGGTGAGGAGCGGAGGGATGTCGTGCATTTTATCAACACCGTAAATTTCCTTAATTCAGATTAATTTGAAGAAAAAGTGAAAAATTTATTCAATGATAATAATAGATAAAAAATTTGTGTTTATATGTGCTATAAGACATATATAGAATGCTTTTAGCAGACATTTTTAGAAATTTTAAGATTGATTCTTCATGTCAAATTTAAAACATAGAATTGCCTTTCTTTTTTTTTTTTTGTACTGGGAACCGAACTCAGCACCTTGCTTTTGCCAGGCAGGCGCTTGTGCCGCTGAGCTATACCCCCAGCCCCAACACATAGAATTAATTATTCCATTTTAACAGATGAAGAAGCTGAAGCACAGAGCTAAGGTAGCAGTAAGTAATATGTAAAAATGAGACCCTTTTTGAAACCTCTGAATAGAAGAAATCTATCTGATGCAAAAGCCCTGTTTTTAGCCTCAAAACTATACTTACCTTGTTTAAATAAGTACTGCTTATTTGAGTGTATTAGGAACTCTTTCCCTTTGTGGTATAGTCACAAACTAGCCAGCCTCATAATTGATCGGTGGTTTCCATTTTGTTGTGCGTATATGACTGTTCTAAAAAGTACCATTTTCCTCCATTACTGAACAGATTCCCAATCTTTACATGACCCCTTTGCTGACAAAAGCTTTCCTTCAGAGACTAATTTAAATGCGAACTTGATGCCAAAACTATAGGAAGCTATCACAAATTCCAAATTAGTTGGATTTCCGAGGCACAGCTTTCTAGATCACATACAGAAAAAATCCAGACATTAGACAGTCATTCTAAAAAGAGCTTTAACCTAGCCTTGTTTATCACTTCAGATTATTTTTCTTTCCCTTCCATGTTGCCATTCCCTAAATAATGAAGAGGCTTCCACAGTGGCATGCACATTTGCTGATGGGTACCTCAGTTCCTCGGTTTCTCCTCCATTCTTGTCGTTGTCACCTCGCATGCCTGTTGACTTCTGTGCCTGTCTTGTCTTCTCATCCACAGACATTGATGAATGTAAGGTAATGCCCAACCTGTGCACCAATGGCCAGTGCATCAATACCATGGGCTCCTTCCGATGCTTCTGCAAGGTTGGCTACACCACAGACATCAGCGGGACGTCTTGTGTAGGTGAGGCGCGGGGCCTCGCAACCAGGGCTTGTCACCCGTGTCCTACCCGTGCCTTCCGTCGGTACAGTGTCCATGTTAGGGATCTTCAAAGTAGACATCTTGTTAGAGTGCAGTTACTTCTCTCTACAGTGTGGTTCTTAGTCACGCAGTCCTGCCTTCTAATCATGTGGATGCAGAGTTGTTCAGTCCATCAAAAACGTATATTCAGCAGGGAATAACAAAATCATAAAATTTGCCTTCAGAACTTAATGTTTTAATTTAAAATTGATAAATAGTGCATTTATCATTCTTGTGATGCAGGCAAAGGGCTTGCATTGTGAATGTGCGTGTATTTGAAGAGAATACCTGTCACTGGTTTTGCACAAAAGTCTAGCAATTAGTCATCCTCTAAAATTTCTACTTGCAAAGCAGTCTTCGTACAGAATTTCTTTGCTGTTTTACATTTCCTTTTCTTATTTTTGCATTGTCTCAGCCACACCAACCTGTGACAATTGAGAGGGGAGGACTGGCATTTACTGAATCTTTCCGAAGTATTTTGTTTAGTTTTCATTGAAGAAAACATCTGCCAAATGTGGTGACATACACCTATGATCCTAGTGCTCTGAGAGGCTGAGTCAGGAAAAGCACAAGTTGGAGGCCAGTCTGGGCAACTTAGTGACTTAATGAGACCCTTCCTCAAAACTTGAAAAAAAAAAAAATTAATGAGCTGGCACTATAGCTCAATGTAAAAGCCCTGAGCACAATCTCTAGTATGTTAACAAGAGAGAGGCCAGGGAGAGGGGGACTTTTTTCTCCATATTTCATCTGCTTACGTGATACCCAGTTAAATCATTTACTTGAGTAACAAGCACATCACTTTCACTTAGACCTTGATGAATGTTCCCAGTCTCCAAAACCATGCAACTTCATCTGCAAGAACACGGAAGGGAGTTACCAGTGCTCCTGTCCACGGGGCTACGTTCTGCAGGAGGATGGGAAGACCTGCAGAGGTAAGGGGGAGGCGCCTGCAGCACTGAGCCTTGCCTGTCTCTCTTCTTCCACGTTCGCATGTAAGGTCAACAGGGCTTACACCGTGTGCATCATCTTCATTAACATGTATCTTCCAGAGACTATTCATAGAAAACTCTCCATACGGAAGGGCACATTGTGAAAGGCAGAGAGAATTAAAACCCAGGTGACAGTAGCTTGCTTCTTATATAGCAAACCACATTATTTCTTTAAAAAAGTTATTGAGGGAGGAACTGAATCAAGATTTTGTTGTTGTTGTTGTTTACTTTTTTTGTTGTTGCTTACCTATGATTTCGTTTCTCCAAGCTATCTGTATCAGACATCTACTCTAGAAAAGTGAAAATAAATAGGTAAATGTGTGTATTTTGCTTAAGTAGTAATAAAATTACCAGTCTAATTTAGATCATTAAAATAGTGTCAATACTACATTGGTCTATTTCATTTTATAAGTAGCCTAATCAGTATTAAATTAATGGATGGGGGAAATTTATTAAATATGAATTAAATCCAAGTTTTATTTCTGAGACATATAAAAGATAAACTGAACCGATGGTTGGTCCAGTAATTGATTGTCACATCCGTATGCGTGTCATGCAGTTGGCCAGATCTATTTGATGTGGTTTTTAGTGGACACACAAACTAGTCGGTTGTTCTTTTCTCACTTAAGAAAATATCAGGTGAACGTTATCAGTAAACTGATGATGATTATTGTATTAAGTGCAGATCTTTTTGGTTTTTTCAAATATAATAAGTTTGTAAACCATTAAATTTTATGGAAATTTCCCTTCCTGGATGATGATAATATTGTTTTATTAAATATTTTTTTCTCTTAAAAAAAGATTAATATTATCTTGAACCTGTTTAGTAAACTGGTATGGGTGAATTTAATTTTGCACAGTGTTTATGAAATGAACATACCTAAATTATTTAAGCTATAAAATAATAAATCATAAATATATTTAGATTTAAATATATTTTTAAATTGTTCAGTCTAACCAAAAATAAAATTTTCAGTTTTCTATTAGTGGACTGTAAATGTGAATACAATTTACAACTAAAATTATGGAGGTTGTGTTTTTGTTTCCTCTGCTATTAATGATGGTGTTTTCATTTGAATCTATAGAATGTGACTGGACTTTTGTGCTAGGACCTTCATCAGTTTTCACATTGTTTTATTTTTTTATCTCTCCTTTATTAGGAGTAAGTGACTGGCCATGTACTAAACTGTACTAAATGCAGGAATTATAACCTTCACATATTAGCTTTAGGAAAAGTTCACAGAACCTACTCTAATTTGGGCACTCAGTTTATTTTAAGACAACCTGTATTATGTATTTAACTTCACCATTCTGTCATAGTAGTCCATAATATTTGTGCTGCTTAAGCATGAGAAAAGAAACTGCTTGTCTTATGCACATGGAAGCCCACAAAGATGCCACAAAAATCCAGCCAGCGCTTTCAGTGGAATATGCACACCCAGTGTGGCTACATGAGAAAGGATATGTAGCCAGGTGACTCTACTGTGATGTCCATGGGCTTCTCTTTCATTTCAGACCTCGATGAATGCCAAACCAAACAACACAACTGCCAGTTCCTCTGTGTCAACACCCTAGGGGGTTTCACCTGTAAATGTCCACCTGGTTTCACTCAGCATCACACTGCATGCATTGGTAAGACACACCTACAGCTGGGAACTTTCATAGACTAGATGCATAAAGGCTGTATTTTAAATGATAGCTAAATGATGTCTTCATACTTTGTACTTAATGGTCTAAAGAAGTTTCTAATAATGTAGACATTTTTTCACAAGAGCAGTATCCAGAGGAAACAGGCCTGCACAGCCCATGCACGTCCACAGCAGACTTCTTCCATGCAGCACCCCTGGATCTCGTTCTCAACGTAGCCATGATGTTCAGATACAATGTGATTAAAGGCACGCGATGATTCAGAATATGCTAGTGCTCATGCTGGTTTGCTTTTCTTACAAGGCATATGCTAAAGACTTTCAGTCTGCATTATCTGAATATCATGCTTTCAGATCTCCCTAATATACCTTCTAGTTTCAAAATTGAGAAATACACTCTTTCTTAGCAGTGATAGCTTTAATATGGTGGTGAATTCTGGCTTAAATTTCTCTAAAATACTGTTCTCGCATAAGGAAAACTCAGGTTTTCATACATCACTTCTCACTTCATGCTGTGCAGTGTAAGTCCTATAATGAGTGATTGGGAAGCCTCACAGCCTCCTTCTTGGTGCTTTGCTAGACAACAACGAATGTGGGTCTCAGCCCTCCCTCTGCGGAGCAAAGGGAATCTGCCAGAACACCCCTGGGAGCTTCAGCTGCGAGTGCCAGAGAGGGTTCTCGCTTGATGCTACTGGATTGAACTGTGAAGGTGAGTTCATTTTCTCAAGCAGCCTTAATCTTATAACAGTGAACCATGTGTATTTTTAAATTTGAAAATCACTCAGTGAGAAATTTAAATCATCTCCCAAAAGAATAAAGAGCTTTTAACACAGGTTAGTCAATCTCAGCAACTGATTTTTGTTCATAACATTTCATGTACCACGTTGGGGACAGAGAAAAGCTTGAATGTTATTAAACAAAAGTTCTATGGTTATGCATTATCTTTTAAAGTAACGAAAACTATTTATTTATTCATTGACCTGAAAAATAATTGAGCTGAAAAAGCATTCTGTACCTAACATAATTTACAGTAATGTGCAAATATACCACAAAATAGTAATTATTTGGCCTCTGTTCCGAGGTTCCTTAAGGTGTCAGTGGTAAATGTAAAGAGAGAACCCATTACCATAATGAATTAGAGAAATGCACTGCATGCACTGGGGAAACTGATGCTATTTGTACTTTCATGGGCTGAGACTCCTGCCCTACCACTTTCTTCTACAGAGGGAATTTTCTATAAGGTCTCACCTGCATTAGGTGCTTCCTCTTATAAAGTCCAAAGGAGCATTTTACTGGGAACAAAGTAAAAATCTACCTCAAGTCAACAAAATATTGTAGCACTCTATCATATTTACTTTGCAAGTGCTATTGTATAAGACAAATGTGTTAGATTGGTATTTTTACAAAATACTCATGTCTGGGATTATAAGACTATGTACAAATTGTATTGCAGTTTACTTTTACTGAGTTTTTAAATGTATTTTCCTAGATATACAGGACTTTGATTGATTTTGTTTTTTGAACCACGAATTAAACTCAGGACCTTGCACTTACCAGGCAGGCACTATGCCACTGAGCTATATCCCCGTCCCTGATATACAGGATTTTGAACTGCAGAAATATATTCAAAGTACATGTGTCTTATTTTCAGCCAGAAAAGTTCGTTTTAAAAATTTCAGTTTTAATAGTTTATGTTTGAAATCCCTGAGACATTGGAAGTATTTTGCACTGACAGCTGCTTGCCACGTGTGAGTTCAGATCGTGACCATCCACATAAGATACCAGTTATTAATTATGCATATAAATTTGTTACACACACACCAGACATGCCAATTTTATTTCACTTTCTGAGTAGATTTCAAAGCCTCAGTTGTCACTCCAAGAAAGTATGCATATATGAACAAAGAAATTATTCCATATGTATAATAATACCACATCTTGTCTAAAAATAATATACTCAAATACTTAAAGGGGGTTTGCATCTAATTAGTCTTGAATGGCAATAAAAAACTTTATGTGGAAAGCCATTGTACTTTTTAAGTATTTCTGTAATGTTCATACCTTCCTAAAAACGGGTTTTACATGTGAATCAATTTTGGATCTACTAAAATATGTAATGAAAAAATACATACAATTTACTAGATAAGCCATACCATATGCAGTTAATCAATCCAAAATGCACAACATTTGTGGTTGCTATGGTTGATTTGCTAAAATTAAGCTATTTACAGAGCACTGGCGTGCCATGGTCTGGCAGAGAGCAGAAGAATGAGGTGGTTTCTTATCTCCGAACTATCCTTTGCACCACCCCTGACTAATAATGTGACTGGGAAAATAATCACAGCCTGTCTGTGCACCTTGTCTCGTTTATTTGTTCCCTCAAACTTTGGGTTTGGAATGCGTTTAAGGATGAGAGAAGAAAAAGGACATAATGATTTTACCTCAATTGTTTCCGCAGATGTTGATGAATGCGATGGAAACCACAGGTGCCAGCATGGCTGCCAGAACATCCTGGGCGGCTACAGGTGTGGCTGCCCGCAAGGCTACATCCAGCATTACCAGTGGAATCAGTGTGTTGGTAGGTATTCAGTGTCATAGCATCTGCTCTTCTCACCACAAAGTAACTGCATCAAATGGACAAATAATCTAGGTTGAAGTCTTAACAGAGTCTTTGAATCCTACAATTTAAGAATAGTGCTTAAGATTGATACATGGGCATTCATTCTGCTAGCCTTTGTATTTGCATGTGTTTGAAAATATCCATACCAAAGATGTTTTCAGGTACCTAAAGGTAGCTCATTTTCAATTTCTGCTAGATGTAACTTTAAATTTCTGAAGATAGTGTCAAAAATCATCATCTTCACTTGCCAAAGGCAGCTGGTTTTTTATCAGTAATGTGATAGCTTTAAATTTTGAGCTTAAAAGATTACTGGTCCATTCCCCCCATACAAATCTCAGAGAATTCAGATTAGTTTAATGAGGACAGTCTATCTGTGCTCTCCCATTGCTTCAGGTTAGGGAAGGATGTGAGGTACAGTGTGTTAAGATAGAAAAAAGACCTAGTTACAGCAAATACTGCAGACAGAAGTGTTTATAAAATAAAGCATGTAGGCACTGTCCTGTGTTCCTTGCATCGATGATAATCATGGAAATTCTCTTTTTAAGAGTGGTTGATCAAAGCAAACATTATTCTGCCTGAATAGCCAGCTGACTTACTTAGCACACACCTAATTTCTTGGCTCCATTTGAATGCACTTCACAGACCCAGCCAGCACATTCTGACATGACACGCTGGCACTGCTAGGCAAAGGGGAGCGGTGGTCCTGCAAAGAATGCCAGGATGCTTCCTGTAGTTTCTCCATAGTGATTTGAATTACTCCACACATTAGTACAATACAGTGCTGAAGAGCATTAATAATAAATGCATTAATCTTATTTTATCCTTTGTGGTCATCTCAAAAGAAATTACCAATGACAGTTTAGGGAATTGAGAAGAAAATCAAGATAAAGTTCAAAAGGAGGGGAACTAGCTCTGTAAGAGTTAGCTGTGCCATGGCCTGATGCCAGGTTAAAGACAGATGCTTTGCCGTACCACAGATACACACTCCTGAGAAAAAAGGCAAAACCCAATTAGCGATCCCAAAGTTAAGGGTAAAGCTTCAAAGAATCATTAAAATGATCAATTAGGCAGTCAATCAAAGTAGTTTCATAAGTGTAACACACTGCTTTTTCTCTTCACAGAAATAAATGAAGCAAAACTTCATAAATCAAGGCAAATTGTGGGCACACTCGAAAACATAGGAAATCATGTTCTTGTAGCTTTAAAAATAGAGCAATTTATTGTAGTATTTACAAAATATGAGGCCCACTATCTCATTCAGTAAATACCATGGACTCCTTGGTTAATTCTCTAGAACTTACAACAAAGAATGATTCTCTAATAGTAAACACTATGTCCACCTAAATAGAATTCTTGTTTCTAAGGAAAATATCAGTAGAAATTGCAACATGCACAGTATAACAATTCAAGTCATGTTTCCTGAAGTTTCTGTCTGTAAATATCTAGTGCAGTAATAGCTACTAGTGCAGTAGTACCTGCAGAGGTACTGTTTGAAATGGCCCAATTTAAAATCAAGTCAGTGTGGGATACCCCAGGTTCCCTTTATGAGATCTACAAGGCAGTCATGCACAGAGTAGCCCGTGCTGGAGTCCAGCCAGAAGCCTCTGTGCCTCCCATCCAGGAGGTGGCCAGTGGTCCAAGGAATGGGGTCTCTAAGCTAAGTGCAAAACTAAAAGCAAATGAGCAGATAGCCCCACTTGCAAGTGTCAGTTTGTAGCTTGCCTTTATGAAACACCTGTCTCTAAGCAACAGGGCCCTGGGCAGACACAGCAGGGATTTATTTCAGATTCTTCTGTGCAAGGTTGAGAAATCCAGCTGATGTCTAATGAAATCACTACCCTTTTCACCTGGAATCCACATATCACAATTGGAGTTTTAACTGAAATATATGGCAGAAGTAGAGGGAAATAAAAGCAACATCTGTAAAAGCAGCAAGCTAGCAAAAGAACAAGAATTAGGACAAAATATAAATCAAAAGGCCACAGTCATTTTTATTTGTTGCTACTGGTATGAATATCTCCAGTCAGTCATATGATTAATGGGAGAATATAGCTTACCCACATCTCCTAGTAAATGAGCAGAACTGTCAGCCAGTGCACTAGATATTTGTCATAAAAAAAATTGCAAACCTGTAACATTATTAACATTATCACCATGTATTCAAGAAAGGTAAGTCCTCAGAAGTGTTAATATCAAAAAAACTATCAATTCAAACTAACAGTTTAAATAGTTCCCATCCCCCAGTTACTGGAGAGAATTTTTAACATCCTAATAGATTCATTGTACAGATGTAGGTAACATTCTCAACTATTTACAACTATTATAACAATTCAAAATTAACATTTGAATTAATACATATGAAGAAAATGATGTGTTACTATACAAAGCTTTTAATATTTGGTGCTTTGAACATCCAGTTTCTTCTATAACCTTTCCAAGATAATTCATGCAGCTGGGCATGGTGACGCACAGGTGTAATCCCAGTACTTAGGAGGCTGAAGCAGGAAGACACTGCGCGTTCAAGCCCAGCCTGAACTACATAGCAAGACTGCCTCAAAAAAAAAAAGAAAAACTTCATACATAACTTAGCAAGGCTTGAGTCAATCAAAAAGCAAGTCTCAAGCAAAACTATGTGTATTTATGTGTATGAAATTTTATCATATTATACATTTACAGCACATAAATATGAAGAATATCCAGGGTGCCTCCAAAAATATTAATATATCTAAAAATATTCTCATAAGTGGTAGGCTTAAATGGAATTAATTCAACTAATGGACTTCGCCTGGCAATTTTTCTAACACAAAATCTGAACATTTTCATGATGGGATCATGTCATTAAATTATAATCTCATTTAGATTCCCTGTGAGGAGAGAAATACTGCATACTAATACCAGTTCTAGTTATAAAAGCAGATGAGCCTTTGTAGCAGAATTCCAAGTCTTTTTATGTAGAAATTAAAGTAACAGTTATATTTATAGTCCATATAGCCAAATTATTGAGAACTTACGTACTTTCCCCATGTAATAAAAGCTAAGAATTTTCACATATTAGGTAATCAAGCATATTTTATATTCAGTGACTAAGATTCTATATTTAGTGGTCTCATTTAATTCTGATATAAAAACGTACCTAATAACATGTACCCTTCCAATAACCTCTGTCTTGTGCTTAACCAAGTTTCATTTCCTGCCTGCGCAGCCCTCTCCCCAGAGCCCCAGCTGCAGCTTCCGTAATCTCAGCGAGCTCCTGCAGATGAGCTCTTCCTGACTGTCCACTGTGCTCCCTGAGCACACCTACTTGCAAATAGGCCTGCTTCCCCCAGGGGCTGAAATATATACTTGTCATACGCTAAGTAAACAGACTCTGTGCTCCATATGTACTCACAAGAATTGAAAGAATTCCGTGGAACAAATGTGATTTGTGCCCAGGGTAAAATTTGGATTATAATCAAGCCCAAAGGAGTCAAACCACATGCTATATATCAACCAGACAGGAGCAAAATTACAATCTCCAAGGCTAAAAGTACAGTTAGGCTTTGAATTTTTGATAACAACAACTGAAAGTATAACCTATAATTATCCTGCTATGAGGCTTTCTATAGCACAGTGTTAATTGTTACACTGGTGAAAGCTGTGGGTCAGCCAATGGCTGGATGCAGACTGGTCTCAGCAGGCAGGGGCTGCCCCCGTAGCTGCTCACGCAGATAATGCTCTCCTAGGTTGTTAGTTCCATAAATCTAAATGGCATTTGTTTCCACTATTTTCATTTAAGCTTTTAATTTTCTATATACTTGCCCCCCATATATAACAAAAGTTTGGGGAATTGCTGGGGAGACGGATACATACACAGATAGACAAAATTTTTTAAAATTGAGATGTAACTCACATACCATAAAGTTGATGCTTTCAGAGTGTCCAGTTAAATGGTTGTTAGTGTATACTCAGGAGGTGCAGCCATTATCATTACTAGTTCCAGAGCATTACCATTACCCCAAAAAAGGAACCCCATGTCTGAATCAGCCATTCTCATTTCTTCCTCTCCCTCACCTAGCAACTGCTAATCTCCTCTCCATGCATTGCCTAAGATACAAGCTTTTGAAACAGCTTTCTGTTAAAGGAGTAAAACTACTCATTAGGCAACTTGCATATATCTATTTGCCTATATTCACAAATAATATAGAAAGGCAAAGCAAGGTGTTTTCTTAAAGGCATTAATTTATAGAGGTTTTTTATTTCATATAATTTATAGATCAGCCATTATAGTAAAAAAAAAAAGCTTTAATAAGGTTCTAAAGTTGTCTCCTTTGGAAAATCATAGGCACTTTGAGAGTCCATCTTTTCTTCATGCTATCACCCCTTCCCTGTGTAGCAGCTTCTTGCCTTGTTTTAACAGATGAGAACGAATGCTCCAACCCAGGTGCCTGCGGCTCTGCCTCCTGCTACAACACCCTGGGGAGCTACAAGTGTGCCTGCCCCTCGGGGTTCTCCTTTGACCAGTTCTCCAGTGCCTGCCATGATGTGAACGAGTGCTCCTCCTCTAAGAACCCATGCAATTACGGCTGCTCCAACACAGAAGGCGGATACCTCTGCGGATGTCCGCCCGGCTACTACAGAGTGGGCCAGGGGTAAGGTGACCCACCGCCCCCTCTCCCATCAGCAGGGTGTGGCTCAGCAGGGCCAGCGCGGCATTCCTTCCCGCAGTGAGCGCCTCCTCCCACTGCTGCTGAAGGCCCAGAGGCAGAAGTGCTGCACTGAGCTCTTAGGGCCCTGGAATAAGCACCCAGGAGGCACACAGCCTGATCTGTGGTATAGGACCGCTGCCTTTGTGGTGAGACGAAGTCTTGAACTTTAATACAAGTTCTGTGTAACCCTTTACCCCTCATAGTGGCCTGAATTGTTGCAGTCAGACCCAAGGCCGGAAATAAGTGGATGTTTAAAAGTGAGGCCTTTTGGCTAAGATCAAGTGTAAAACTGCAGCTCACAAGTAAAACTGCCACAGATAAGATCAAGTGTAAAACTGCAGCTCACAAGTAAAACTGGGCTGAGAAGTAGAGGTGGAAATGGCCCCTTACTTAGGTTCTTCTTGCACATACTCTCTCTTCCTTTGCTCCTCCACTGAGCGAAGACCGTTTTCCAGTTCACCTGGCCATGCTCAGGGTGGCCGTGTCCACAAGGCCGGCTCCCCTTCAGAACTGCACTTTCTCAAGTCCTTTTGGCTGTGGCTGACAGCTGGGCCTGTGTCTGCCCATCAGCACAGCAGAGGTCAGGAGCCCAGAAGCTGCGCACTTAGGAGTCAGTCAGGGTCCTCTTCTGTGTCGTCTTTCGGAGCAGTGGGTGAGGCACACACTGAGGAACAGGGGCAACTCTGTCCGACTGCAGTACAGAATAGTACTTTATAAACAAAGGCTTGACTTAGACATAGGCCATTCAGAGTCAGTTCTAAACTCTGAGTTACTCTTCTAGCATGGAACTTCTTTTCCAGAGGCAAACACAGGCTTCAGGCTCAAGGGACTTCTCTTAGCATTCTCTGAAAAGTCACGCCTGTTGAGTCTAAGTAGGACTGAGCATTGAGGAAGCACAAGGCTCACCCTGAGAAGAATTTTGCTGTTTGAAAACAAAGGAAAATAATCATGATTGTTGAAGAAAAGACCTGTGAAGACAGTTGGAGTTTTATGGTTGTGAGCATAGAGTGTGCTTTGTTGGTTCCACGTGTCTGAAAGTCTTTGCTCCACCCCTGGGGAACTACTGCCTAAGCTAATAATGCTAATGTCTAAAATGCTCTGCTTCTTGTAAATAGCCACTGTGTCTCAGGAATGGCATTCAACAAAGGGCAGTACCTGTCGCTGGACACAGACGTGGATGAGGAGAATGCTTTGTCCCCAGAAACATGCTATGAGTGCAAAATCAATGGCTACGCCAAAAAAGACAGCAGGCAGAAGAGGAGCGTTACCCACCCAGAGCCCGCTGCCGTGAGTAGATCCCACTCCAGTCCGCCACAGAGAAGAGCTGCATAGAGTACTGTATATAGCACAGTCTGTGTAGTTTCAACTTCAGAGTAAACCTTACAGGCAATTTCATGGATAAAGTAATTAATGTACTGGCATGGTCAACAGAAGTAAATGAAAACTAGTCAAATTGATAGCCCAGAACCCAAAGATCTGGGGAAAGACTTAAAGGTCCAGTGTCAGATCATTTTCTTTGGTTTATGTACATCAAAAGGTACAGAGTCTCTGTTTAGGAAACAAGTATTTTGAAATGATTCAAACAAAGGAAATTATTTGGGATTTTTTTTCCAATTCTGTTTTATACATATGTAACACAGCAGGCCAACTTTAGTTTTTAGTAGGTCAGCTAACTAGGTCTCATATTCTGTTACTTATTTATAAGATATTCCTGCCATTAAAAAAATGTTATCTTCAAATAACTGAGATTCTTGTCACTGCTGTTCCCTGTCCAGGAGCAGCATTTCAGCAGAATAGCCAAGGGGTGGGCTACAGGCTGCCTGGTTTTAAACATATGCTTGGCCCTTTCCAGTGATACCTGTGTTCTATGGAGCATGTTACCTCTCTCAACCTCAATTGCTTTACCTATACATTGAGAATAAAAAGACTTCACCTTTGAAGTTTTGTAGAGAGGTTGTGTTTAAACACAGGAGATACCTGGAACAGTGCCTGGTATGTATGTTAGTGTGTTCAGTCCATGTCAGTGATGAACATCCTGTATCTAGACATGTTGATGATTTCCCTAAGGACGAGCGACAGCATGAATCTTCACTCACCACTCTTCAGTTAGTTATCAAGAAACTATCCCACCGCAAAGTCTACTTGCCAGCTAACTGGCTGTGTGGATTGGCAACTTTTTTCAATGTTCCTGGGCTCAGAAATTTATCTTCTTTAGCCAAAAAGTCTGTGATTCTAGTCAAATAAACCAATGTTACATTTAACTTAAGTAGGCTAAAGTATCAAACACATGTGTGGGTATGACAATTGAATTATTCTTCAAGTCACCAAAACTACAAATCCAGACACTCTGCTTATATAACCTTCCCATCGTAGTCTTAAAGTATAATTCTTCCTGAACACTGATGGGTGCTACTGAGCCACCCCAACTGCGTCCTCACTGAACGGGTCCCAGCCAAAACACTGGGGGTTCTGCCAGTCTGAAGCATTACTGTTCTTGCACTTCCCACCCTGCTGTCCAAGTCACACTGAATTATGTGGGCCGGCCCCGCTGGCTTTTATCAAAGCTGACTCAGGCTGCAGCCCTGAGGGCTCTGCGGTTCCCTCACTCTGCCATGGCACCAGGGGCTCTCACCAAGGGCTCACTCCTTGCCCAGGGGCCTCACAACCAGAGCAGAGCCTTGAGCCTTGAGCATTGGACAGTGGCAGCATTTCTCATTTTGACTCCAGGAAAAACAAAATTACATTCATTTCTTTAATTGTCTTTTAAAAATATTCATAAGCATGCAATTCCATAAACTCATGAAAAAAACTTGAAATGCGAATGCTTTTTGGAGTCTCAGTCTTGTAACTTTAATGAGCTTGTCAAGGCGGAGTGCGAAGTCATAAAGATTTACAGGGCCTCTTCTACGGAAAAGACCTCTCCTGGGCACAGTGGCCTCTTTCACAGCCTCTGCTGGGGCAGACAGGGAAAGTGGGAAGCAGCAACCTATGGTTGTGGCTGCAGCCCAGCAGCCACCCCGTGAAGTCGTCTACTTGTGCTGTTGAAATTCACTCCAAATGGCTTCCTGCTCTTTCTCTAGGTGGAACAAATCAGCCTGGAGAGTGTCGACATGGACAGCCCAGTCAGCATGAAGTTCAACCTCTCTGGCCTTGGCTCGAAGGAGCACATCCTGGAGCTCATGCCCGCCATCGAGCCCCTTAACAACCACATTCGCTACGTCATCTCCCAAGGGAATGACGATGGCCTCTTCCGCATCCACCAGAGGAACGGGCTCAGCTACCTGCACACGACCAAGAGGAAGCCCATGCCCGGCACGTACACACTGGAAATCACTAGCATCCCCCTGTACAGGAAGAAAGAGCTTAGGAAACTGGAAGAGCGCAATGAGGATGACTACCTCATGGGAGAACTCGGGGAGGCTCTCAGAATGCGGCTGCAGATTCAGCTCTATTAACCGTTCACAGACGTGGTTCCAGGCTCAGATCCCAGCACAGGCAGCCTTCAGAAGCATTGGAAAAGTCAGTGACTAACTTCAAAGAGGGAAAACAAATGACATTCGTTTCTTTCTCCCTGCCTCAGACTTTGGAGCGATGGCCCTCACAGGCAGGGATGATGCAGACTCTGGTGTGGCCACAGATCTGAGTACAAAGGCAGCCGTGGTTACTGTATTTTTTTTATATAACTTCATTTTAAAATGTATTAAAAAAGAAACCTAAATGTTCAAGAGATCAGCATATGGCACTAAATGCACAAAATAATGTGAGCTTGTTTTTTTCCTGTTAGCAGTCTGTAACACTTTGGGTATTTTGCTATAGTTGCTAATTAAAAAAATATAGATGTTTATTTATTTTTAATGCAGTAATATATGGAGAAATGAACAAACTATGTAAACAAAAAGGGAAACTCACTTGTTTTTCTTTAGATTTATAAATTTGAGCTATTTTAGAGGTGCTTTTTTTAAAAAATTCAGTAGATTCAAGAGATGTTTCCTTTGGTTTTTCTGCCAGTCATCCAACTGATACACACCTGATTATCTTAAAGAAAGCCTCAGAGAGCTGAATGGGCAGTGTAGTCAGTAATTTAAAAGACATGGGTGCTGTTACATCCTGTGTAAAGGAGAGCAAAGCTAAAGCAGCTCATCGTGAGAATATCTCACATCACCAGCTACACCAGGCAACAGAAGATGAAACACAACCACTGTAGCAAAATACCTTGACTGCTTGTGAGACCGTTAGCATTGCAGGCCAGACTGTACTGTATTTCCTTCTCATAACCTCAAGGAACCACAGGTGCTACCCACAACACCTCATTCCTACCCAGGGTGCGCAGCGCACTTGTGGTCCCGTAGGCAGCTGAAGAAACGCCGTTCCTTTGAACAGGAACACCTGGCGTTCTGTAGCGTTTGGTGCTGTCTTAGATTAATGGTGCATTTATTACGTTCAAGCTGTTTCAGGATTGCCATATGTGCAAACAAATCATGCAGTGCAGCCAAGGAATATATGTTGTTTTTTTTAAATCCATTTTTTTTAGAATTTTCATTAATACTGTAGTTATACACCATATGCCTCATTTTATCATAGCTTATTGTGTATGAAAGATGTTTGTACAATGAATTGATGTTTAGTTTGCTTTAGTCATTTAAAAAGATATTGTACCAGGAGGTGCTAATAAAGTATGTTTCCGTGTTCTTTACCCAAGAACCAGTCCCTCGACCGGTGAACAAACCTCATATGTGAAACGGCCAAAGAACGCCCAGATTCCCAGTTGTCCCTCGCACACCTCTGTTGACCAAAGATTAGTAACCAGTTATATCCAGTGTTTGGGGTTTTTTGACTCTTTTTTTGTTGCATAATAACTAAAAGAAAGAAAAACTGTACATTTGTAATCAAGTGTTTGTGAGGAAAAACTTAAGGTTTTTGGTTTTGTCTTTGTAGGTCTATGTATGAAATACAACACTTTTCTTGCAATAAAGCTTATTTTGGGGTAGTTTTCTGGCTCAGAGTTTTCCGGGGTGCCAGCCCTTGCAGCATTCATGGGCGAGCAGGTGGCTTTGTCTATAGGGACCTGTATTAAAGGGCAGGCGGCCAGGCACATTGCCAGGAAAGTAATGTTGTTGAATATATAAAAGTAAACAGTAATGTTCAGCTGATACCTACAATGAAAGTTACATCAAGTAGAAGGACGTTGTCAACACAGTGAAATTGTCCACCTGTACGCAGAGGCTAAGCCTCCTTGGACCCATCTTCTCAGTAAGCCCAAAGTTTCTTCACTTTTTCCACAGTTAGACTTTCAGTGCTGTCCTGTTAAAGTGCCCTGAAGTGCCCAAGAAAAAGTGAAGCATCCTTTTAGAGAGTCTTCTTTAAGCCAGAGAGAGTCTTCTTTTCTGGTACCGAATTTTTAAGCCAAAGTAATAGCAGCCAGACCCCTGGCCAAATGGCCTCTTTACCAAAATCATTCAAAACTTACCTCTTGCAGTGCTATAGGCTTTGCTCAGTGGAGAAGTGGTAGAGATTAATAAGTTATTTCACACACACTCTCTTTTGATACATTGCTGAAAATGAACACAAAAATGTTTCCAGGTCTTGCAAGTTAATTCATTATATGGTTTAAGAACCTATGTGCTTAACGTGTTCATCCAAGGAATAAGAAAACAAGGAAATATTATGACTGATCTTAATGCTGTTCTTTGCCAATCAGAAATTAGCAACATGGAATAAGAGAAGTATTTGCCTCAGGGAATCCTTTAAAACCTAGCATGCATATTCAGTTTCATCTGGCATCTATTATTGGTACAGCATGAGTATCGTAATATGAAATTACCTAGAACCAAATTTGATTCCAGCTTTGAGTGTTGAACAATGCCCTTTAGAATTTAGCTTTAAATTTCTCATGAGGAAGTTTGAGGATCAGTGCCACTAGGTGCTTTACACCGAAGATAAAAAGCTATCAGACTATTACATTGTGCTAGAAAGATGATCACTTCAAAAAGTTGTTTGCAGGTTCCTGCACACCCACGTTTATCATGGCACCAATTGTCAAGGTAGGGAATCAGTCTAGGTGCTCAACAGATCAATGGATATAATGTGGTATATATACACTTGGCTATATGGAGTATCACTTGGCCATCAAGAAGAATGAAGTCAGGTCATTTGTGCATGATGCTCTTCATGTTAAAGGAAAATAACACCAGACTCAGACAAGTATCACACGTGTTCTCATATGTAGACCAAAAATGAATACATGAAAGTAGCGGGGGTACTATTAGGAAACAGGAAGGGATGGTTGTGGGTGAAAGAGGATAATAGGGAAGGCCAGTAGATCAAAGTGTGGGATATGTATGTATGAAAATGGCAAAACCCCATTCAACTCTGTTGTGCTGATATTTATAATTTTTTTAAAGATTTTCAAAGAACAAATGGTCTGCAGTGGTCTCTTGCACTTTGAGCACCCCTTGGAAGAGTGAGAGTACCGAACCATTTCAGTTCAAGGTCTTTGGACACCACAGAGGTGTTGGCATGTCCATTTGTTCTGTTTGTCTACAGTAATGTTCATTCTTTTGGGGTTATTTGGGGACCCCTAAAGAATTTTGTAAGTTCAGAGATTGATTACCTGTGCGCATTTTAAAGTTGACACTAAAATATTTTGAGTTTAAATATTCACAGTTTAAATTTGTCCAGCACATTGTTAATATTGACATTTAAAAATAAACATTATATCACATTGGAAGTGGTCAGTGGAGGGGGCGGAGAGGAGACTGGGAGAGCAAGAGGGCTTTCCAGAAGGGCTCGATGGTAGATGAATTGCAGCTCTTATTGTGAGCACTGACAGCGGTGATTTATGTATCTCTGATAACTACCTGTTAACGATACCCTCTATACTGTGTTGTCATTCCCATTAACTTCACATTTGTCACAGAAATTACTCTGGCTAAGTTACAGAAAACTTGCAAAACAGTAAAGTGTAATGTAAGCCCAGACCTATAAATCAAATCCAAGTGACTACGCGTAGTAGTAGTCATGGTCTTCCGTTTAGATTTTGAGCCTTTAAAATTTCCGTCCTGCTTAATACCTTCTCATTCAGCTGCTTACTTGTGGGAGATGAAAGTGGATCATGTCTGCATATGAACACTGAAAATAATTTAGGGTAACATATAACAGTTACACTAAATTCAGACATCTCTTTTTTATTATCTAGGAATAGCAAACGGTCACTCCTAATCTTTCCTTTCTAAATAAGGTTTTATTCTGCACTAGTTGCTGTCATTTCGCAGAATACAGTAGGAATTGAGGGTGAAGAATATGACTGACAATTGCAGAGCTTCAGTTTGAGTCCTCCAAAACTTTAGACTGTGAGCTATTGCACTTATTAAATTGAAGCTTGTGAAACAGTCAATATTTGATTATAGTTGACCTGTGCAATGGCAGTTTCTTACAGTTCAAGAACTTAACTGTTCAAAAGTATTCACGCTTCGCAAGAATAGGCTCCCCTCCAGAAGACAATAGAATAATCTAATTTACTCAGCCGTTTTCTTTCCTGCTCTGGTAGTTGGAATGAGTCTAAGTCATACATCATTGGGACCCTCATAGGATCACTGGACGCTACTTAAAGGCACATCCACTGGGATAAATTAGAATATAGCACAGTATTATTTTAAAAAGTAAAAGAAAAGCATCAGGAATTGTTATATGGAAAGAGAGGAAAGATGGAAATCTATGGCCCGCCCACTGACAGCGAGGGTGTCTGCCACTTCTGCCTACCCTGCGGTTGATGTACACTGATTTTGCTTTAAAGGATGCTAGCTCTCTCCAGTGGAGACAAAGCCATGGCTTCCTTGCTTAATAAGAAGTATCTATTTCTGATCCTCATTGTCCTTGGAGATCCTTTCCGTGTACAGAGCAGTGCGGACCTAAAATACAAGGTCATATGTTCATCAATTCAACCACCACAGCGGTATGGCCGTGTTATGAAGAGAAACAGACTTTTGAATCAGACAGACCTGAACTTAAATTTTATCACCTGGGACAAGTTACGCAACCGCTTTGAGCCTCAATATCTGTCCTCGGATGACCTTTGCTTGCAGTGTGGCTGGAGGAACAGTAAGCCCTCGGTGTCAGCAGCTTTTCCTCCTCTCCTACTGGCACTACAGCTACCTCTAGGAAGATGAGACCATGTCTCGACTTAAGCTCCTTTCAGACATGGCTCAAAAACTACTGCCTGCCTACTGAATTCAGGACCTCATCCAGGTAACCACCATCCAGTAGAAGTCTCTTGAGTGGGCTGCATCTCTAGGGCCTTGAGAAGTCCTGATATCATCACCAGCATTTACTATCTCCACACTGTCCCTCACTTACTGGAACTGTGGGCCCTAGAAGAACAAACCACCAGCCCAGCCAGGGCCTTTACATTTACAGAGCCCCCAGGAAGCTGAACAAGATGGAGAACATGGACATCCAATAATCCCCACTAGGATGACGTGATGTAACAGGAGGTCAGAACTAGAAAGACCTTTAGAAACCAACTCATTTGTTGGTGGGGAAACTGAGGCCCACATCTGTAACACAGCTCAGCGCAGTGCTGGTTTCTAAGCAAGTGAGTCCAGAGCCCTGCTTGGCTGCAGTCCAGAGCTACATGGTAAGCCTATTTGGATCTCTCTTAAGCCCTGAGGATATAGGCCAGTTCCCATGGTTTTGGCTCTTACCGAATCCAAAAATTTTTCCAAGTACGATTTAAGCCCTGTTTTTTGTTTTGTCTACCCCACCCTCTGCTCAGCTACTCCCAACATCTCATAAACCAGAGGTTTGTGTGTGCACTGAAATGTCAAGATGTTGGCGGCCACAGAGAAGACCCCACCCAAGCCCTGTACTTGTCTGAATACATACTGTGGTCCTGGTTTTTAAAGGGTTAAGTATTTTATTTAAACCAGACCTTCAAGACGTTAAAATCACATACACGTTTGTTTTACTAAATGCTTAAGGAAAGTACACTAGTTGCCTGTGTTGCTTAATTGTCTTTTTTTTCCTTTTCCTGTGAGCCTAAAAATGATATTACTAGATTAAATTGGCTTTCTTTCGAAATAGCCGACAACCTACAGCTATCATTAGTCACCCGCACTAGAGCTGCAGATTAAATATCAGGGTGTAGTGTAGACATTTTCCAAAGGAAAACAGGCAAACACTTTACATGATTTTCAGAGCAAACTGTAAGGAAAGTTAACAGTATCAGCCTGCTCCAAATAACTGTAGCTTCAGGTGCAAACGGTCGATTCCAGCAGTTGTGTCAGAAAAGCAGCCTCTTGACCAGCAAAGCTGCCTGGTTTTCCAACTGGGCTTCCCCCTGCCTTCAGCTTTACTGTCCCTGGCTTCCCTGCACTGAGGGAAACTGTAGAGGCACATTTAGTCTCAGGCCTGTCCATGAGTGATCATCAAGCCTGAATCAAGGTCCTAAGACCCATGGCCATGTACTAGCACCTGGGAACCCAACCTGCAATAAACGTGTATCTTAGCCACTCTAGTACACTTCATGGAGCCAGGACCTGAAAATGCTGGAGGGAGGGAGGGAGGAAGGAAGGGAGGGAGGAAAGAAGGAAGAGGATTCTAACTCAAGACCCATGGATACCACAGGAACTTAGAGCTCCTCCAAGGAATGGGTGGTGTCATGGTGAGAATTTTACTGGAAACCCTCTGAACACGGTTCTGGGAATCATGTCTCCAGACTCTTCCCTTCACGTGCTGTGTAATAATAGTCAAGTTACGTTCAGCTTTCTAAGTCTCAGTTCGGGCCACTTTTGGCAGGGCGGTATTGGTTTTGTATTCTTTTCTTTTAGGAGAGTTATCTTGATGTGTGCTGCTTGCCTGCACTTTTCTAGAAGCACTATATGTCTCAACCAGGATGAGAACAGATTGAAAAGGCAAGTAGGGCCGACTGACTGCCATTCTGATTTGTGCCAGGAGGTAGCCCTGGACCAAACTTGCACTGAAG